AGACACCTCATACAGGAGAGCTCCAGCTGGCATCTGGCAGGTGCCCCTCTGGGACGAAGCTTCCCAAGGAAGGAGCAGGCAGCAATCTTTGCTGTTCTGCAGCCTCTGCTAGTGATACCCAGGCAAACAGGAACTGGAGTGGATCTCCAGCAAACTCTAGCAGACCTGCAGCACAGAGGCCTATTTTGAAGGAAAACTAACAAACAGAAAGTAATAGCATCAACATCAACAAAAAGGATGTCCACTCAGAGGCCTCATTTGAAGGTCACCGACATCAAAGACCAAAGGTAGATAAATCCACAAAGACGAGGAAAAAACAGTGAAAAAAGGCTGAAAATTCCAAAAACCAGAATGCCTCTTCTCCTCCAAAGGATCACAACTCCTTGCCAACAAGGGAGCAAAACTGAATGGAGAAAAAGTTTGACGAATTGACAGAAGTAGGCTTCAGAAGGTGGGTAATGACAAATTCTTCTGAGCTAAACAAGCATGTTCTAACCAAATGCAAGGAAGCTAAGAACCTTGAAAATGGGTTAGACGAATTGCTAACTGGAATAACCAGTTTAGAGAAGAACATAAATGACCTGATGGAGCTGAAAAACACAGCCCAAGAACTTCATGAAGCATACACAAGTATCAATAGCCAAATCGATCAAGCAGAAGAAACAATATCAGAGATTGAAGATCAACTTAATGAAATAAAGCATGAAGACAAGATTAGAGAAAACAGAATGAAAAGGAACGAACAAAGCCTCCAAAAAATATGGGACTATGTGAAAAGACCAAACCTACATTTGATTGGTGTACCTGAAAGTGACATGGAGAATGGAACCAAGTTGGAAAATATTCTTCAGGATATTATCCAGGAAAACTTCCCTAGCCTAGCAAGACAGGCCAACTTTCAAATTCAGGAAATACAGAGAACACTACAAAGATACTCCTTGAGAAGAGCAACCCCTAGACACTAATCTTCAGATTCACCAAGGTTGAAAAGAAGGAAAAAGTGTTAAGGGCAGCCAGAGAGAAAGGTTGGGTTACCCACAAAGGGAAGCCCATCAGACTAATGGTGGATTTCTCAGCAGAAACCCTACAAGCCAGAAGAGAGTGGGGGCCAATATTCAACATTCTCAAAGAAAAGAATTTTCAGCCCAGAATTTCATATCCAGCCAAACTGAGCTTCACAAGTGAAGGAGAAATAAAATCCTTTACAGACAAGCAAATGCGGAGAGATTTTGTCACTACCAGGCCTGCCTTACCAGAGCTCCTGAAGGAAGCACTAAATATGGAGAGGAAAAACCAGTACCAGCCACTGCAAAAACTACCAAATTATAAAGACCATTGACACTATGAGGAAGCTGCATGAACTAACAGGCAAAATAACCAGCTAGCATCATAATGACAGGATCAAATTCACACATAACAATATTAACCTTAAATGTAAATGGGCTAAATACTCAATTAAAAGACACAGACTGGCAAATTGGATAGTCAGGACTCATCGGTGTGCTGTATTCAGGAGACCCATCTCATGTGCAAAGACACACATATGCTCAAAATAAAGGGATGGACGAATATTTACCAAGCAAATGGAAAGCAAAAAAAAGCAGGGGTTCCAATCCTAGTCTCTGATAAAACAGACTTTAAACTAACGAAGATCAAAAAAGACAAAGAAGCGCATTACATAATGGTAAAGGGATCAACACAACAAGAAGAGCTAACTATTCTAAATATATATACACCCAATAGAGGAGCACCCAGATTCATAAAGCAAGTTCTTAGAGACCTACAAAGAGACATAGACTCTCACGCAATAATAGGGGGAGACTTTAACAACCCACTGTCAATATTAGACAGATCAACAAGACAGAAAATTAACAAGGATATTCAGGACTTGAACTCAGCTCTGGACCAAGACTAAACCAGGAAGAAGTTGAATCCCTGAATAGACCAATAACAAGTTCTGAAATTGAGGCAGTAATTAATAGCCTGCCAACCAAAAAAAGCCCAGGACCAAATGGAACTTGTACCATTCCTTCTGAAACTATTCCAAACAATGGAAAAACAGGGACTCCTCCCTCACTTATTTTATGAGACCAGTATCATCCTGATATCAAAAGCTGGCAGAGACAACAAAAAAAGAAAATTTCAGGCCAATATCCCTGATGAACATCGATAGGAAAATCCTCAATAAAATACTGGCAAACCAAATCCAGGAGCACAGCAAAAAGCTTATCCACCACAATCAAGTTGGCTTCATCCCTGGGATGCAAGGCTGGTTCAACATATGCAAATCAATAAATGTAATCCATCACATAAACAGAACCAATGACAAAAATCACATGATTATCTCAATACATGCAGAAAAGGCCTTTGATAAAATTCAACATCCCCTCATGCTAAAAACTCTCAATAAACTAGGTATTGATGGAATGTATCTCAAAATAATAAGAGCTATTTATGATAAACCCACAGCCAGTATCATACTGAATGGGCATGGATGAAGCTGGAAACCATAATTCCCAGCAAACTAATACAGGAACAGAAAACCGAACACCGCATGTTCTCAATCATAAGTGGGAGTTGAACTATGAGAACACATGGACACAGGGAGGGGAACATCACACACTGGGGCCGATTGGCGGGTGGGGACGAAGGGGAGGGATAGCATTAGGAGAAATACCTAATGTAGATGATGGGTTAATGGGTGCAGCAAACCACCATGGCACATGTATACCTATGTAACAAACCTGCATGTTCTGCACATGTATCCCAGAACTTAAAGTATAATTAAAAAAGAAAAAAAGATGTTAAGTTTAAAAATAAAAAGTGCTATTGCAGCTATTACTGTAACCATGTGAAATATGTATTCACTGCTGGAAGTTAATATGAAAATATTGTCATTGAGAAGGCGTGTTTTCTTTTGTCAAAAACTGCCTTTATAGTTGTCCTCAGATCTTTTCAATAAGAAAATAAAAGGAAAAGTAATTTTTGGCTTGGAGAAGGGATACATAATAAAGTGGGTGAGGCTTGCCATGGGTAGATCTGTGATGTTGGTACTTTTTGTGCCCTTCCAGTCTCCTCTCTTTGCCTCCCCTCCCTCTTTCTGGTGCCCAGTTCCCTCCCTTAACCCCTTTCCAGGGCCCACCTGAGGGCCATTGCAGAAGGGCCTCACTCAGTAGGCTTAGCTGGCCTCTGTCAAGCCACAGCACCTTTAATCAAGCATTTGCCACCATGGAGCCTTTACTCACCACTCCCCAACTGCTTCAATAATAATGTCTAGCAATCAAACTGCAATCATTAAGTAACAATTTCATCCCATATTTATTCACCAAAGGCATGCACAATTGTTAATCAGTGCTTCTGTACAGTGTGAAGATTAAGTCCTCTAAGTTGATAGAACCCAAATGAAGGTATATGTGTAGCTATGCAGCCTTGCTTGCAGTCATATATAATGCACATATGAGCTGCGGAGATCCTGGAGGGCCTCAATTTGGGGAGGGATGTCTTCAGGTGTCACCAAGATAAGAACATATGCATTTTCATTAACTGAAAACTCTTCTAAATCCAAAGAATGAATGTCAATGGTAGGACTTCAGAGAACTGGCTGCCAGGGAGACTATCTGGGAGCAGTGGGGACATTTAGAGATCTCCTGGGCAGGAAGCCAGTCCTGGGAGGGAGGAAGCAGGCTTCCCCAGGATGCACATGCTGGGTCTGAGGTAGCCACATACTGAAATTGCCTTTGTAAAAAGTACGTCAGTGAGAAAATTACGGCAGTGGGGGAGATCTGATATAGCGCAAGCTCCTCTTGCTTTTAGCTTTCAAGCTGCCTTCATTCCAGGGTTAGCTTTGGGAGACATTTTATTTATAGTTTAAATGATAACAGGCCTTCCCCTAAAACTCAGCCACCTTTATAAAGCTAATGAGAGACCATCAGGTTAGTGGGAGGAGCCTGAATTCTGCTAAGGTGAATTCTACATATCATAAGATATGCAATTTCCCCAATAATTCTTGCAAATAACATCACTATTGTAGAACCTAAGATTGGCCTTTTGTGACAACTTTTTAGGTTTTTTCATGTCTGACACCTGTGGCTTCATCTGGACCCACCAACCAATGGCTCCTGTGGCTCCACCCAGAAGCAACTCAGTGCAAGAGGACAGCTTCAACTCCCTATGATTTCATCTCTGATCCAACCAATCAGCAGCAAGTGTCCATTGAATAGCCACCCCACTCCCTCCCCAAACTACCTTTGAGAAACCCCTAATCTAGGGGCCTTCAAGGAGATTGATTTAAATAACAACTCCATCTCCCACGTGGCATGGCCAGCCTCACATCAATTAGACTCTTTCTTTACTGCAATGCCATGGTCTTCATTTGTGCAGCAAACAGGGAGAACCTGTTGGGCAGTTGCAATACTCACATAAGGTTGACTTGAGGCAGGTGTGAGGCTGGTATGGCTGAGACCACCAGAATTCCCGTTGCTTCCTATGGGGGCGGGGAACCGTGAGACAAAAAACAAGCAAAAAACAAAAAGCCAACCCTAGTTAACCCAAGTGAAACAGACCCAGAACAATGACAAACAGAATGTTTCTTAGAATTCTGCTGCCTTCACCCAAGTGAAAAGGGTGATCACTTCTCCAAATGCGTTGTCAAATAAATTTTCCAAACATATAGGCTCTCTCATCTCTTTTTCTGCCTCACAGGATCTTTTCAGAACAACAAATACTTAGAGTGACAATCTCACCCATGATCACAAGTTTGCACATGGAGTTTCGGTAAATGACCCGTGGTAAGCTGCCTCTCAGGCATGTTAGCCTGTCTCTGCAGTCTCCTTCGAATTCTCATGACATGTTCAGGTTTCCCTCCCAGGCTGTTACAGGCTCTCTACAGTTTCTTTAGATGACTCTGCTCCTTTCTTGATCTCTAGAATCACCCCTGGGCTCGAGGGCAAGGCTTCACCTTTTCTTGGCACCTGAAACCTCTGTTGACTTGTTCCTCCTCCCTTGAGTCCCCCAGCAATTCCTTTGGGCAGGTTTTCCTTGCCTTGCCTACTTCAAAGCAACTTTCTAAGCAAAGTTGTTCTTCCTTCTTTATTCAACATTGTGAAGTTTGGAGCAAGAGAAGACTTTGAAGACACTCTGTTCTTTGTATTCCCGGAACTGCAGCATCACCTTTCCCTGGGAGCTTGTGAGACCTGCAGAATCTCAGTCCCCACCCCAAGCCTTCCAAATTAGAATCTCCATTTTAATAAGAGCCCAGGTAAGTCATATGTATGTTAAAGGCAAGAAGCTCTAATTTAATCTCTCAAACTTTGGAATACATCTGAGGTGTTTGTTAAAATGCAGATAATCTGGGCCTCCCAGATCTCCTGCCTCCAATTCTCTGAAGATAAGGCCAGGGAATCTGCATGTTTAAATCAAACTCTCCATGTGATTCTAATTCACAAGAGAGTTTAAGAAGGGTCAATTTAGCCACTGTCCTCACTTTAGAAATGAGGAAACTGATCCAGGGAAGTCAGGCAATGTGGTTGAGGTTGAACAGTTAGCAGCAGGAGGCATCTATCCTATAATCTACAAAGTGATGGACTGGGATTCAACAGACCTGGGTTGCAGGCATGCTTCCCCTCCACAGGATCTTGGACAAATCTCCTAATATCTGAAACTTAGTTCCCCACTTATGAAATGGGGCTCAGTGCATTTGAGGCGTTGTGAGGACTAAATGATACATGAAACCTTACTGTAAACTCAATTAGCATGGACATGCAGGGCATTCATTAATTCATTCATTAATTATTTGAAGAGATAACACATACACATAGTAAAAATCTTAACAGTATAAAAAAGTAGGCCGGGCGTGGTGGCTCATGCCTGTAATCCCAGCACTTTGGGAGGCCGAGGTCGGCAGATCATCTGAGGTCAGGAGTTCGAGACCAGCCTGACCAACATGGTGAAACCCCGTTGGTCTAAACTAAAAATACAAAAATTAGCCAGGCGTGGTAGTGCGCACCTGTAGTCTCAGCTACTCTGGAGGCTGAGGCAGGGAAATCGCCTGAACCCAGGAGGCCGAGGCTGCAGTGAGCTGAGATCACGACATTGCAGTTCAGCCTGGTGACAGAGCAAGACTTCATCTCAAAAAAAAAAAAAAAAAAGTAAGGCTTCTTCCCTTCCTTCTGCTCAGTTTCTTGTGCATTCTTCCAGAAATATTCTCTGCATAATTAAGGTACTTTAATTCACAGCACATGCAGGCCAGAGCCAAGATTCTTGATTCTGAGTTAGGTGATGAACTCTTTAATATTGTGTTTCCTGTTTTTTAACCTTCTGTACCTTTCCTTGGCTACTTCATGGTTAATTACCGGATAGTCTGATCTCTCTCTATCTCTATCTCTGTGTCTCTCATTCTCTGTCAGCTTCCTCTCTAGGCTTCACCCTTGCCTTTCTCCTCTGGGAGTTCCTGGTTTTTTATTCTTACAAAATGATATCCTAACATCTTCACATGTTCCCTCTGGTGGAAACTCCAGCAGAATGGGGCCTCTCACTGGAAAGTCATGTCCACTTGCCAAAAATATTTGCTACTCTGGTACAAAGCATCAACTCTAACTCCCCCAATTTGCAATATAGTCATTCCAAACTCCTTTAGATGGGTATTATTTTCCACCAATATGCCCTTTTTGGAGAAGCCTTCCTCCTCACTCTTTTACTGTTTTCTAAAATCAGATGTAAATTTTCTACCTGTTGAAAGTAAAAACAAACAAACAAGCAAAACAAAAACAAACCCCCCCAGCTACTTGCATTCAAATCTGTCACTCTTATAAAGAGCATAAAAAATATTTTATGGGCTCATTCATTATTCTTAAGCACAATGCTGCTCTTCATACCACTTACCCTGAGCACCTGAGGTGCTTGGTGAAGATGCAGATTCCTGGCTCAGTCCATATCTATTGAATCAGGGAAGGGAGGGCAGAGCCAGGGAATCTATATTTTACAAAATACCCAGCTCATTTTTACTCACAGCAAAGTTGGAGAAATGGGAAGGGAGAAAAATTGTTTGTAGATATCAAAGACCCCATTTATTGAGGCTCAGAGATACTGACTTCTCAAAAGCCACATCAGCCTGTGCTTCTGACAGGCCTCTTGTGCAGATGTGGCAGTGGATTTAATCTCAACACCCTCCTCCAGTCCTCCAATGTGCCTCCTGGTTTTCTGAATGAGATTCAGGAGAACCCAAGGTGCCTTCCGTCATTCTGTCCCCAACAAGACATTTGTGTAGACTCTGCTTCTAAATGAAATTGTTTAATTTCTTATTTTCTTATTAGGTTTTCATGTGGCAATGACTAAAAGCAGCATAAGAACTTCCTATCATCGTTTATTTGTGTGTGCTCCCCCAATAAACCCATAATTGGGTTTTGTGTGCTCCTTGCAAGACCCCTGCTGGTCCCCCCTCACCACTTTCTGACCTGAAACCATGAGGACTAATCTCATTAGGCCTTTATCCCTGTTCATGTCCTTCAGCCCCCAAGCTCAGGTCACCCCTTATCCCCTGTGCTTTAATCCCTATAAGACCCCTGCCAGCCACCCACGCCCTCTGGAACTCACAGCAAATCTTCAGCAAACTCTCTTAGATCTCAGCCTCTTCCTTGAGCCCCTTCTTGCTCTAACTGCAGCCTAGGTCTCCCTGCAGCCTGCTTCCCCTGCAGCCTTCAAGAGGGGGATGTTTCCTCTCCCACTCCCAGTGCGGTGCTGGTGAAATAGCTCTGGGGGACGGGAGCCCTGACTCGGAGCCTCTGCTGATTTCTGCAGTGTTGATGCTGTCACGGTGGCTGATTTCAAGCTACCACCCCGTTTTCACCGAATGTGGGTGTGTGAGGAGATGGCTCAGATGGCTCCAGCACATCCCTGTGTATAGCCTTCCTTCCACTGGGCCTGGAGGTGGGGGTGTGTCCTTGCTTCTCACTGCCATTTCCAGATTATTCTTCCTTTTCCTAGGAGCCCCCAGCTTTGAATATCATCCCACTACTTTTCTGGTAGCCATCACCAGCTCACTCCTGCTCACTCTTAGGTCTCAACACTGTTCTGTCACAGTTCTCAATGATTTTATCACACATACAAATGTCCCTTTCAGCATGCTGGCCTAGTGGGTGCTTGATCTCCTCTTTTCCAATAACCTTTCACTCATTAAACCTCAGCCACCTCCTCCCATTGTTATACCCAAGACCTCATCAGTACCGACAACAACAATCTCTCCTTAATTTTAACTTCCAGTGTCCCTTTCTCCTACTAACACCTCCCATCTTCCCAGCCCCAATACACTGTTGACCTCATAAAGACCTGCAATCCATTGATCTTACTTCCTTCTCACCAATCCTCACGTGTTTCATTTCCTCATCTCCCTCCTAAGCAGCTTACATGTCACACTCCATCCTTATCATCTGTCTCTTGGCCCCCTCTTGATTTGCTGCTAAATCCAACCCTCCGTCTAATCTGGACCCGCACCCCAGAAGCACTTCAGATGTGTGACCTTTAACTTAAGAGGGCCCTGAATGCTGATCACACTGTGTTTACCTAATCTGTTTGCGCTCCAACTCGCATGGAAACTTTTCAAGCTTTCTATTCTCTCCTTCCCAATGCCTCCTTCCCCACCCTGCTCTCTGCTTATGGTTCCTCATTTCACTGAGAAAATAACAGTTAGGAGAGAACTTCCACAAGCGCCTGCCATATGCTGCATGCTCAGCTGTGCCCCATACTCTGCCTTCCCTTGTGGTACCATTTCTAAGGATGAGCTGTTTATGATCCCAGGGCAGGCCAAGCCCTCTTCTTGATACTAAAGCATATCTCCTTCTGCCCGCTCAAAGACATCGACAACAGCAATTCTCTTCTCCTTCTCCCATATCATCAAAATGTTCCCCTGGTGGATGACTCCCATTACTTACAGCATCTAAACATTTTGCTCACACCACTCCACTCTCCCCTCTGGCTATTTCTCCGTTGTTCTGCTCTGCTTTATCCCAAAATGTCTCAAAGAGTTTCCCATGCTCATCCATTTCTTCAAATCCCACTCTAATGAGGATTTTGGCCCCACTTCTCCACTGAAATTGCTCTTATTAAGATCACTAATGACTGTCATACTGCTAAATCCAGTGGTCAATTCTCAGCCTTCTTAGCAGAAGGTGATATAGCTGATGAGGACCCCATACAGTCTTGATTTTCATTCTGCCTCACTGGTCATTCCTTCCCAATATCCTTTACTGGTTCCATTTTTCCTTCTTGATCTCTTAACAGTGGCTGAGCCTGGGACTGCTGCTTCTTTCTATTTGTACGCCCTCCCTTGGTAGCTCATCAAACCTCAGTAACATAAGGTGAGGGTGGTAGGTTGAAATTTAGTAACTGAGGTCTCAACTGAGCCTTGAAAGATGAATCCTTTTTTGTCTTAGTCTGTGCAGTTTTCTATAACAAAGTACAGTAAACTGGGTCACTTATAAACAACAGAAATATATTTGCGCATAGTTCTGGAAGCTGGGACACCCAAGATCGAGGAGCTAGTGGATGCAGTGTCTGGGGAGGGCCCACTCCGTGACTCATAAATGGCGGCTTTTAGCTGTGTCCTCCCAAGGTGGAAGGGGCAAATAAGCTCCCTCAGGCCTCTTTTATAAGGGTACTAATCCCATTCATGAGGGCAGAGTGCTCATGACCTAACCACCTGCTGAAGGCCCCGCCTCTTAATACTATTGTACTGGGGATTAGGTCTCAACATATGAATTTTGGAGGGGACACAAACATTCAGGCCATAGCACTTTTTAAGTTTAATTTAGTTTCCCAAGACTTTTCCCTGTTTTCTAGCTGATATGATTATTCTCGTCTCCTTCGTATTTAAGATGCTTAGTATTTATCAATAAGTTGACATTTGGATATATAAACCAGTGTGTGTGTGTGCTCATTCATCTGCTTGTCCCTCTTTATCTCATCTTAACTGTGGTAACAGAAGCCCAAGAAAAACATTTTGTTTCCTTATGGTTCAGCCCTGAGTACAGGAGTGCTGACGTTCCTTACCTCTTCAGAAGGTGGTTAGAAGGGACAAGCCCAGCGCAGGTAGCAGGGTCTGAGATTTTTCGGGCCTGCCACCAGAGGGCATCATTCTGGTCCACAATCTGGAGGATGTCCCCCTTCTGGAAAGGCAATCCAGCGTCCATGCAGGGGATGTCAGGATCCTCCTGGGGCCAGTACTCAGTCATGGCACGAACGTACACCTGATGGCAGGTGCATAATGATGCTATCAGAACGTGCCTAATGGTGCCATCTGAAGAACCCTTGCCCATGGGCCATCATGACTTAAAACCATTTCTCCCACTCCTCGACCTGCTACTCCTATCTTTCCTCTCCACCCTCACCAAAAAAGAGAACTTGCCTCCACTGAGCCTAAGTACCATGATAAAAAGCATCTTCGGGAACAGAATCTCTTAGCTTAGAGAAGTTCAAGCTCAAATGTTCACGATTTTTGATGTTGCTTCTTGACTTCTCAGTATCCCATCTCCTTATACCGTACTCATTTACTCATTTTGCTTCTCGGGCCATCAGTATTGAAAAATACCCAACACAGTCTTGAACCCAGGCCCAACACAGTACAAAGGATAGGATTATTATGCACCATATTTAGTTGCTGTTACTTGGGGATTTACTGTGTGTGAGATTGAACTCAGTAAATTCTTACCATTTTCTGGCTATTCACAGGAGGGTCAGAGACTGGAACCACCTTGAACATGATTGTGCCTCGAGACATGGCCTGGAAAATGAGAGAGGAGAAAGGATGGCAATCGTGGAGCTAGCAGGGTTACTGGGGCTTGGTAGACAGAGTTACAGTGCAATGTATCCAGGTCTCATGGTGACGTCCCCCAACAGCCTTTCTCAAGGGCTCTGCAGCTGTCACCATCCAGAAATGGAAATTAGAAAGCAAATTACCCCTACATCTGCCCTGCTGTGGGGTTCTGGGGTCACTGGTCTGTTAAAAGCCACACTGAGGTGGCCTCTTCCAGGGACCCTCCCAACCCACACTGAAACAGAAACACCCCACCTATCAAGGTCTTCCTCACACAGGCCCTAGGGAGAGACAGGATCTCCATCTGAATTTCCCTCCTTATGTCCTTACTCAGTAAATATTTCCTGAATGCCTGTTTCTACACCAGATACCCCAGTCTGGTGGGGAAGAAGAGGGGCTCCTAAGTTTTCTGGGAGAACTGACAACTTTTCAAACTCATGGTGGAAATAGGGAGCTCTCAGACTGGGGGAAGGAAGAATTCCTGTTACATGCACTGTGGCGGGCATTAAACATATAGAGATTAAGACCCTGTTTTTACTCAGGAATTTCATAATCCCACTGTCCTGGGCAACATCACAGCTGGCACCAGGGGGTAGAAGCCATGCATACCTGTGATTTCTAGTACTTCAAGCTTCCTTTGCAGCACCTTCTACACCACACAGAATCTTGCAGCAGTGTCTTACAAAGGATTTAGGTGCTTGTCTCATAGCACCACTCCTCACCTCACTCTCTAAGCCACTGCTATGAAATCCTGGCAGGAACCCAGTTTGAGAACCACTGATCTATCCAGTATATTGTATAGTAATCAACCTAGTCCCCACACCTGGACTGTGCATGGGGGGAGGTGGGAGGGGCATGCTGCTATGACTATTAACAGCTGAACTGCGATTCAGGGAATGGTTTGAAGGGCAGGAATAGGAACCTGAGGGAGAGCAAATGCTCATGAATCAGGTTATCAATCCTTAGCTCCAACCACAAGAACAGTGGCGGGTCACCAAGGATGTCCCCTCCCTGTATGCTGCTGTCTGGTGACTCCTTTATTCTCCCAAAGCTGCCCTCCAGGAAGATGTTAAACATTTCAGCTGTAGAAAAGTGTTAGTGGGGGAAGGAGTGGTTTGCTCAGGTTCAGACTCTCCTACAAAGCCTCACTCTGTCCACCCCAGGCTCAGTTTCCAATGGAGCAAACCAGGTGATGAGGGAGCTGGGCTGGGGGCCCTGGCAGTCTTCCCGTGACTGAAGAAGGAAGGAACATCTTGGGAAGGGGAGTTTTCCAGCCAGGACCAGAACTTCTCAGGATAGAGGAGGGAGGTCAGTAAGTGACATGGGTGACAGACAAGGTCTGGGAGCCTGGAGGGAGAAAGCTGCCAAGAAAACTCAAGTCCCCGGTACATCCCAGTGCACACACATGGGCTTGATGGGCCAAGTTCAGCCTTGTCATTTATACAAATCGTTAACAAAAAGGCAAAAAGATTTACCAGAATATGGATCACTTGTTCAGGGTCCAGTCCCTCAACTGAAACTCCATTCACTTCTACCAGTTTGTCTCCAGCATACAGCAACCCTAGGCAGACAGTAACACAAAACAAAGAAAGATACAAAGAAGTAGGATAAAAATAGCAGTAGCTACCTCAATAGTTATTTAACAAACTCTCTAATCCAAGCATGCTCTAAAAGTGTTTAATATGAAATAATAATAGAAAAGAAAACTGGTTATTCCAGCTTACATCGCCCCCAGAAATGTGTGAGCAGTCCATTTTTCTACCTTGTCACAAATACTTGGCATTGACTGATGGTAATACTTTTATTTTTGCTAGTCTGATGTTGTAAAATGGAACCAGAACACTGGTAAAAAAAACAGCACTAAAAACAAAGATGTCAGGGTCATAAGTCAATGACAAAAAGAAAATGGGGTAGGTATTCTTCAAAAGGGAAAATGTGGAGAAACTTGGGGTTTAAGTTAAGACCTGAGAAATGTGAGGTAAAACAGTGGAGTTGTCAGACAGTTGAGAGAAGAAGCAGAATGATGTCACAGAACAGAAACCAAGGATGATAAAAAAAATTCAAGAAAGGTGTCAACAGCATCAGATGTGGTCAAGAACTGGAAATAAAACTGAGGAGGGGCCAGGTGTGGTGGCTCATGCCTATAATCCTAGCACTTTGGGAGGTCGAGGTGGGTGGACCACTTGAGGCCAGAGGTTCGAGACCAGCCTTGCCAACATGACGACCCTGTCTCTACTAAAAATACAAAAAATATTAGCTGGGGTGGTGGTACACGCCTGTAATCCCAGCTACTTTGGAGGCTGAGGCAGGAGAATTGCTTGAACCTGGGAGGCAGAGGTTGCAATGAGCTGTGATTGCCCCACTACACTCCAGCCTAGGTGATAGAGTGAGACTGTCTCTCTCTCTCTCTCTCACACACACACACACACACACACACACACACACAAAACTGAGGAGGAAGGAAGGGCCAATGGACTTAGCAACTAGGAAATCCTTGGTATTTACAATGAGAATGTTGAAGTAGAAAGCATGTGTCAGGTTTTAGGGCTTTGGGGTAGCAAGGATGTATAGAATCACTCATGTAAGAAACACAACAGTAGCCAGGTGTGGTGGCTCATGCCTGTAATCCCAACGCTCTCTCTGGGAGGCCAAGGCAGGAGGATTGTTTGAGTCCAGGAGGTTGACACCAGCCTGGGCAACCTAGTGAGACCCTATCTCAACAAAAAATAGAAAAATTGGCTGGGCATGTAGTGTGCACCAGTGGTCCCAGTTACTGGGGGGCTGAGGTGGAAGGATTGCTCAAGCCCAGGAGGCTGAGGCTGCAGTGAGTCATGATCACACCACTGCACTCCAACCTGAGTGAGAGTGAGACCGTGTCTAAAAAAAAAAAAAAGAAAGAAAAGAAAGTTTAAAGAAGGACAGCAGTGAAAGGATGAAAACCTGGTTAACTGGTAGAAAGTGTGAGCAAAAGGCATTTCAAGATGGGAAAGAGCTATGCCTTTCTGAAAGTAGAAGGACAGAGTGCAGAGGAAAAGGTGGGAATATAGAGCCAGGCAGATCTGTATTTGAATCCTGACTCAAACGGTGTAATTTTGAGCAAGTTAGTTTCGTAATCTCTTTGAGCCTCAGTTTCCTCATCTATACAATGGCATGATAATACTTACCTTTGAGGTTGCCATGAGAATGGCTTTAATGTGGTACCTAGAATGCAAAGGACTCAGTGAAGGAGCAGAGTAAGATTCTTTGGAATCTTTGTTTCTTCTTTCTTTATTGCTTCTATCCAAGCAACGGAACTCACTAAAGCCCTGAACCAAGTTAAGAAAGAGGGATTTCTCTGGAAAGAAGCCTAAACAGTCAAGGGTTTCCCGTTTTTCTGGTAGCACTCGATCCCGGCTGCTCCAGCTTACCACTCCTCTCCGCCAGCCCGCCGTGGATGACCCTGGCCACCAAGATGTCTCCTGTTATCTCGTGGCGCTTGATGGTGGCTCCCTGAAGAGAGAATAGACACGGTCCCTCTGTTACCTAACATGACCATTTTTCAGGTGGCTTCCCTCAATCAGTGCAGCTCTGGTCTTTCAAATGAGGTTATTCATGCCAACCAGGACAGAGGGGCTACACAGTGCCCTGTGGCCTGGCAGTCATAGCATGCCATCACAAAGGAAAGGCCATTCAACTTTGGCTTCCAGCAGTCTCATTCCAACCACATAAACATAAAAGAATATTTAGATTATTCCAAAGATACAGAAACCTCCCATGATTAAAACCTAATTAGAGGGACTGTTCTCAGAAAATCAAATTAATGTCTTCCTTAGATTCTCATTATTATAGGAGGAGACAGGCAAATGCATTGGAATTCAGTAAAATACACGCATAGATCAGAAAGCCAAATTTTTTTTCTTTTGAGACAGAGTCTTGCTCTGTTGCCCAGGCTGGAGCAGAGTGGCACAATCTTGGCTCACTGCAAGCTCTGCCTCCCAGGTTCATGCCATTCTCCTGCCTCAGCCTCCCGAGTAGCTGGGACTACAGGCACCCGCCACCACGCCCGGCTAATTTTTTGTATTTTTAGTAGAGATGGGGTTTTGCCATGTTAGCCAGGATGGTCTCGATCTTCTGACCTCGTGATCCGCCCACCTCGGCCTCCCAAAGTGCTGGGATTACAGGCATGAGCCACCACGCCCAGCCCGAATATTAAAATAAAATATGTACATCTTATTTCTCACAAAAATGTCTTATAAATCTCATCTTACTTTTCACACAAGAAAAACACTAAGCTGAAATCTTTCCTTAGAGAAAACACCATGACATGTAATATGTTTGAAATCACAGGCAAAACCTGTAGAGTTGACAGCTGTTATTATCACTGTATATGTGATCACAGGGAAGACTTCTGCCCAAGTAACCACTAGATATAATTTGGTTCACAATTAACCTAAGCATATCCTAAATGGAAATATAAAAAATGATTTCCTTACCAGGGGCTGTTGGTTTTTCACCAAACAAACAATCCTCATTGCTTCCTCACTCTCAGGGATATTGTCTGGCAGCGGAGGGAGAAGGGGTTCAAAATCTTTCTGAGCTATCGTGTCATGGGCACTGAGCAAGGCCTGGGCACAGGGAAGGAAAAGGTGAGCAAATGTCACACATGGGCCAAGCCCCTCTAGAAGATAGTGACTTAATACTAAGACACAACAACAACAACAAACATCAATACAGACATGCCAGACACAGTGCGAAGCATTTTATATGAATTAATCCAATCTTCACAATAATTCTATGAGGCAGGTACATTAATTGTCCTCAATTTGCAGATAAGGAAATAAGGCACAGAGAGAGGTTAAGCAATGCACAATACACTCTTTCATTTCTGCTAAAATATATTATGCCACGACATTCTTATTTCCTGGCAGCCCATGTAATCTGTGATGCCCCTGTGGAGTTTGAACTACAAAACAACTTTTATAATATTTTCCCTAATTAAGGTAGAATGAAGGGCAGTAATCAAAATATCTTGCTGGTTTAATTTGTTAGTAACACTCAAGGGCTCGTGGTACAGAATGAAAAGTTCATATGATCAAACTCTTTGATCATAAGCTATGATCAAAGAGTTTCTTTGACTAGCCCATTAGGTTAAATTCTTCATTTCATGGGGTGGGGAAGCTGTCACTTTGCCGCCCTGACTGAGATTGGTAGACAGAATTTAGTTGGAACTCAGAAAATTCTCTAAGTAGTGTGTGCCGTTGAGGATGTTTGATGACTGGTGGTTGTGTTGTGAACTATAATTTTTGACTGATAAATTTCAGCACTCCAAATGCAGACATTCTCTTAAAGTTCTAATTTATTGATAAATTGGTCTCAAATCTCTAAGTACTAAGAGATTGGTTTCTGTTCTGCAATCACATGTTCTTCATAAACCCTCTCGCCGGGATAATCATCATTACACTGTATATTCTAAATACCTTCACACACATTATCTAAAACTTAAAATAGTCCCACTTTGGAAAGGAAGCATGAAGGTATTTCTCTAAAACTAGAATGTTCCCTGTTTGCTACCCAAGATTTTTAGATGGGCAATAGCTTTGAAGGGGAAACAAAGCACCATGGAAGTTCTGGATGCCTCCTCATAAACACAGCAGGCTTGGCTGCATGATTGACAACACCGAGCGAGTCACATCTGAGTCCCACATATTTAAGTACAATCTGTTGGTCAGTCCCCATGTACAGTAATAGAACATTATTCAGAGAGAACATTTTCCATCACATATATTTCTCCTTCCCAACTTTGTCTATGTGCCAGATGGGGACGTCTTTTCTATTTTAGCAGGCACTTGCCTTAAAGTGTGGAGCCTGGAGCATTTGTCTCAGCTCTTGGATCTCAGGGGAAGTAGGGGTTTCACGTAATAACTCCACTACCTGGTTCATGGAAAAACATACATTATGAAATTTTTAAAAAATCTTTATCACCTACGTAACCTCACCCAGGCTGGATAACATATATACTGACTAACATGATATTGACCTTTAAAAAGTTATTATTGGAGCCTTCTTTTTCATCTTTAAAGCCATGCATTAAAGCCTACCATCCTTTTTTGTTCATTAAAATTGCTACTTTAATATAGCAAATAGAATTCAAGATTTGAGATGGATCTAAACCCAGTGCCCCAGTCCTGGCACATAGGCATGGAGGATGTACCAATTTGGTAATAGCATATGAACCAAGGCATTTTTCCCCTAGTGCCTCTAAAATATAATAGCTGTTTGCTAATGTCAATGCTTTGCAGGCTTATGAAGCTGTATGAGTTTCTCTAGGAACGTACCTGGGGAACTCAAAGAGCTTAATCCCATGGGGTGCTCCATTCTTCAAATAGAAAATGGGAATCATAATTTGTCTTTTAGAGTATCAGTTGATGAGCAGTTTTAATACTTGTTACAATAAAAAGTGCTAAGCAGAAAAAAATTCTGATCTCTCTGCTGTGGTTCAGGCGTAGACCTGCTTTCAGAGGACATAAGACCTTTCAAGACTTTAGTCAGCCCCATTACCTACAGTCAAATGAAAACAAGCAGTTTACAAAGGTTTACCTCCATTCACTGGGATTTCAACTGAATAAAATATTATATATGTGTTTTCATGTGGACAACTGAGAACAATTTGAGTTGTTGATTACTGGAATTGAGAGTAGAAGTTTTTTCTTTCTTTTTTGCTGTTTCTTTTAATATGGTTTGGGCAATAAATAATAAAATGGATTATATTTATTCATTCACTTGGCAAACATTTATTAACACTACTATGTGCTGGGTGCTGTTTTAGGTGTTGTGAAAACAGCAGCGGCTGACAAAAATCTCCATTCTCACGGAGTTTACACTCTAGGGAGGAGACACAGACAACAAATGAAAATGTAAGTAAAATAGTTTTGTTTGATGGTGACAAGTGTTGAGAAGAAAAATAAACCAGGGAAGGTGGTTAGGGAGTGCTAGGAGGGGATGCAGTTTTAGAGAGGTGACCAGGAAAAGCTTCACTGAGAAGGTGACATTTGAGTGGAGACTGGAAGGAGATGAGGGACAAATCAGGTGGATACCTGGGCAAGAGCTTTGCTGACATAGGGAATGGTGAGTGCAAAGGGCCCCAGGAAGAAGCATGTCTGATGATTTGTTTTTGTTTTTGTTTTTGTTTTGAGACACAGTCTCACTCTGTCACCCAGGCTGGAGTGCAGTGGTGTGATCTCACCTCACTGCAACCTCCACCTCCTGGGTTCAAGCCATTCTCATGCCTTCCAAGTAGCTGGGATTACAGGCATGCACCACAACGTCCAGTTAATTTTTGTTGTTGTTGTTGTATTTTTAGGAGAGATGGGGTTTTGCTATGTTGGCCAGGCTGGTCTTGAACTCCTGGGCTCAAGTGATCTGCCTGTCTCAGGCTCCCAAAGTGCTGGGATTATAGGCATGAGCTACCGGACCTAGCCTGATGAATTTAAACAACAACAAGGAGTCAAGGTGGCTGGAGAAGAGTGAATGGGGAAAGCATTAAGTGTGAAGTCAAAGAGGTAACAGCAGCTTGATAGTGTTTGGCTATGTAAGAACTTTGGTGTTTAGGCTAGGCATGGTGGCTCACACCTGTAATCTCAGCACTTTGGGAGGCCAAGGCGGGTGGATGGCTTAGGGTCAGGAGTTCGAGACCATCCTGGCCAACACAGTGAAACCCTGTGTTTACCAAAAGTTAGCCAGGCATAGTGGGTTTCTGTAGTCCTAGCTACTCGGGAGGCTGAGGTAGGAGAATCGCTTGAACCCAGGAGGCAGAGGTTGCAGCGAGCTGAGATCTTGCCACTGCACTCCAGCCTAAGCGACAGAGCAAGACTCTGGGGAAAAAAAAAAAAAAAAATCTTTGGTGTTTACTCTGAGATGGGAAGTCATTTGAGGGGTTTGGGTGTTAGTGAGGAAGTGACATGATTTGACTTGCTTTCAAAGAGGATATGTTTGGTTGCTGCATTGAGAGTAGACTATAGGGGAGCAAGAGTGGACACCGGAGACCAGGCAGGAGGCGATTTTGCAATTATCTATGTAAGAGATGATGATGATGGTATGGAGTGGTGAGATCCTGGATATATTTTGGTGAGATCCTGGATATATTTTGAAAGTAGAGCTGAGAAGATTTGCTATCTGATTGGGTGTGAGGTATCAGAGAAATAGAGTCAAAATGACCCCTAAGATTCTGGCCTGAGCACTGCAAGAACACAGGTGTCATTTCTGAGATAGAAAAGGCTCCCAGAAGAGTGGGTGGGGGTGATTGGCAGGTGAGGAAGATCGGGAGCTCAGTTTGGAACATGTGAACTTGGAGGAGTCCATTAGACATCCAAGTAAGATGGAGAGGAGGCAGTTGGATATTTGAGACTGGAATTTGGGGGGAAATCTCCAGGCTAGAGATGTAAATCTGAGAATTATTACTATAACATTACCCTGTTTATGTAGGGTAAATAGAGTACAAGATTTAGGAACAAAGAAAGAAATGGACACATGCTAAAAATGATGTAGGTGGTGGTGGTGGGGAAGTATTTTAATTTGGGGAGATATCCAGCCAATGTTCTTCCTTATATTAAAGTTCAATTAAAAACATTTATTAGGCCGGGCGTGGTGGCTCACATCTGTAATCTCAGCACTTTGGGAGGCCGAGGCGGGTGGATCACGAGGTCAGGAGTTCGAGACTAGCCTGGCCAAGATGGTGAAACCCCGTCTCTACTAAAAATACAGAAATTAGCCAGATGCAGTGGTGGGCACCTGTAATCCCAGTTACTGGGGAGGCTGAGGCAGGAGAATATCTTGAATCCGGGAGGTGGAGGTTGCAGTGAGCCAAGATTGCTGCACTCTAGCCTGGGTGACAAGAGCAAGACTCCATCTCTTGCTAAGATTAAAATTATTAGATTATTTTATTTAATTTATTTATTATTTATTTTATTAAAAAATATTAAATTATTTTATAGTTATCAATAAAACTTTTCCTTAGAATCTTTAATTCATTTGAACTAGCAATGGAGGTAAAATGGCACCACATCAGGGCTCTACTATTCTGTGGAATAAAACCTCCTTACCTCATAGGATAACGCCTGTGCATGGGGTGTGGCAGGAACTAGTTTCTTTTCTTTAAACTCCTGGAGGCAGTCATAAATCTGCAGAAGGACAAGGGAGGGGGATTGATACTGATAATATGACTATTGCCATTTTGGATTGAAGACTCTGAAAGGGAAGAAACACCCCAGGCAACTGCACCAACAGCCGAACTGCATGGTGTGTGTTGGTGTTTAGTAAGTTGTGCCTCTAGTTGCCAAAGATAAATGAACTCGAATTTGGTGGCCCCAATGCTTCAAAGGCTTAATTATTGGCTGCTACTGGGAAATTGATCTTCCCCAAGCATTTCAGTAATAAAAAGAAATTCAGGCCGGGCTCACGCTTGTAATCCCAGCACTTTGGGAGGCTGAGGTGGGCGGATCACTTGAGGTCAGGAGTTTGAGACAGCCTGGCTGTTATGGTGAAACGCCGTCTCTACTAAAAATACAAAAATTAGTTGGGTGTAGTGGTGGGCACCTGTAATTCCAGCTGCTCGGGAGGCTGAGGCCAGAGAATCGCTTGAACCTGGGAGGCAGAGGTTGCAGTGAGCTGAGATTGTGCCACTGCACTCCAGCCTGGGTGACAGAGTAAGACTCTGTCTTAACAACAAAAAAGTAGAAATTCAAACTTTTACTTTTGTTAAACGCAGTGAGGGTAGGGTGTCCAGGGCTGAAACCAATAGGGATTTATAGATGATGCATAAAGGAACATCTTAAAGCAGGGGCTCTTTGGGACCAGACACCTGTGAGGACCCCTGTGTTGAGCACCTGTGCAGCATGTGAGCTGCATGGCTCAGGGCCACTGAAGGTTCTGAATAAGAGGCAGGTGCGCTACATGCGCGTCTCTGTACTCCACTTTGCTCTTTGGGGCTGTTTCCCATTCCTCTCCTAATTCTCCATACACGTTCATTTTTTAAAACTTCCAACTTCATCTCTGCAGACCCTTGGTAGTTTTTTTCCACACCAAGATCTAGGGTTGAGTTGAGGACACCAAAGCCTGCTGAGCTCTGCAGTGCAGCCCTTGATCTTATTTTAGGAATTGAGTTTCTCTTACAGATGAAGAAATAAGGCCCAAGGGGCCAGCTGAGCCCCCAGCCTTTTCTATCCAGATCTGTGACAATGCTGATTCCCTGCTGTATCTCAGGGCCCGCACTCAAGTTTACCTGGAAGTGATGAAGGCTGATTGGATGACTCACCAAGGGCCTAGCAGTGGTGAGCAAGGACAATGCCCACCATGAAATTAAAACTCCTATCCTAGTTGATCCTGTGGGAAAATGCCTGATAGAAATCAGGTGTTTTATAACAAGCGCTGTGAAGAGTACTTCTTTGTTCATGCCAAAGATGTTGCCACTTTTATTGTATAATACTAACATACATTATAAGACGGACCACATTTCACGCTTAAGTGAAGGAAATACCCACATCCCAAAAAATAACTTCAAAAGGATCTTTCTTAATAACATTTGTTCAGAACAACAAAATTATAGTAGTAGCATCTACTATCTATTTTTCTACTGTCTACTAGATGCTATTGTATAGTGCATGGAATTTTAGCCAAATTAAAAAAAGAATAAACTTTTATTTTATTTAATTTTATTTAATTTTTTAATTTAATTTTATTTTAATTTTATTTAATTAAGTTATTTATTTATTTATTTATTTATTTTGAGATGGAGTCTCCCTCTGTCACCCAGGCTGGAGTGGGGTGGCTCAATTTCGGCTCACTGCAACCTCTGCCTCCCAGGTTCAAGTGATTCTCGTGCCTCAGCCTCCAGAGTAGCTGGGATTACAGGTGCCTGCCACTACATCTGGCTAATGTTTTGTATTTTTAGTAGAAACAGGGTTTCACCATGTTGGCCAGGCTGGTCTTGACCTGCTGATCTCAGGTGATCCACCTGCCTCAGCCTCCCAAAATGTTGGGATTACAGGTGTGAGCCATCACTCTGGCCAGAAGAAACTTCAGAATAAGATATTTTAGCGCACCTAAACAGAACTGTAGATATCTTACTTTCTAACTTTAACAAAGAGAAATAATTTTTAAAAGCATTTTGATGTATCCAGAGTTGCTGCAAGGACAAACGGTTGTAGCTAGCTGATACAGTGTTGCCAGTGACCATTGTGGTGGCTGTTTTGTGATTCCAGGGGGCCTCTGGGAGAAAAAGAGCTGTGGGGAGAAAAGGAAGGGGGCTACCGTATTCTTCTCCACCTAAGTTAATTCCTTCCTAAGCTAAGAAGTTTGTGTAGCTCTTCTCTGAGAGTTGCCTTCTGAGAACTTTTTCCAAGTTGAAATTTCCTGCCAGTTGATAAATGACATCACTGGGTAAGTAGTTGCTATGATCTGAATGTGTACTTCCAAAATGCACGTTAAAATCCTCAACCCAAGGTGATGATATTAAAAAGTAAGGCCAGCTGGGTGCAGTGGCTCATGCCTGTAATCCCAGCACTTTGGAAGGCTGAAACGGATGGATCACCTAAGGTCAGGAGTTTGAGACCAGCCTGGCCAACATGATGAAACCCCATCTCTATTAAAACTACAAAAATTAGCCGAGTATAGTGGTGGGTGCCTGTAATCCCAGCTACTCAGGAGGTTGAGGCAGGAGAATCACTTGAACCTGGGAGGTGGAGGTTGCAGTGAGCTGAGATCAGGCCACTGCATTCCAGCCTGGGCAACAGTGTGAGACTCTGTCAGCCAGGCACGGTGGCTCATGCCTGTAATCCCAGCACTTTGGGAGTCCAAGGCAGGCAGATCACGAGGTCAGGAGATTGAGACCATCCTGGCTAACCTGGTGAAACCCCGTCTCTACTAAAAATACAAAAAATTAGCCAGGCATGGTGGCGGGCACCTGTAGTCCCAGCTACTTGGGAGGCTGAGGCAGGAGAATGGCGTGAACCTGGGTGGTGGAGCTTGCAGTGAGCCAAGATTGCGCCACTGCACTCCAGCCTGGGCAACAGAGCGAGACTCTGTCTCAAAAAAGAAAAAAAAAAAAAGGTAAGGTCTTTGGGAGCTGATAGGTCATCAGGGTTCTGCCCTCATGAATATGGAACTAACGCCCTTATACAAGAGACCCCAGAGAGCTGGCTAGCCCCTTCCACTATGTAAGGACACAGCAAGAAGTTACCATTTATGAACCAGAGAGGGAGCCCTCAAAAGACACTGAATCTGCTGCCGACTGGATTTTGGACTTCCTGGCCTCCTGAACTGTGAGATATCAATTTCTGCTGTTTATAAACTATTCAGCTATCCAGCCTGAATGGACTGAAACAGTCATTTTCTACACACTCCCCTCAACCCCTTCAGCAAGCAAAGGCTTCCGAGCAAACAGCACTCACTTTTAGCAGAGCCTGAAGCCACGGCGAGTGGAGAAGATCGTACAAGAGACACACTCCATTCACGTCTCTGCTGTAGAACAGACTCAGCTCTTGCAGCACAAGCCTCAGGATCTGGGAGAGGCCTAGGAAAGGAAGAGAGCAGAGATGGGGTGGCAGGTGCAGGTGTCAATGTGAAAGGCAACTCAGACAGCTGGGGCATGCCATGGGGTCTCACCAGGAGTGGAAATGACACTTGATTTCAGACCAAAAGATCTGACTTCAAGCCCTGTTCCATCTCTTACTTTGTGAACGTCACAGTCACATAACTATCCGAAACCCAGTTTCTTTGCCCAAGATGAGAAGGTGATAGCTTTGTCATAGTGTTCTTAACATTGAGTAAAATAATAGATCGTGATGTGCAGATGTAAGATGTCATGAAAGGAAACATTGCTTTCCCCTCCCCCATCTTACCAGACTGTCATTTATCCCAAAATTATCTAGTTGTGTTCTGTATCCTCTTTCTCTAACTCAAACATAAGAGTCATTTCATCCTCTCAAAAAATTCTTACTGAGAGTGATATTGAAAAATTCTAATTCCCAATAGATTTTTAATGCAAAGCTCAGTATTATCCTGATTAAAGGGTCTAAACAGATTTTAGTGAATGTTCTTTTTTTTTTTTTTTTTTTACAGTATTTTCATAGTGTTGTAGTGATATTTTGAATGTGAACATCTTAAGAAGTTCTAAGTTTTACATAAAACATTGTTGGGTAAAAGTAAAAAAGCTTTTGAATCCACCATGTCTGTTTATTTCCTTCCTGGCTTGAAATTTGCTCTTAAAGTTATCACTGTTAGGGCAGTAGTGCAACCAAAAACGTACAAGATCCTCATAGGGATCGCAGTAAGTCTGTCAGGATTTCTGCCTGTTGATTTGATCACATGTCAGAGGTGATACTACTTTCTGGTCTAGAAAAGGGGCCCTGGTGACACATACCATTCTGCGGATTGGTGGCTGTAGAAAGCTTCATGTCCTTCTTGTCTGGTGGATCTGCTCCTTTGTCTGACTGTATCATCCTCCCTGCCGGAGCTTCCAAAAGGAATTCAGGACTAGGAAGCAGGTCAATACACGGCACACAGCTCACTCAGTCACACTGGCCACCAGCTCTCAGCACACTGGAAACTATTTTTAACAGCATTTCCTCAGAAGCCAGGCCCTGTGCGACACATTGGGATACACATCAAATGAAACACAGTCTTTCCCTGTGGTGCCTACTCTTAACCATCACCAGCAGCGTGGAAGAGAAAATGACTACTGCATAAAATGCTCCCCCTAACTCCATGTTTTAAGACATTTTTTTTAGCCTATGACAAGAATTGATTTCCTGGAAACCATCCCTACCCATTTTTAAAAAATAAATGACAAATAGTATATTTATTTATCTTCCACCTCTTTACCCAGTTGACTTTACCTAGAGCTCAGAAAAGTCTTCCGTGGACCAGCTGCACTCAGGTACCCCATTTCCTCTCATTGCACCTTATAGTTCTTCATAGAAGAACTAGCTGGTCTGGTCACAATTGCATGAATTATGGGTTATTACTGAGGCACACTCTTACAATTTAGAGACAACACTGTAATGATCTGTTTGTTTAGTTTTATTTATAGTGTTTTCCTGGCTCAATCCTACAATCTGTAGAGTCTAGACAGTTTTCTTTTTCCCTTTTTTTTTTTTTTTTTTTTTTTGAGACAGGGTCTCACTCTGTTGCTCAGGCTGGAGTGCAGTGATCATGGCTCATATCATGCACCCTTGACCTCTTAGTTTCAAATGATCCTCCCACCTCAGCCTCTCGAGTATCTGGGACCACAGGTATGTGCCACCACACCCAGCTAATTTTTAACTTCTTGTAGAGATGGGGTCTCACTATGTTGCCCAGGCTGGTCTCCAACTTCTGGGCAATCTTCCCACCTTGACTTCTCTCAGTGCTGGGATTATAGGTGTGAGCCATCGCACCTGGCCTAGACAGTTTTCTTAACCCTATCAGATTTAATACCAGTCTTTGAAAATGTTTGAAATGTTTATTTTAAGGTTTATTTTTGATATTGCTTTAGGTAGATTTAGTTTCAAGAAGTAGAAACCCAAAATAATTTTGGCTTAGCAGAGTATTTTATAGTCTTGTTCATGTGAAAGTTCAGAGACAGAGAGAATGCAGGGCTAATAGGGCAGCCTTGCTCCATGAAGTTCTCAGGGAATAGGTTCCTTCCAGCTCACTGCTCTGCCACCCTAGGATGTAGTATGGTTCTGTCTACCTGCTCCAAGATGGCAGCTGTAGCTGCAGCTGCAGCCATCACATCTACATTGCAGCCAGCAGGGTAGGAGAGGAAGGGATTAAGAAAACACAGGCAAAGAAAACATGCCTACTGCTCTTTAAGCAAAGTTTTCTACAAGTTGCCCTACACAATGAAGAATCGCCTCATGCCTTGTATAACTTTCAAATGTCCCACCGAACTTTCATGTCACTGAAAAACAAAAAAACCCTGTAGTTATCTGAATCTAGACACCAACTTTTCTTTACATATAAACACAAGACACTTTTGCACAGGTTTAATACACAATGGGGAGTAGGGTATTGAGGCAGGGAAGGGGAAAAAGCCAGTAATAGGTTGTTATCAAGAAGTAACCACTGTGGGCAACTAGAGCCTAATCCCATGGGGGAACATGGGCCAAGGGAGTGAGGGTATTTATACACCAATGGCAACATGAGGGTTTTTATACACCAATGGCAAATTTGGTGTATAAATACCCTCACTCCCTTGGACCCTGTTGAGAGCCAACAGGTTGAGACCTCTTCCCAGAGAGCATTATTTCTGGCTCTTCCAGCATGCAACATGTATACCTTCAGAGGGGCTTGGAGGGGCTAGCAGCTGGAGTGGGCCCAGAGTGCACCAAAATGGTAACGACCAAGGGGTATGCGGTAGGGGTAGGGACCAACAACATTGTTAGAGTAGGATGATAAAGAATAAATTAAGGTTTTTGTTATAAAAGGAACTCTTCAAATTAGTTGTTAAAGACTGGAGTATTGACTCCGCTAGGGTTGAGAACCACTGTCTAGAATCTAGACAGATTGTGGGTTGAAGCCAGGAAGGCTATCTAAAAGAAGAAAAGATTATTATTATTTTGACTCTAAATTCTAAGGCAGTGAGAAGAGCCACACAGAAAGCTGTTACAGCATTTTAGACAACTTTCCCGTACACATTCCTTTCCAGTCCTCCTGAAGTCTTCCAGTTTGCTGGGTTCTACCAAAGCTTGACATTGTTATGCTTTTGACTTGCCCTCCATCACCTACCCTGCCCACTTGCAACTGAGTCCGATTAAACCATGCATTTTCCTCTGTTCTGCATTTTTGCCTCTATTGAATCATTTAGCATCACAGTTGCAAGTCTGACTCATCTTTCTCCCCGGAGGGGAGCACTTCCAGGGTAGAAAATTGAAAAGGGAGACGGAGTGCCTGCCAGAGAGCAGACAAAAGTCAGCGTAGACAGATGAGGCTGACACTCAGGCTGACTCTTACAATTGGTTCCCCTCCAGCATCTCACAAATCACACGTCCTTGGCGAAGCGGTGCAGATTAAACAAGCCAACTGTTGTTTGCACATCATAAGGTGGACCACATTTCTATCATATTTAATGCCCGAATGACTGTGCTGAGCTAGGCCTACCCATTCGGCAGTTGGGGGCATGCACAAGAGACTACAAATTTCTGAGATGAATTTATTGTGAGGGAGCTTTACGGATAGACTGTGCTTCACAGATAGACGGTGGTTTCTTGAGTGAATGCAATAGTTAAAATAGCTTCTAATAAATCTAGAGCCAACTTCAGGGCTACCTAGATAACTAATTTATATATTCTAAAAGGCTCGTTTTGACCCAAAGTTTCTCAGCCAGAGGCAAAAACAGTAATTACACTAATCTACAACTTATGTAAATTCTAAAAACTGTGCTTGCCTGTTCATCTTCAGGTTCCTATGACAAATTTACTGTGGACTGAAGGTTGTGTCCCCACCCCCAATTCAGATGTTGAAGCCCTAATCCCCATTGTTGATGGTATTTGAAGATGAGGCCTTCGGGAGGTAACTGGGTTTAGTTAAGGTCATGAGGTAGAGGCCCCATGATGTCATTAGTGTCTGTGTAAGAGCCATCAGAGTTCATGTGTTCTGTCTCTCCCTGCCAGGTGATGGCACAGTGAGAATCCGGCCATCTGAAAGCCAGGAAGAGAATCCTCGCAAAAACCCAACCATGCTGGCACCCCGATCTTCAACTTCCAGCCTGCAGAACTGTATGAGAAAATACATTTCTGTTGTTTAAACCACTGTCTATAGTATTTTGTTATGGCAGCCAAAGTTAAGACAAAACTCCTAGAAAAAAACTTCCAGAAAATGATTTTCCCTCCCTCTAGGTAGCTAAGAAAACAGTTGCAACTTCTTTCCCTTATAGCACTTCTCATTTTCCCAGTCATCGTATCCATTGGCTCACTTAGTGTCTGTCTCCTGCAGATGTACTGTCTGCAGAGGGCCTGGGGAGCAGAGCTGTTGTTTAAAATCTTGTTCATGCCGCAGCTTCACCTGCAGCAGTGCTTGGGCCATAGCAAGCACTCGGTATGTTCAGTTGTTATTGGGAAGGGGTAGAACAACGAGAGGCCAAGATCCAGAAGTAAAAGGCTGATACCTCCCTCAAGGCAGTGGCCAGCAGCTGGAACGTCAATCCTGATATGGGAGGCAGCTGAACTCCAGAGGCCTGTGCCCTCCCTTCCTTTCCTCCCTGGCCTGGTATCCTGATTTAAACCTCTTTCCCTGTCAAACCTTAAAACTGGGGGCAGAAGGGGATCTTAGAGACAATCAAATGCAAAACCTTTGTTTTACAGATAAGGAATCTGACATTCAAAGAGGTATTCAGTAGAGTTAACAAGCAGTAAAATCAAGTTTTCCTCTTTTGTTTCCCTAGTCCTGAAAGATGCAGATGCCTGGTAAAAGACCTGCCTTCCTTTCCATGCCTTCTGTACCAGATTTGTCAGCTGAAACTTACCTATTTCTGCTATCTTGAGAGTGAGAATTCTTGATTGATTCTGCAAAGAAGTAGGCACCCCACCACATGCAATTCTGGACTGAGTACACAGAGAGGATAGCCAGTTCTTGACTCAGAAGATGCATTAGTGTGACTGACTCCTAAGGAATTTGTCCTAAATCTTGTTTTAAAAATCAGTATTTCCATTAGCTTTTAAAAATGTACTATGAAATGCCACAACCCCTACCCTTATGATGATTGTTTTTCAAAATAATGCTTTTTACTAGACAAACCCTAAAAAAAGCACTTGAAAATGTAATGATGAGAAATGGCCCTTACAAAAATAGCTGGCTTCCTCTGGGTCCACATGCTGTTGATTAGGACCACGGCAAGTGCCCACGGTACTCAATCTTCCTGACAACTCATTATTCCATACTTAAGAAATGGCTTCTCAAAGCAAAACCTGCTCTTTCAAGATCATAAAATTCCCCATATCATTTGAGTTACAATGAAACTAAGCCATTTGAGTTAGATTACTCAGACTTATATCTTTAGTTATTAAAAACTGACAGGCAAGCTAGGCAGTTATGGGATACATCTTCTGGTAACTGAGGATTATTTGCTAAGGTCTCTTACCTGCAAGACTGTAAACATGCAATGTTGCTCCTATCCGGACAAAAGCGTTAGTAGAAGACACTAGTGGCCTGTTAGCTGCCAAAGTCACCTCACTGCTCCTGATAAAACCTCTGCACATCCTCTTTGATGTAATCCACAGATGCCTAACCCAGCCTAACAACTAAATTACTCACAAGCCTTTCCTGCCACCAAATCTTCTTAAGTATTCCTTGAACTGAAGTCTAATTTATATCATTTTCAAACCTACATTCTAGTATTTTCTCTCAAATTTCTAACACATAGTTAACAGCAGAAAACACTAATATTTTTGTTGATTATTTCAAGATGACAGACATTCCACAAGAAAAGATAGCATTTTTAATGAAAGAAAAAAAATGTGGCGGGACCAGAAATAATCCAATAACCTACTATCCTTATTAAATCTCTCATGTTATGGTGAGAAAACAACTGAAGACTCTTCAGCTAATAACAGAAGCCCATCAAAAACAGTACCTTCTGGTCAGTCCCCTCCTAAGCCACTGTTCTGAACTTAACAAATAGTGTTTTCGATCTCAGATAGGAGCTACTTCTTTATCTGAAAACTTAATACTGCAGGGAGTGCTCAGTGGGAAGAGCATTTGTAAGGGGATATTGCAGAAAGGAGAGGAAGGTGCTGCTGACAGCAAGGCAAAAGGTAGAGACCAAATGGCAATTATCAGAGGGTCATCAGCCCTTGTACCCACATGAAACACAAGGCTTTCCTTCTCTCTCCATCATAGATGAAAACACAAGCTGGGAATGTGATACATTTGTGTTTTGAGTACAGCATATTTTGTGAAAAGTACTTGTTTCAATATGATTTTCATTTTTAACTCACTTTTAAGAACTTTCAATACATAACCAGCTATGAAATGACATCTCTGGCAGCCGTAGTAGCAAAAAGCATTGGACTTCTAGAGAAGTAGGGAGTAGGGAAGTTCTAGGCTGGAGTCCCAGCTCTGGCAGTGAGCAAATCTTGGTCACTGCTTGTCTGAAAAATGGGGGGAAATGGGGATAACACCTGCGTCCTTGGGCTGCTGTGAGCATTCATCACGCATCTGAATGATCATTGTAAACTGCTGCAGGAGTGCTGGGGACTTCTATTTACAAACATTGGCCTGGAGATTTAGGGTTTTTCTTCCAATACACTTCAAAATTGATAATTTTAATATGCTATCTGAAACGCATATAGTAGGAAGAATCCAAAGTAACCGAACAATTTCATCTGTAAAAGGATGAATTGTAACACGGCTTTTCCTAGAACGGAGACAGCCTATCATCATTGGAAAACTTCACAGTGGGTCAATTTGTCTCAAAGTTTTTGTTTGTCCATTTCCACATATTATCCACCCCCGCCCAGAGTCAGATATTCTGTAAATTTGTCTTTACCAGCCAAATGTGGTTATTTACATGTTTGTTCAGAAACTCAAAACGATCTCCAATGTAAATGCAAAGTATTTAACATAAACGGACCTTTAAGGGTTGGTCCCCTTCCAACAGTGGACAGGCACATTCTGGTAGAGGCAGCAGCAAGATGGAAAGGCCTCTTGAGAAAACATTACAACTAGGAGATAATATCTAACGTTTCTAACCAGAATTTTAAAGCCTCACCTTCCCTTCCCTCAATCTGTTTAGGAGGAAAAAATAAAATAAAGAGTAACTATCAAAATATGCTTTTTATTCAAAGAAATAATAGATTTCTTTTGAGACCTATGTCCTTGGGTTATTGGGGTCAGAAAGTTAACTTGCTCTTTGCTAGAAAGGGTGCTATAACTATTGGTTTACGTGTACTTTAAAGACAGAGATTTCTAAAACCGAAGAGGGACTTCTCAGGTCAATATTTAGAGGCATGGATTATAATGTGGGCTACAGAAACACTAAGTGTGGGTTTCCTTTCATTTTTTAGGCTGCCCTGTTCATTTCTTCTACAATCATAAAATAACCACATAAAGATGAATGCCTTTTATTATGAAAATTGCTGTTACATTACAGCCAACATTCCAAAACAGTATTTTAATAAACACTTGTCTTGATTATAAAGTAGAGCAAAAACCATGATCCTTTTCCAAAAGTAATTATCATCTCAGTCACTTAACATAAATCAGGACACTCTGTATGCTCACCACGGTGTAGGAGATGAGATGAGGAAGAGCACCTATGTTATTCAAAACAGCTACTAGTGTTACTTATACAGTATAAACCAACAACTTACAATAGGGCATTTTTTAAAAAGCAAAACACTGAAATGTTGAGGTGCCACAATACTTTTGAGATGGAAAAAGCCAAAGCTTGTTTCCTTTTTTCTTCCCATCCTGAGTTCAGTGTGAGGTATAGGGAAGAACACCACCAGGCTGGGGATCGATGCAGTTTTTTGCTTATTTCCCAATTGTTAGTCCTGCTCGACAACACAGCCTGCATGCAAAACCTCCTCAGGCTGCCATTCACAGGCCTCGGAATACAGCGTTTGTGCATGGACAAATGAGGTTCCTAGCAGCTCCGAGTTGGTGTCTGAATTCCAGTGTATTCACTCTCTGTAGCGTGATAAAGAAACCAAAAACAAGATTCCTATGTTCTTTTTAGTCAAGAGGCAGAAGACTCCTATTTGGATGCATTCCACATTTCGGGGACAGGATGTGGTAGTTTTGCACAGAACCTCTCCCATAAAGAAAAAGCTTAGAAAAAGTTAAAACTGCAGTTTAAAAGCTCCTTTCTCCCCTCCCTTGGCAAAGAAACATGATGCACACATGACTGGAAGGGACTCAGGAAGGCAGAGTGTGGTCACTATAGTTTCAAGTACGATCTGGTTCTTGCAAAGGGATCGGAGTAACTGCAGGTGGATTCAGGCAAACCAGAAATTCAAAAATATCCATCAACTTCTTTAATATAAGAAGCTCTACTGGAAGCTTTTCTTACAACTTCATGTAGCTGACATACCCTTTACTGTAGGAAGGGATATCCTCTTCTTTTTTCAAATAGCAGATGAATGGTATTTTTAGAACTTATCATAGGCCAAGAACTGGTCTAATCTGATTTTTTACCTCCTTTTCAATCCTCCCTTTAAACTATACAGTCCTTTTATCTGGGCTCAGGGCTCTTATTATTAGTAAGGCTCATTCTAACAACCTAAATAACACAAAGTCCTTTCCAATTTCAACACTGTTCTTTTTTGCCACCACAGGAAGACTCCAGATGGTGTTATAACACTCTGTAGTAGATAATCCAGTTTTCAAGCTGTTACGCAGCCTAGTTAAGCTTCTCACGCTGAATCTGGTAGTAACATGCCTGGAAAAAAGTTTAAAACAATTTCAAACTCACTTTTAAAGAAATCACGTAAAGAGAGCAATGCATATGGGACTAAAGAAACAAAATTATGAACAAATTCAGTTGATGCCCCAACAGATTTAACCGATTTCACTTTTCCCTGTTCCCTTCTAGTTCCCCTATCTAGTGGCTGTCTTTTGCCTACTTGCAATTAGTATAGACAAAATTTTTTCATTTTCCATCTTATTCTAAAACAAAGAAAGTTTTTTTTTACAAGCTATCTAACATTCTTCACCAAGCAGAGACACCACAATTTGCCATTATTGATTGGACATTTAGAGTATACCAATCATTAAAAGGTACACTCTAATTAGAATCACCTAGTATGATTAATAAATATACAGATTAAGCATCACTACAGACCTGGGGAGTCATAACTTCCAGGAACGCATTTTTAAGAAGCACCCTGAATGATAAGTTTCCAGGTATGGGAATTACTCATACCCCAATGAATAGCACATCCAGATAACATGTAACAGTTTCCATTCTTTAATTTCTTAGGCTAAATCCCCAGGAGTAGAACCACTGAGTCAAACTCCACATTTTTTAATGTTGTTTATATCTATGTTAGTAACAATTGCTTTCCAAAATGGGCTACTTACCCCATTATCAGCAACGTGGGAATAATAATGACTTTACTATAACCCCACCAGTAACTTTAAAACATTCTTGCTAATTTAACAGCACAAAATGGTACCTTATTTAAATCTGCAGTACTATGATTTTCAGTGATGTTGAGTATTTTTCTACATGTAAACTTACTAGTTCAGTTTCTTCTTTGGTGATCTGTTTAGAGATACTCTTCACATAATGTAAACACTAATAATCAAAGTCATCGGTGGCCAATATTTTCCCCAGTTTCTCCCCTCTTTCAGTTTATTTAATAGAAGTGTTAATGGTAGGCCGGGTGCAGTGGCTCACGCCTGTAATCCCAGCACTTTGGGAGACCGAGGCGGGCAGATCATCTGAATTCAGGAGTTCGTGACCAGTCTGGCCAACCTGGTGAAACCCCATCTCTACTAAAAATACAAAAATTAGCCATGCGTGATGGCGGGCACTTGTAATCCCAACTACTAGGGAGGCTGAGGTGGAGAATCACTTGAACCTGGGAAGTGGAGGTTGCAGTGAGTTGAGATCACACCACTGCACTCCAGCCTGGGCGACAGAGTGAGACTCTGTCTCAAAAAAAAGAAGCATTAATGGTATTTTAGTTGAAAAGTTTAAAAAGTTAACCCAGGTCAGAAACCTGACATTGAATTCTAGTTCTTTTTCTTATTTTAATTTACCTGTCTTTCCTTTTCTCTTCCTTTCTCTATATTTAAACCCCAAAGCATCTATGATTTGCTATTCTACCCTCCCTCCAAAACTGCTAATAAGCTATCCAATACTTTGTTTTACCATTTGTTAAATAATTCCTCTTTTCCATTTTTGTGTTTGGTGTTTCCACTTTCATGTGAAGTTTTTATTACGATAGTGTTTATATGGGAGCTATCCATTCTATTTAGGTAATTGTGTATTCCTGTGACAGTCACATACTATTTTATCTTCATTATTATAATTTTACAAATTTTACTAACTGGAAGAGTAGGTCTATTCTTTCTCATTTTTCACAAGTGTTTTTGCACTTTCTATCTGCTGTTCTTTCAATAAACTTTAGAGTGATTCTTCCAAATTCCAAGAAAAATCAAAGCGGGAAACAAATGACTTCTAACAATCTCTCCAGGCCATCCAGATCAAAGAAGCTCATTTGTAATCTTTTGGTTACAGTAAATACAAGGCAAAGAAAGAAGATGGAATTCAAATTCATTATTTACATACTGCCTTCCATGTTTTACCCTTGTTCCATTAAATAGCACTTCTGCTGGAAACTTTCTTGTACATTAAGAATCCTTTGTTTCTTTTTTAGAGTTAACAATTATTGATATAAATGTAAGCATTTATAACAGTTTGATCAATTTACAAGGAGGATTAGATAATGAAGAACTTGCTTTAGTATTTTGAAGAACAACTGGCTTATCCTACTTTAATATACTATATAATGTTTTAAAGTGTAGAACAAAATGTGCTCTAAAGGCATTTAAGGTTTGTATTAAACTTTTATACAAAAAAAAAGTGGTTAATGGCATTTATAATATGGTAAATGAAAGACAGATATGAAGATAAAAAAGTATTAAATAATAACTACACTCACCTTCAAGGTGGTGAACATTATACCCTGTTCCCCATGCTGAAGATAGGGGTCCATTAGATCCTCAATGAGGTGTACTTCAGAGCCTAAATTCCTAATCCTGCCCCAAAGAGAAAAAGATGCTGAGTTATTTTCACTTACATGTCCATTCTCCTTCTGACCCTAGTTGATGGGAAAAAGAAAGAACAGCTCAATAAGAAGGTAATGCCACAGTGGAATGGGTTAATCAATGTTTTTATAGTGGAAGAGCATACTCCTGTCGTCAGTTCAGAAAATGCAAGCAGCAGGCTTTTAAAAATAACGACTCACTAATAATAAAGTCAGAAAACAGTTACCTGGCCCGTAGCACCACATATAAGAAAACGGGAAACAAGTCATCCATGGACCACAAGAAGTCTTCCTGGAGTGATGCCAGGACACTCTGAGAGATCTCCTCGAAAGTCTGCTGGATGACCTTAAGTTTGTCTGATGGGGTAAATGTTGTGCTGTTATAGAAACAATGACAAAAAGATATCCTATCATTTTCTTAATAAAGACATTTGATCATGTTTTTCTGATAATATTCCCTCCTAGGGTTCACATGCCTTAACCTGGACACTTAGGCATTATGAGTCGTTGGAAAGAATGACTTTGTACTCCCATGGTGCTATGAGAAAAGTAGCCTCCAACTGTCCACGATTCATATATCGTTTCCTTTTACCCACGTGAAATCTCATTCTCCTAATATATGCTCTTTTCTGAATGAGAAATTTGGTTCATTTCCCATTGGCTAAAGATGTGATTATGTGGATAAATTTCTGGAATGGCTCTCCACTCCTTTTGAAAATGCAAAGTCATTTTAGAGTAAAAGATAATCCAAGGGTCTCAAAAGAGCTTTTCCGATTTCCAGGTTGAGTTTGACACCATCAGCATATAAAGTGGGGATGCTTAAGGTTTAGGTAAAGATAAGACTGTATTAATAATATCTTAATAGACCAAGCACTACTTTGATTTGTGTGGCTTTTCAACAAATCAGAGATTACCTGATCTGCTGCAGACATTCTACTGCTGAGGCAAAACAAGCATCTTTTGTGGTTGGCAAAACCTGCAAAAAAGGGAGTGAAGGTCAAGGAGGAAAACCATTTTCTGCAACAACAAAAATAAATGATATTGATGTCAGAGTGCAGGTCTTTGGTAATAACAGATGCAAACACAAGCTTGGGTACTGTTCTATCAAAGTAAAATGAAAAAGTTTTGCTATTTCAAATCCTTCCCATTAGAGAAAAGCATCTTTGCTGAGGAAAAGAAAATTTACTATACCTTTTTACTCTCTCCAAGGATTGACAAGGTTGCTGGCCAAAATTTCCTATAATGGAATCCATAAATTGTTAATATAAGTTGTTACTTATGGTAGACAAATTCCCATAAAAATAGTTGACAGCTATATTGGCTTCCCTGTCCCCATTAAAAAGAACTGCTCCACAACAGGTTAAGTTTTTATAAACATTCCAGAAGTGATTTAAGAGTTTTTATCATCTCCCTAAGGAATTTGTCATTCTATATCCCAATAACCCTACACATTACAGATACTACCAAATATTTTTCCTTCACTCAGTTTTATCTCATTTCTACTACTGAATTATTCCATTGAAAACAATTAAAGCACAACATTTTTAAAAAGCACAAAAATAAGAAAATACAAAAATTAGCTGGGCATGTTGACACAGGCCTGTAATCCTAGCTACTCGGGAGGCTGAGGCACAAGAATCACTTGAACCTGGGAGGCGGAGGTAGCAGCGAGCCAAGATTGAGCCACTGCACTCCAGCCAGGGCAACAAAGCGAGACTCTGTCTCAAAAAAAAAAAGGCTTATTCACTTCTCTTGATAGCACAAATAGTGATTGGGGGAGGTGGAATCAGCTTTATCACTGCACTAGAAAGGAAACATAACCATTTAGTATTCCCTGGATAACGAGCAATAATGCCTTCTAATAAAAACAGCAGGACCGGGCACAGTGGCTCACACCTATAATCCCAGCACGCTGGGAGGCTGAGGCAAGCAGATCACTTGAGGTAAAGAGTTCGAGACCAGCCTGGCCAACATGGCAAAACTCCATCTATACTAAAAATACAAAAATTAGCTGAGCATGGTGCCTCGTGCCTGTAATCCCAGCTACTTGGGAGGCTGGGGCATGAGAATCGCTTGAACCTGGGAGGTGGAGGTTGCAGTGAGCTGAGATTGCACCATTGCACTCCTGCCTGCATGACAGAGCGAAACTCTCTTTCCAAAAAAAAGCATTTCAAAAACTTTAACTTAAAAATTGCCAATGGGGAGGGAGGAGAGAAAAGAAGAGAAGGAAGAATGCCAAAGATACGTATTCTGCTCTAAAGAGCTATAAAATACCAGGCAAGATAGCTCACACTTACTATATATACACACACACTTACTATAGATATGTATATATAAAAATATATGTCATATATTACTATATATATGAAAACATAATAAAAAACACATTCCGAAAAATCAGTAGGTTTCATACTCATCTCCAAATATTCTCAGAAATAAAGGTTATTAACTACACTTTTTTGTTAAGACGTATGCAAAAAAGTAAATAATTACAAGCCATATATATAATTAGATATCAAAGTGCCAAATTTCCAACAATGCTGTTTGCATGTTAAATTAAAACCATTTGGTTGTGCTTATAACTACTACACTTACCTCTGCACCCCAAGAAACCCCAGGAGAGCAATATCTGGCTGCTTATTTAGTCGAAGGACACATTCCCAGTAAATGTCTTCCTCGCGATCATTATCCAAAGCATAAAGCATAAACAGCGGTGGGTAAAGCCGAGGTAGCAGCACAGGAAGCAATAATCCAGAACTCGTTACTACATAACTACAAAATAATGTAGTGGGAGGAAAGAAGCATTTTTCGTATTAAAAGTGAATACAGAATCCAAGATACAGCTTCAGTTTCAAAAAGTCAAAAGTAGAGATGGGAAGTTTTGAAGAAGTTATAATATTACTCTGCTCTTTACATATGGAGTTGATATAAGGACATTACCTATAATTTTGTCTTAGAGGAAACTGTGAATTCTTTTCATGAATTAAAAATCTAACTGAAAACCTACTTTGCTTCCATTTTGAGGCTGATTTCTGTGAGGTCATTCTAGGTCAGTGTGATGTTACTTCCTTTGCTAAGCAGCCTTTGTGCTCAGATCATCTGTGGTTGCATTTTCCTGGGGTATGGCTAATGGTACTTGAGAGACCTAAGAGGGACCTCAGAGGGGACACCAACCCAGCTACATTTTTTTTTTTTTTGAGACAGGTCTCACTTTGTCACCCAGGCTGGAGCGCATGGTGCAGTCACAGCTCATGGCAGCCTTTAACTTCCCTGGCCCAAGTGATCCTCTCATCTCAGCCTCCCAAGTAGCTCAGCCCGTAGGTGTGTGCCACCATGCCCTGCTAAATTTTTTTATTTTTGTAGAGATGGGGTCTCCCTATGTTGCCCAGGCTGCTCTTGAACTCCTGGGATCAAGCAATCCTCCCATCTCAGCCTCCCAAAGTATGGGATTACAGGTGTGAGCCACTGTGGCTGGTCCCAACCATACCATTTTAGAAATGAGGAAACAGACCTAGAGAACACACTTTCTCCCTGGGGCTCTTTGGGTAAGATCCTCTAGTCACCACTCCCTTTCTTCACTGTGCCCACCCAACTCCATTTACCCTGGCTCTGGTGATTCAGATCGGGAATCTGACTTCCCAGTGCAAAAGGACTTCCTTTCGGTGGGCAGAGGAGCAGAGAGAGGAATTGTGCTGCCTTCTTCAGGCAGTTCAGGAAATAAGAACCTAAGGAAGAATAAAAAATATAATTATACAATTATACCTCTAGGGCGTTGAAAAGCATAAAAACACATTTCCATTAGCTATGAAAGCAAGCTTTATTATCAACTAAGTATTTTAGTTCCCTGAGAAAACCGATGTTTCTGACAGGATAAAATTAAGAATGCAGCTAATGAATAATACCACTACAAAATCTTCACGCGCTATGATTTTCTTCTGTCTAGTTACTAAGGAATGGAGAATTCAGATCTGTGTGAGATACGTGTTCCTTACTGGCAAATCTCATCTGAGGTCAATTTATATTAACTCTGAGCAGGACCACTATTCTAGAATATAAGCAAATACTGATGGAAACTAAATGTCCAACATTAAGGGAAAAAATGATTAATTACAGAAGATACAATGTAAAGTTTTATTTTTATAGATTCAGGGGGCACATATGCAGTTGTGTTGTATGGATACATCAGGTAGTGGTAAAGTCTGGGCTTCTGGTATACCCATCACCTGAACAGTGAACACTGTATCCAATAAGAAAGTTTTCAGCCCTCACCCTCCCACACACACTCCCCCCTTTTAGAGTCCCCAGTGTCTATTATTTCCCTCTGTACTCAATGTAAAATTTAAAACTATGTTTTTAAAAGTTGTTGAAAATTAATTTTTCAAATGATCAAGGTGATAAATTGGTGAGGAATTTTTTTTCCTAAGCCTTGAGTTTTGCCATAGACTTTATCTCTGACTTCTTGTAGGTTAGTGGACTCTACCATAAATAAGTTTATTTTCTCTTATTTTTACAGACTTTAATTTTGGCCCTTTAAAGGCAATATGCAGTCTTCTCTATTGCTGTAGATTTACATCTTGCACTTCCATCTGACCTAATCATATAGTTGAAAAAACTAAAAAAGGTCAGGAAACTTATTTTCATTATACTCATCTAGGTAAGGTCAGAGCTAGCCCAGGCTAGTGATCTTTTTAATAGATCACTTCTCCCTCAAAACCTGAAACATTTCCAAATGTTGAGGCAAACAATATATGGAAGTTCTGGGACAAATTTATAAACTTTTGTATAATTATCTCACTATAATATTTACTTGTTGGCTTCAACTCAGTAAAAGATCTTTTATCTCACAAGCTTAAATCTGTTTGCTGCCTGGAACTCTCTTCCCAAAGATGCTTACTGTCTCATTTAATTGCCTTCTTCGAAGTCTCTGCTCAAATACCACCACTGTATTAGTCAGCCTGCTCTGACCTTCTCTTTAAAATAATAGCACATCACGTCTAGTACTCTTTCCCTTTATTTTTCTCTGCAGTGCTAATCACTATCTGACATACTACATATGTTTTTTATGTTGACTCTTTTCCCCCATTAGAATGTAAACTCCATGACAGCAAAGATTGTCTTTGTTCACTGATAAATCCCTTGAGAGCCTAGAATGATCGCTATTACATAGAAACGCTCCATAAATATTTGTTAAAAAAATGAATGTATGTGATACTGTTGCCAAAGGACAAGACACAAAAACTCAGGGACAAAACTTTATATTAAACTTTATGTACTCTGTGGTTGGGTTTTAGATACCTGATTTTGCCTAGAGACTGAATCCAAATAAGACGACTACTATACTTCATACCAAAATTGGAATTTAAAAACCCCAAACATTTATTTTAGCTTTCTGTTACACTTAATAAGACATAAAAATAAATAAATAACGATAGCTAAGGTTCATCTTTTTTATGTTTATAGCTTACGCATACATTTAAAACATGTTTTCTTTATTTAATCTATTAAAGGACTGTGGCATAAAACTATTTTCTTGATGATTCAGGATGAAACTACCCAAGCATTGGTATAAAATAGTATTCCATAAGCTGCAGACTTTAGTGAAAAGCTCTCTTACCTCACCAGCTGGAAAATTCGCTTAAGATAGGACTTAATCTCCTTTACAGCCTCCTGCAATAACCTGCGGTTGGCTCCTACGCCCACGTATGTCATTCTATACACTGCAACCAGTGTCTCCACAAGCCTGCCCAGGGGGTGCAGAGGAGTGTCACAGGCCTGAGTAGGAAGAGAATCAATGAAGTCAGTCAATGTGCATTAACAGCAGAAACAATCCATCAATAAGAAACAACTTCATAAATGACAAACAATTCTCAAAATGTCAAGAGTCAATTTTGGGACCAGGAATATTCAAATACTTTAATTTTTTTGAAAGTACTGAGTCTACCCCAGTTATATGAAGCTGGAGTTCCTAATCTTGATCAAAGAATCTCCTTAACATTTTGGGCAAATAGCTTTGGAAGTACTGATATGGAATACCACTAAAAGAAATACTCTGCTGGATGTTGTGGCTCATGCCTATAGTCCCAGCTACTAGGGAGGCTGAGGCAGGAGGACCGATTGAGCTCAGGAGTTTGAGGCCAGTCTGAGCAACACAGTGAGACCCCCCATCTCTAAAAAAAAAAAAAAAATACAAAATTTTAAAAAGATTCAAATATACTTTAAACTTCACAAAAATGATACAAAACGTTACCTTGGAGAAAACTAAACACTGACTGTTGATGATACTCTGAAAGAGTCATCCTTCAGTTCCCCTGACTTCTCAGAATACTCCTTCCTGCACTTCCCATCAATATATATCACACTTTAAATTGTAGCCGGTCTTTCAAGGTTTGGAAGGAAGCAAACAGCCTATCCAGGGGTGAGGGCAGTGTGCTTTACTTACACAATCTCTAGTTTGCTAATGTTATTAACAGAAAGCAATTTTAAACTTTAATTTTATTTCTTAAGAAGCCCCTTGAATGCCTTAAAAAACTTAAATGTTCTTTCATAATAATGGGACAATCTTTAGGTAGAAATGTAATTAGATAGTACATTTATTGGTAGTTAGATAATTAACAAAAGAAATGCACAGGATGCAAAAACAGGATTAGAATAACATTAAGCGGTGAGTCTATCTGAATGATATATTGTAGTAGGTGAATCATTAATTCACAAGACCAGTGTAATTTTTACTCTAGTTTACCTTTATTAAATATTTCCTGATGTCATCATATTTCTCCACAGAGAAGGCACCAACATGCTGTGGAATGAATTCCAGACTCTCTAGTGTCTGAGTCTGTGAACGACTTAATATTTCTGGACTATAAAAAGGGAAAGAAAAGGCTATTATATTTCACATCAAGAAAGCAAGATACGTGTAAATTGTCACATGAAACACAATCAGTGGCTCCAGTCAAAGTGGAGCGTCCAACACAGTACTAACCCCAACGAGCTCAGAAAGGATCATGATCCTGCTATTAGGTACTCGGTTTACATAACATTCATTCAGAAATCAGGTAGTGTTACTTTGTACCAACTACAATAAATTAATGAAGATTCTGCTCCAATCTAAACCATGGTGTTGGAAATAATATGACATTAGCTTGAAGATAAATATGATATTAGCTTGAAGGTGACAGACCCATTGGTGACAACAGAAAAATGGAATAAAAGGAATAAAAGAGGGAAGGGAGCAAAGGAAAAAGGGAAATAAGTCAAAGGGCAAAGGAAGAAATGAAAATGAGGTTAAGAAGCAAGGAGATAATGACACTCCAACAGGTGACAAGGTAAGCACATAACAGAAACTGGATGAAGAGGCTAAGAGAAAACACATGCTAGTAAACAACTGAAATTTTTGGTAATAGTATTCTATCATTAGATGACAACCAATGAGAAACTGAAAACTGTGCATAATCATTATATGATTTTAGATAAACAAATAAGATCTTTGTGGTAGCAATATAATTTTATATAAAAAGTTCATTCATTTTCACTTCTCAGAAACACCTAACAACAGTTAACCCAGGTGAACTGAAGGGCTAAAGTCTCAAGTCGAACTGACAGGCTGTACTAAGCTGACCATCTGTATCACGCACAAGGGGCATTCAATGGCTTTAATCAATTCTGGGAGTTTCCATTTCTTCTACTGATAGAGTAGAAGGTAACAATTATGAACTTCATGAATGAGATACTAAAATCAATTCCTATGTACCCCAAATATAGAAAAAAAATCACTTCTTTCTACATTTAATTTCTTGAAACACAAACACACGAATATCAAGCAAGCAAAAATTATACTATGGTTTACTTTAAATATCAATTTTGGGGATACCCAATTAGATAGAATCTAAACTAATCTCTCCAGGCCAGAATAACAATTAGTATTTGTTAGACATGACTGTGAAACATTTCAAGTTCCTGAAGTATCTTTCAACCTCTGGAATTTAATTTCTATGTAATTATACTTTAATGTATAAAAATTATTTGAATATTGGTAATTTATTTAAAGAATTTGGTAACTTTTAGCAAACTAGAACATTTAATTATTCAGAACAAATATTTACATTCTGAATACATGGATACTTGCCGTTTTTGTTCAATTCCTTTCAGAAAGCAACTGACATGTGGAAATGAAGACCAGCATAAAACTGATTTAAAAATTAACTGTATGTAGTTACATGCACAGATTAAAGTATGCTCCTTGATATTTTAACAACGAAGGCACAGCTCAAACAAACCATTATCTAGAATTAAACTCAAGAAAGTCGTAGTTAATTAGGAAGTTTTGCTGCAGGAATTAGTAGATTTTTTTAGGTCCAAATGCTAAGCAATGCTTGTGGGAGCTACTGGTCAAGTTAAAGAAGAAAGGCAGATGAAGAAAAGCAGGAGAAAAGAAGAAAAAAAAAGAAAAGAAAAGGAAAAAGAAGGTGAAAAAGAGAAAATTTTAAAAAGGAGAAAAAGAGAGAAAAAGAGAGAGAAATGAACAAGTACATCTGTAACTTCTCTTTCAGCATTTCAAAAATGTTCTGCCATTTCCTTCTGGCTTCCAAGGTTTCTAATGAGAAATATGCAGTCATTTGAATTGCTGATTTCCCATTATTTTACTCTAGCTACTTTCAAGATCTTTGTCCATGAATTTTAATATGTGTCTATACATGGTTATCTCTGGTTTTTCCCAAGATGGGATTTGTTCAGCTACTTGAATCTGTAGGTTTCACATCTTTTACTAAACTTGAGATGTTTTCAACCATTATTTCTTCACAAAACGTTCCATCTCTCATTCTTTCTCCTTGTCTTTTCTTTTTTCTTTTCTTTTTCTTTTTCTTTTTTTTTTTGAGACGGAGTTTTGCTATTTTTGCCCAGGCTGGAGTGCAATGGCGCTATCTCAGCTCACTGCAACCTCTGCCTCCGAGTTCAAGCGATTCTCCTGCCTCAGCCTCCTAAGTAGCTGGGATTACAGGTACATGCCGCCACGCCTGGGCTAATTTTGTGTTTTTAGTAGATACGGGGTTTCACTATGTTGGCCAGGCTGGTCTCGAACTCCTGACCTCAGGTGATCTGCCTGCCTCAGCCTCTCAAAGTGCTGGGATTACAGGTGTGTGCCACCATGCTCAGTCCATTCTTTCTCCTTTTCTTCTGGAATTCTAAGGAAACAAATTTAGACCCACAAGTCCCTGAGGCTGTGTTCACTTTTTTTTTTTCTCATGTTTTCTCTCTCGGTTGTTTGGATTTGATAATCCATATTGATCTATCTTCAGGTTCACCGACTCTTCCATTGCCACCTCTATTCTGCCACTGAGTTCATACAGTAAGTTATTTTGCTTAGTGTAATTTTCAAACCCAAAATTTTGATTTGGCTCTTCTTTATATCTTCTGTTTCTTTGCTGATACATTTGTTCTAATATTTATTTCAAGGGTGTTTGCGATTGCACATGTGAGCATTTTATAATAGCTGCCTTAAAGTTCTTGTCAGACAACTTCAACATCTATGTCATCTGTTGATATTTATTGATTTTCTTTCCTGAAATAAATTGAGACTTTCATGGTTCTTTCATTGCTGAGTAATTTTGGTTAATGTCTTGGATATTTTGAGCATTATAAAACTCTGGGTCTTGTTTATATCCTATGGAGAATGTTGACATTCATAAAAGAGTAAACATAGCAGGCTTGAAACTGTTATCTTTAGAAGGACCTGGGCTAGGTGCCGTGGCTCACGCCTGAAATCCCAGCACTTCTGTGAGACCGAGGCAGGATTCCTTGAGGCCAGGAGTTCGAGACTGGCCTGGATAATATAGCAAGACCCTGTCTCTATTTATAAAAATGAAATAAAATAAAAAGGAACTGCTTCTAAGGTTGACCCTTGGCCGATACTTGGGAATTAAGCTTCGTATAAGTTCCGTATACTGACAAAGGTGTTTTGCTGTCCTTAGATTAACAATGTGATTTATGTTGAACATCTGCTTTCCTGTAAGCTGGGACTGTGGAATTTGGCAACTGCCAGGCACAGGGTGCCTATGTGACCCGCTCCCAGTATAAAGCTGGGCATTGCGTCTCTAGTGGGCTTCCCTGGGCAGAAACAGGAGACACGTGTGGCTGCACTTTGCTGCAGGGAAAACTGTTGTGTGTGACTCACCCCAGAAAGGAGAGATCATGGGAAGCTTACACATGGATTCCTCCAGACTCTACCTGTGTCTTTTTCCCTTATGACCTGGTTGTGTGTCCCTACTGTGTTGCTGTAATCTTACTTGTGAGTACAACTATATGCTGAGTCTTGTGAATTCTTCCAGCAAATCACTGAATGTGTAAGTGATATTGACAATCCCTAAAACAGCAGATATTTTTGCTTTAGTTTCCTGTGGGCCATGAAGCTGATGCCAGTTCACTTCTCAAAGCCTTTGCATCCTTTCTGGGTTTGTTCTGTGAGTGTACAACTTAATGACCGCTCTGGGACCTGAGTGGTCTACCTATGAGCTTGGTTCTCAAACTCTTTGGTACTAATTAGGATCAAATCCTTACATGTGCAGGTCTAGCATGAACCCAGGAGTTCACAAACAATTTTATGGGCTTGTTTCCCAGAGCTCCTCTCTCCATCACATCCCCAGTATTTTCTGGGTCTCAGGCACCCCTTTTAGGGTCCTCTGGCCAAAAACTGTCCACTTCTGTGACTGTGCCACATCTAGGGACAGATGGTGGGAGAACAGACAACAAAGTCAAAAATGCAGTGGGGTTGGGGCTTGGACTTCTCTTGACCTAAGGAGCCACCAAAGGGGGAAGAAGATTCCACTCTCTTGGAGTTTTGACTTTTACAAGTTTCCTGTTCATGCCTGCTCTAGTTGCTGCCATTACCACCCCTGCCACAGAAGGTCCTGGAGGCTTGGGCATGAGAAAATGGAGAAAAAAGAAAGAAAACTGAGTATGTATCAACCACTCTGAATTTCAGGAGTCCCTTTGTCATTCCTTGAGCCAGAACCAGAGGGATTTTTTCTGTGTCCCTGTCTGTCTGCACCACAGTCCTTGCTTTCACGTTTCATGCTGCACTGAGTTCTGGCTGAGGGATATTGGAGCAAAACATCAAGTAAACTCATCACTGGTTTTGTGGTACTTTGAATTCAGGTATTCTTCCTCAATCTACTTATTGATATAGACTTTTCAGAGTTCATAAATAACTGTCCATGTATTCTATTCAGGTTTAATAGTTGAGTTCAACAGAAGATAAAGAAAGTGTGTTTTAATCCCTCTTACCCAGAAGCAGAAGTACATCATTAACTTTTAAATTAAATGTAGTGAGCCTTGACTACTTACTGGTCTTAAGTTTCATCTTCCTAACATGCCCTGCTCTATGTTGAGCAGGCGTTCACTCACCTGTCTCTGTGTTGGCGCCGACTGGTGGTCAAGGCCACAGCAATATTGTCCCATGCTTTCCAAACTTCCCCTTGGCCTGGGCCCTCACAGCCCAGTTGGCGCCAACATTCATCAAACACCGCTTTCCACTTCTCATCAGCTGGCACTGCCAGGTTTCCTAGCTTCCTGCTAATAAAGTCATATCAACCTTTTATTAATCATTTCTTTCGTGCAAAATCGTTCCAAAGAACAGAAACTTTCTAACATACAACTGAGAATGCTTTTTTTGTGACCAAAACTGCCAAGACTGATGGTAATTCTATTTTTAAAACACAAAATGAAAATTTTTAAGGACTGTTTTTTAGCTAATTATTGCTTTCTGGATATTAAAGTGTATGGAATATTAAGTACAAAGCAAACCAATTGACTCTGCCTCCTATAATTCCACAGAATTAATTTTTAAAAATTGATTCCTGGCCAGGTGCGGTGGCTCATGTCTGTAATCCTAGCACTCTGGGAGGCCAAGGCAGGCGGAACACCTGAGGTCGGGAGTTCAAGACCAGCCTGGCCAACATGGTGAAACTCTGTCTCTATTAAAAACACAAAAAATTGGCTGGGCATGGTGGCTCACGCCTGTAATCCTAGCACTTTGGGAGGCCAAAGGGGGTGGATCACCTGAGGTCAGGAGTTCAAGACCAGCCTGGCCAGCATGGCAAAACCCCATCTCTTTTAAAAATACAAAAATTAGCTGGGCATGGTGGTGCATGGTGCATGCCTATAATCCCAGCTACTCAGGAGGCTGGGGCAGGAGAATGGCTTGAACCCAGAAGGCGGAGGTTGCAGTGAGCCAAGATCGCGCCACTGCACTCCAGCCTGAGTGACAGAGCGACACTGCATCTCAAAAAAAAAAAAAAGAAATTAGCCAGGCGAGCTGGCCCATACCTGTAATCCCAGCTACCCGGGAGGCTGAGGCAGGAGAATCGCTTGAATCTGGGAGGTGGAGGTTGCAGTGAACTGAGATCATGCCACTGCACTCCAGCCTGGGCGACAAAGTGAGACTCTGTCTCAGAAAAAAAAAAAAATTAAAAATTTAAAAAATAATAAATAAAAATAAAAACTGATTCCTGTTAGAACAAGGACTTTCTGAACCTTGCACATCTTATAATGAGAATTTAAAATGCATTTCATACTGGGTTCTAAAATACTCTAAGAATAAACATGGTACAGAAAACATATCCTTAGGAACAAAAAAAACTGAGGTGCTACCAAATATAATGATAAAATTAAAGCTGTAATCAATAAAGAAAAATAGACATATGCCAAAAACTGTCCACTTCTGTGATTGTGCCACATCTAGGGACAGATGGTGGGAGAACAGAGAACAAAGTCAAAAATGCAATGGGGTTGGGCATAATATACTTAGATTTTGCCTTTTTTCCCTCATATATGCAGATTTTACTATTCCACTTGGTGGGTGGGTGTGTGTATGTATATGTTCTTTACTTTTCAAAATCAAGTTGTGTACAGATTCCATTTCAGAATGATCTTTCAGGCTGGGCACAGTGCCTCACACCTGTAATCCCAGCACTTTGAGAGGCCAAAGTGGGCAGATCACTTGAGGTCAGGAGTTCGAGACCAGCCTGGCCAACATGGTGAAACCTTGTCTCTACTAAAAATACAAAAAATTAGCCGGGCATGGTTGTGTGCACCTATAGTCCCAGCTACTTGGGAGGGTGAGGCAGGAGAATCGCTTGAACCTGGGAGATAGACACTGCAGTGAGCCGAGATGGCACCACCATACTCCAGCCTGGATGACAGACTGAGACTCCATCTCCAAAAAAAAAAAAAAAACACTCTCTCACACGTGGAACTTTCCTTTTAAACATCCATGCTTTAAGGCTTATCATCTAAACCAAGACTATAGGCAAGACTATAGATTTAGTCATCTAAAGTAGTGTCAGTTGACAATTCAAGGCGGTTACATCTTGTTTAAAAAAAAAAAAAAAAAAAAAAAGACGACGACTTTGGCCAGATGCAGTGGCTCATACCTGTAATCCCAGCACTTTGGGAGGCTGAGGCAGGAGGATCGCTTAAGCTCAGGTTCAAGACCAGCCTGAGCAAGAGCAAGATCCAGTCTCTAGAAAAATTAGAAAAATTAGAAAAATTAGCCACGCATGGTAGTGGGTGCCTGTAGTCCCAGTTACTTGGGAGGCTGAGGCGGGAGGATCACATGAACCCAGAAGGTCAAGGCTGCAGTGAGCCATGATCACGCCACTGCAGTTCAGCCTGGTGACAGAGTGACACCCTGTCTCAAAAAATAAAAATAAAATAAAATAAAAAAGAAGACTTTAAGAACTTGATTTTGCTTTTAAAATATTAACCAGCTTTGATAAAAGCAAGACAACTCCAAACATTCAATAATTCATCCAGAATTAACACTAGTTACTCACAAAACTTTAGGTCTGTCTTTATCACTCTCATACAGACTAGGTTTGAAGTAGGTTCCAGTGATTTTTATCCCAGATCCCCATTCTCCACTAAAATAACCTTCAATGTAGTCTCCATTTGGCATAGTCAGTGTTCCCTAGGTAAAGTCAGAGAATAAAATGTGGGGTTAGAGGAAATATATTCAATATTTATTTATTTATTTGGAGACAGTCTTACTCTATTGCCCAGGCTGGAGTGCAATGGTGCGATCCTGGCTCACTGCAACCTCTGCTTCCTGGGTTCAAGTGATCCTCCTGCCTCAGCCTCCCAAGTAGCTGGGATCACAGGCGCCCGCCACCATGCCCAGCTAAGTTTTTGTGTTTTCAGTAAAGACGGGGTTCCACCATGCTGGCCAGGCTGGTCTCGAATTCCTCACCTCAAGTGATTCACCCACCTTGGCCTCCCAAAGTGCTGGGATTACAGGCAAGAGCTACCACACCCAGCCCTCAATTTTTAAAATTAAGAGTAAAAAAGCACTAAATGGTTGTTTTCCTTTTTAACTTGCTCTTTACCAGTCTCTAACTCTTTAAATCTCAAACAAAATATGGGCACATGAATGTCTCAAAGAGTATATGAAAATAATCCATGGGTAAAAGAAAAAAACACACACACAGGGAAAACTCGAAAATATTTTGAACTGTATAAAATGACCATACAATATATTAAAATATAGGGGATGATGTAAATTACAAGCAGTGCTTAGAGGGAAACTTATAGCTGGTAACACCTATCTTTTCAGGAAGATCTTGAATCAGTAATGTAAAATTTCACATAATAAAATTACAAAAGGAGAAACAAACTAACAACCTAAATCCAAAGCAAGAAAGAGGAGGGAAATGATAAAGATTAGTGCAAAAATCAGTAGATGAGATAGAAAACAAAAAATAAAGAAAAATCAATGAAACTAAAAGTTGCTTCTTTGAAAAGATACACAAAATTGACATTTAACTACATTAATCAAGCAAAAGAGAAAAAACAAAAGTTTATAAAATCAAGAGTGAAACAGGTTATTACTACCAGCCTATAGAATTAAAAAAGTTAGAAGGTGCTATGTTTTGAAAGTGTCTCCTCTAAAATCTGTACTGAAATTTAAACCCCATTGTGATGGTTGTAAGAAGTGGGGCCTTTTGGGAAGTGATTAAGGACAGTGTCCTTATGAATGGAGCAGTGCCTTAGAAAATGGCCAGAGGGTTGGGCGCGGTGGCTCACGCCTGTAATCCTAGCACTTTGGGAGGCCGAGGTGGGTGGATCACAAGGTCAGGAGTTCGAGACCAGCCTGACCAACATGGTGAAGCCCCGTCTCTACTAAAAATACAAAAATTAGCTGCGCATGATGGCACGCGCCTATAATCCCATCTACTCAGGAGGCTGAGGCAGAAGAATCGCTTGAACCCAGAAGGTGGAGGTTGCAGTGAGTGGAGATCGTGCCACTGCACTTCAGGCTGGGTGACAGAGCAAGACTCTATCTCAAAAGAAAAAAAAACAAAAAGAAAAGTGCCAGAGGGAACTATCTTAGGCCTTTCTGACCTTCCATCTTTTGCTATGTGAGGACTCAGCCAAGAAGGCCTTCACCAGACAGGGAATGCTGTTGCCTTGATCTTGGACTTCTCAGCTTGCAAAATTATGAAGAAATAAATTTCCCAGTCTATGATATTTTATTATAGCATCACAAACATGTGAAGACAGAATGGAATACTAAGAGAACAGCTTTATGCTAACTAAGTAGATAACATAGAGAAATAGAAAAATTCCTAGGAAGACAAAAAGTACCAAAACTGACTCAATGAGAAATAGAAAATCTAAATAGACCTAAAGCAAGTAAAAAAACTGAGTTAGAAATTAAAAATTTTCTCACAAAGTAATGCTTAGGCCCAGAAGACTTCATTGTTGAATTCTCCCAAACATTCAAAGAAGAAATAACAAAGCTTCGCAAACTTTCAGAAAACAGGGGAGGAGGGAACACTTCCCAACTCGTTCTATGAGGCCAGAATTATCCTGATATCAAAGACAGACAAAGACATCACAATAAAAGAAAACTACAGACCATTACCTCTCACAAATATGAATGCAAAAATCCTCAACAAAATATTGGCATTAAATCCAGCAACATCAACATATAAAAAAATTATACACCATGACCAAGTACAATTCATCCCAGGAGGGCAAGGTTGGTTTAACATCAGAAAAGCAACCAATATAATACACCATATTAGTAGAATAAATGATAAAAACCACACGATCATCTCAACAGACAATGGAAAAGCACTTTAACAAAAATGCTTTTCAGCCAGGCATGGTGGCTCATGCCTGTAATCCTAGCACTGTGGGTGGATTGCTTCAGCTCAGGAATTTGAGACCAGCTTGGGCAACATAGCGAAACCCTGTCTCTAAAAAAAAAAAAAAAACCAAAAAAAAATTAGCCAGGCATGGTGGCATGTGCCTGTAGTCCCAGTTATTTGGGGGGCTGAGGAGGGAGGATTACTTGAGCCCAGGAGGTTGAGACTGCAGGGAGCTGAGATCACACCACTGCACTCCAGCCTGGGTGACAAAGTGAGACCCTATCTCAAAAAAAAAAGCTTTTCTCTAAAATAGAAAACAATGTAAAGATGTCCAATCTTAATATTTTCTATTCAACATTCCACAGGAGACTCTACCCAGTGCAACTGGACAAGAAAAATAAATAAAAGCCTTCCATATTATAAAGAAAGCAGCAAAAATCTATTTACTTGTAGGTGACATGATTCTGTATGCAAGAAATCCTAAGAAATACACACACACACACAAACACACACACAAATACTAACACTAATAAACAAATTCAGCAAGATTTCAGGATACAAGAACAAAATACAAAATCAACTGCATTTTTTTTATTATAGCAATGAACAATCTGAAAATGAAATTAAGAAAACAATACTTTACAATAGCACCAATAAAATACTTAGAAATAAATTTAACCAAAGAAAGGCAAGATGTGTACACTGAAACCTAGAAAACATTGCCAAGAGAAATTAAAGATCTAAATAGACTGTGAGATGTTCTATGATCATGGGTTGGAAGAGTCAATATTATTAATACAGCAATTCTCCCCAAATTGATCTATAGATTCAATGCAATCTCTATCAAAATCTTAGCAAGGTTTATTGCAGAATCTTGATAAGCCAGTCCTAAAATGTATATGAAAAGGCAAAGAATCTAGATTCGCCAGAACAATTTTGAAGAACAAATTTGGAGGACTTATATTCCTGATTTCACAACTTACTAGGAATCAACAGTAATCAAGATGGTGTGGTATTAACACAAGGAGAGATATGTTGATCAGTGAAATATAACTGAGAGACCAGAAATAAACACATTTTCTGGTCAACAAAGGTGCCAAGATTCAACGGGAAAAGGTGCTGGGAAATTTGGATAGCCATATGCAAAAATATTAATTTGGACACATAACTCAACCCATATACAAAAGTTATCTTAAAATCAATCACAGACCTAAATATAAAAGGCAAAACTATAAAATTTTTATTTTTTATTTTTTATTTAGACGGAGTCTCACTCTGTCGCCCAGGCTGGAGTATAGTGCTGGGATCTCAGCTCACTGCAAACTCCACCTCCCGGGTTCACGCCATTCTCCTGCCTCGGACTCCCGAGTAGCTGGGACTACAGGTGCCCGCCATCACACCTGGCTAATTTTTTGTATTTTTAGTAGAGATTGGGGTTTCACCGTGTTTGCTAGGATGGTCTTGATCTCCTGACCTCGTGATCTACCCGCCTCGGCCTCCCAAAGTACTGGGATTATAGGAGTGAGCCAAAAGGCAAAGACTTCTTAGACATAACATCAAAAGCATAATTCATAAAATTTTTTATAGAGTTCGTTAAAATGAAAAACTTTTCTATTTCAAAAGACACCATTAAGAAAAGAAAAGACAAGTCACAGACTGCAAGAAAATATTTACAAATCATATCTGATAAAGGACATGTATCCAGAATACAGAAAGAACCCTTATAATTCATACAAGAGTACAAACAAAATTTTATAAATAGGCCAAAGATCTGAACAGACATTTCATCAAAGAAGATATATGAATCACTAATAAGTATGTTCTACATCATTAGTCACTAGGGAAATGCAAATGAAAACCAGGATATACCACTTCATACCCATTGGAATGGTTGTAAGAAAAAAAGACTGAAAATAAGAAATATTTTTTGATATGGAGAAATTAGTATCCTCATTGATATGGAGAAATTAGTATCCTCACACATTGCTGATGGGAATGTAAAATGGTACAGACATTTTGGAAAAAAGTTTGACAGTTTCTTAATACGTTAAACATCAATTTACCATAAAACCCAGCAATTACACTCTAGGCATCTACTTGAGAAATGAAAATGAAAATATATGTCTACACAAGAAACTGCATTTGAAAGTTTATGGCAGCATTATTCACAATAGTCTTAAGTTGGAAATAACTCAATGCCCATCAACTGGTAAAAGAATAAACAAAATGTAGTTTTGGAAAACTATTCAGTCATAAAAAGGAACAAATACTATACATGCCACAATATGGAAAAAACAAAAACATTATGCTAAGTGTAGGAAGCCACATAGAGGAGATTGCATGTATGATTCCATTTATACAAAAGGCCAGAAAAGGCAAATCTATAGAATGATTAAGAGTGATTAGTGCTTGGCTGGGATTGGTGGTGGAAATGGAAGTCACTGAACGAGCAGAAGGGATTTTCTTGGGTGACGGAAATGTTCTGAAACTGGATTGTGGTGGTAGTTTGTACAGCTATGCTGACTAAAAATCACTGAAATGTGCACTTGAAAGGGATGAATTTTATGGATATATAAATCAGCTATTTTTAAAGTCAAAAAAATTAGTAAAAGAATTTATTAGAGAGAAAAAGAAGAAAGCTAGTTTCCAACCTTTCCACTAAGAGTCCAGTCATCTGAAAATTCTCCCTCATAGATAGTATCATCTTCGGAAAGCAAAACTCCATTTCCCTATAAGAAGAAACAAGAGAAAAATTATAACACATAAAATAGAGTAACTTAAGAGTGCATGCAGTCATATCCCCAAAGCCTTATGGAATCTTAAAAGAAGGAAAATAGTACTAAGAAGGTAGAAACTAATCAAAAGATGACTTAGAAAGTTAGGGACAAAGGAGCTTTAACAAGTTAGTAATAACTACATGCAAATATTCCACTCACCATCATTTTATTAAGGTGAAAGTTGCCCTCATAGTATAATCCAAACTGGGTAACCACCACACCATTCCCTTGACACACATCATCTTGCCACATTCCCATATACTTTTCCCCCCTGCACAGAAATAAAAAGAAAAGAAAAAGCACTGAAGACAAGGATAAAGTAGGGAAAAGACAATTATCACATGGGAGATCCCAGGCATCAACCCTAGGCTGGTATAGATTCCATTTTTTTAGTTAAAGTAGTTAACTTTGTCTCCTCAAATATGGGACAAGGTGAGAGCAAAAGACATCTCACTCAGTAATGTTCTCTGAGGAATTTAATGTTGTGGTCTATCTGACACAGATCTGTATATATCCCAGGTAGTTACTTGATAACTTTAAAATATATAATTTTTAAAAAGAAGGCCTAGAATTCAACTCTAAATAATTTCATTTAAAATGTAATAAGCAGAATAAAACCTATGCACAGGTTTTTCTTACACAAAAGTTTGCTAACTTAAAAAGAAAGAGGCTGGGTGCGGTGGCTCATGCCTATAATCCCAGCACTTTGGGAGGCAAAGGCAGGTGGAACACTTGAGGCCAGGAGTTCGAGACCAGCCTGGACAATATGGCAAAACCTCATCTCTACCAAAAATACAAAAAATTAACTGGGTGTAGTGGTGTGTGCCTGTGGTCCCAGCTACTTGGTAGACTGAGGTAGGAGGATCCCTTGAACCCAGGAGGCAGACATTGCAGTGAGCTGAGATCGCACCACTCCAGCCTGGGTGACAGAGTGAGACCCTATCTCAAAAAATAAAAATAAATAAATAAAAGGGTTTGTCATAAAAGAAGGTTCATTTTTCACCTACTCAAACTCAAAGAAATCTTACTAATCTCCATGAAAAAGACAAAATAAGTATAAACTGCTTGTTAAATAATCATGGTGCTTAATCATTTGCTTAAACTGTGAGAAAAGAAAGAGAACACTGTACCTAGTGATATCATCAAAGACACCATATCCTGCTTTCTTATCCGTTACCCATTGGCCAATGAACATACTAGGAGAAGAGGACGTCAATTTCCCACTTCGTAGAAGGCCATGACCATGACGCATATTATCTTGGAAACAACCCTCAAACACTTCACCAGAAGCATAGCTGTGGTTGGAAAGAATGGATAATTATCATATGCACATTGAATTCTGATGCTCATTTTTACAAAGTTTAGAAAATCCAAAACCATACTCAGTCTCACTGGTAGCTATAATTATTTGTTTATATGATTATTTTTCACCAATTAAAAAAACCTTGTTTTTGAATGATTAAAGTTAAAAAGTTAAAGACACCATGGGTGGTATTTTGCATTAACATGGAAAAAAATGTGTTTTTAGTCTCCTATGGGAAAAAGAAATAATGAGTTTTTTGTAAGAGGGAAGAATAAAAGTTTTGTCCATTAGAATCAAGTAAATAAAAATAAGATAAATTTATAGATAAGACATATAGGAGTCTCTATGAGAAAATTATGATTTATAAGGTATATAAAATTTAGATAAGAACTAAATTTAATAATCCAGTATTTTCATCCTGTGATAGACGAGGGGTTGACCTTTAAAAGAAGATCACAGAGAGTTTCAATTTTATTTACTCCTCTAAATTTTATCTATAAGACTAAGCAAAACTTAAACCTTGGAAATTTTGACTATGCAAACATTCAGGTTTACATGGTTATATGAAAAACCAGCACCAGTCCAACAGTCTTTCCAATGTCATTACCTGTAGACTCCTTGACCACACATTTTTCCTTCTTTCCAGTGGCCCACATAATGGTCTTCTTTGTTAATTGCCTTGTTTGGGATTCTGTATTCTCCATACCTGCCACGAAAAAGAAAAAATAACAAAAGAATATGCATTTATGACATATTCACCTTTTGTGTGTGTATCGTGGTAAACATTTTAACAAGGAAGACAGAGAAAACATTCACCTGTAGGAGGAAAGGGTTAAAACAGCATCTTGGTTTAAGGTGAATCTATAACCTAAGCTGTTTGGCAAGAGGAGTGGGACATCAGCCCCACTACACTAAGATATGGTGTTTTAATACAAGTCCGGTGAAAAACAGAAGACCTGTGTCCTTCGCCTATCTCTGTCACTAATTACCTGCACCACCACGGAGTAAGCCCAGGTATCCAGCTCCTTTATTTAGATAATAAGAGGGGCAACTCAGTGGGTAAATGAGATGATCTAAAGTCTCTTCTCATTCTAACAATCTATTAAAAAGAGACTTTAACACATCATAAGAATTTACATGATCACACAGACACACAAAATCACCTACCCAACATTTTTTATACACTAAAATAAATTACTTCCTTAACATTATACAAAATACTGTCACAAACTAATCATGTAAATACATTTCTAGTGTTAGAAAACATGATAAATTTATTTTAAAAAGTCATTAGAACATCATTAGGATAATAGAGCACTTGGAAATTTTCTCCTTTAACATACCACAGAAATTAAAGATGACTTAAAACAACTGAAAGGAAAATTTTTCTATGTCCTTTGTGTAAAGGGGGACTACTGTCTCAATAGTCCTACCATTAACATTACCAAAGTTCTCAGTCTTCACAACTGAGAAATTATAGAAAACATAGCCCCATTTTAACAGATGGAAGGCTGTGTAATTTGAGGTCACACGGCTATCAAGGAAAATGACCTAGTCTAGGTAAATCAGAGGCTGTACCCCTCACTCCTGGCTCTCTTCATGATCATACATGTGCATTTCTGAAAAATAACAACAAAAATCTACTATTTGTTTGAAAAGCAGCTCTGCATACAAAATAACATAATTTATGACCTTACTGAACTTGAATTTACTATCATATTTTACACAATTTTCTTACCCATCTTCCAAGCCATTCCTGAACATGCCAGAATACATCTTTCCATCAGGCCACTTCAAAACCCCTCTGGAATGCGTAAGCAAAGAATAATGCATGTCAACTAATATTTCAGATAATCAATACTTTTTCTATCACGTGATGATCATCCTCACCCCAGGTATAAATCTTCAACATTTTCACCTGCCATGAGGCTTCCCTGAAAGCCAGCGTCCATCATAGGTGGCATCCTTTAGGCGAGGATCTTTGTAGAAAGTATATTTGGCACTGCGTGAAATGGGTGGTTCCTGTCTCTGAACACTGCTACCACTTCCGTAAGTGGGAAGATCAGACATCCCTCTCAAAGCCTGATCTACAGCTTGGCTTATAGCTCGCAGCCACTTTGTCTAGGAGCAAAAAGTAATGTCAATAAGCTTAAGGCAACAATTCATCAAGCATTGCTTTACACCCTGTTAGTTTTCTTTGGTGTGAATAAATTATTTGCGTCCCATGCTTTTCCTATTAATAGAGTAATATTGACTGGCTCTTGGATTTCTCTGCTATATGTTTAAAATTAAGTCACATTAAAAAAAAAACAAAACCAAGAACCTATAGTTTTGGCTTAATGAAGATTTATCAGACAGAACTGTGCATCATTAGTCAAGCAAGAACAATTTATATTTCTTCTTTATTACACAAGAGGCAGAAAGAGCCAGGGTGAAGATTGAAAGAAAATACCATAATGGACTAACCTTTTCCTGGGGTGTAGATGAAATGAGAGTGAACTGCTCCTCAGGTGTGGTTATCTTTAAGCCATTCCTAAAACGTTCACAAGGACAAATACCAGTAGGTTTAACAACCTGTCGTTACAGTATCAATCCTCAAATTTGAAAAGCAACCTCTTTATTTCAAGAGGAGCAGAAGTCAATTAATGTAAATGCTTGTTTGGTTTTGGGTCCCACCATGGTGGAAAGAACAAAGAATTCTCTGCTCTGTGTTGAACGATGGGGATGTGTGCAATGAAGATGCCTTTTCATCACCTGATCGTGACTTGCCATGATCTTTGCAACAGGCCATTTTATTATCAATAGACTACTTTACTGTCTAATGTGCTGGGAGGGGGGTCTCGTTATGCAGAATGGGGAGACTGTCTCCCAAGTCCTCCTGAGCCTTTTTTCACATTTAAGGAAGCAACCTGGGTAACAGACTTGGACGGGGTAGAGTGGGGAGGGGGGACACACTTACACACCACCAGCTTCTTCAGACAGTGGCTCTGCCCACAGCGTGGCCAGAGGGAAAACATGGTGTGTGGAGAACTGAAACAGAGAACATGGAGGCACTTTTATGAAAGCCCATGTAGACCTTGGGGTCTCTGCCCATATCCCCTTCATGTCATTAACTCACATGGGCCCTGCAGTCTCTGCTCCACAACCCCTTGAAATAGTTAAGTCCATGTAGGTGCCACCAATTCTGCCACATTGTCCCCATAACACAGCTAACCCAAAGGGCCTTGCCATCTCTGCTGCAGGGCCCCCTTCACATGGCTGACACTCATTCTCAAGCTGGAAACTTCAGAAGTTCTCTGAAATCCAGTGCATACACAAATCCATGCTGTAGCTGAACAGTCTCTTTTAGTCAACAGTTTCAGTAAAATCACACTAGTTTTGAACATAAACTGATAGTATAGTTAATAAGGATAGGATTCCACCTTTCAGGGATTCTTTTAAGGGTGACGAATCCAGCCTACCTGGGCATGGACCAGTGCGTCATTAAAGAGAATGAACCAATTCACAGAAAACCTCCCAGCATGCTGCAGAGACAGGGCTCGGTTACTACTCTCACACAGCAGTCGACGCTCTGGCTTCCTCAAGGAGTCCTGGAATTAAAGACAAATATAATACTAAGTGAAACAATCAAAATCATTTTAACATGTAAAGAGAAAATAAAACAGACACAAATCACGTTTAAGGGAATTTGTTGGTCATAGCTTAGCTTGGTCTAAAAACTAAATTTATATGGGATCTAAACACTTCATAAAATTAGAGCTCAAAGGAGATTAAAAAGAAGACAAAAACAAACTAAAAGTGAGTAAGTCTCCAGAGAGGATTTCTAGAAATGAGAGAAGGTATTTAGAGTACCCATTGGTATGGTCCTTAGACATTTTAGGAAAGGGGTCATTAAAATGTTATTACCATAAACAAGTGAGGAACAGAGAAAATGATATCAATTGTTATCGAAACAGTTGCTGTTTGCTAGGGTAACAAATGACAATTGGCATGGCTTACCGTCATTTTTCCGGGGAAGGTCTTCCAGAAGCCCAGTGTGTATTCTGCTTCCTTCCTCTTCCTGCCGAGATGGAGAGCAAGACACTCATAACAAGAACTGGAATCCTGCAGTTTCTGATATTCTGGAGATGCCTACAGGGCAGAAATTAAAGAGGAGAAAAAAGAATATAAAATCATTATCCAGAATCAGTAGCCTCAGTCTGCTTTAGATATATAGTATTAAATGTAGGGGAAAATTTGGCCCAAGAGCATAAGTAGCACATTGCAGGAGACTGGGAAAAGGAGATTGGTTTTAGAAAAATTCTACTACATAAAAATACATATGAAATAGGGGAATAACTCAGGGGAGAGAGACAAAACCTGGCAGTTACTGAGGAGAGCAGCAGAGACCCCAGGATAGGGCAAGCGTTCTCAAATGTTTTGGTCTCGGGATCCCTTTATTTTTCTTATGTGGACTGTATCTATTGATATTTTACCATATTAGAACATAAAATTAAGAAATGTCAAAAGCTTTTACTAATTCACTTACAAAACTTTTTTAGTGGCAGGGCTCGGTGGCTCACGCCTATAATCTCAGCACTTTGGGAGGCCGAGGTGGGCAGATCATGAGGTCAGGGGATCAAGATCATCCTGGCTAACAGTGAAACTCTGTCTCTACTAAAAATACAAAAAATTAGCCGGGCGTGCTTGTGGGCACCTGTAGTCCCAGCTACTCGGGAGGCCGAGGCAGGAGAATGGTGTGAACCCAGGAGGCGGAGCTTGCAGTGAGCTGAGATGCGCACTCCAGCCTGGGCAACAGAGCAAGACTCCGTCTCAAAAAAAAAAAAAAAAAAAAAAAGTTTTTAGTGAGAAAAGTGTCAATGGTCCACATTTTTTCTAATCTCTTTATTATCTGGCTTTAAAAATGACAGCTGGACTTTTATATCAGCTTCTGCATTTACTGTGTTATATGTTGTTTGGTTAAAACCTATGAAGAAAATCTGGTCTTATAAAGGTATATATCTGAAATAGAGAGAAGCATTTTAATAGCCATTTCAAATGGATGTGGATATTTTCCTTTGATACTACATTAAAACTTGCTAAGTGGTAGATTCTTAAAGAGAGCTGCAATGTGGAATCTAAAACCACAGCCATGAGCTTTTTGTACGCTGAGATGTTAAAATCCAGAGGTTCATCGCGCTCTTTGAATGGGTCTTTTACCATCTATGACTTTGTACCATCTATGATTGTGGATTGGACATATAGAAAATACTGGTTGACTGAATTATGCAGATTTTCCAAATGTTGACATCTTTCTTCTACAACATCAAAAATCACAGGATCATAGAACCACCGATCTCATGAGATAAAGTCCTAAGTATCAGGAAACTGTCACACTCACAGTGGTAGATTCATCTCTAACATTCTAATTTTTGCTTAAAAGTTGAGATTTTATGATTGGCAACAAATACTATCATTTGTTCCCTTTGAAATGACAGGTTCATTTACTCATTTCTGAGAAAATATCTGCCAATATCCAAATCTGAAAAATCAGTTTATCTGTCAATTGTCCTTTCAAGTTGAAAAAAAAAAAAAAGGCAACCCATTTATTTCAACAGGAGCTCTCAACTGAACAATCACAATCATGCTTTTTCTTGAAAAACCACCACACTTCAGCATGCAGCAGAACTGCTTTACATGTACTTTGCACGTCACCACACGTAATAGGACATTCTTAAGTGAAATTGTATTTTAACTGCAAGCGCATGGCAATGAAGAATGCAATGACTACTAGTATAGTCTGGTGCCACTGCCTTGATTCCTACCAAGGAGCCAGCAGTTTTACCCACCTTAACTTCTGCACTATCAATGTAAATGACAACACAGTGGAAAAGGCAAATATCTTAGTACTATCATGAAAATAGTTTTGACCTTGTGAACCTCTTGAAATGGTCTTTGGAAGCCCCAGGGGTCTGCAAACCAAGCTTTGAGAACCAACTACTGGTGTAACTGCTATGCCATGTAGTGAGGGAGCAGAAGGTAAGATCGAAGGATGATCTCTCACATTCATGAGTTTACTTGCCACAATTGTGAGAGTCACTCATTTTCATTTTTTCCATTCACTTAAGAAACATTTAATGAGTATCTACCACATATGAAACATTCTGCTAGAATGCTAGGGAAAAAAAATAAGGCATGATCTTTGCACCATAATTAGGCAGACAAGATAGAAAAATGTACCAGAATAATGCAGTGGTTTTGTTAACAGGTTATATACCATAAAAGACAATCTAGAAAAGTAGGTTAAGAGAACAGATTCTGGAACCAGAGCCTGGATATGAATTGTAGCTCTGCCAGTTCTCAGCTGTGTCTCAATTCTCTCATCTGTAAAAGGCTGATGATGAAATAGGTATAATAATAATGCCTACTTCACCGAGTTGATGTGGGGATTAAATGAATACATATAACTTGCTTAGAACAGTGCCTGGCATATGGAATTCATTCAATAAATGTTAAGTATTATTTTTATATGGAGACATTTAAAAAATACATATATGTGTACACACACACGATGTCAAAGGTGTGCCTTAGACTTACTCAATTATAATGTATAGTGATGGAATACAGGCAGGTTTGTTTTGAAAAAGCTTCCACAGTTGATTTTGACCCCCTGTGATGAGGATAAGGGCCACTGATATAACATGAGAAGTGAATAATGGAAAGTGTTAGCAAAATAGAGTAAATAATCCTTCAGAGATGGATAGGGGAAAGAGAACCAATATAGTCAAAGAGGGCTTTATTTTCATGATAAAATGACTTCTGTCCCAGAATGAGGATGGGAGTGGGAGTGTTTCAGGAAGGAAATATAAAGCACATGAAAGCTACATCCAGGAAAACTGAACTCTGACTCTGAACAATTCTAAGTTGATCTGGTAGGAAACTTTTTTGTTGATTGAGGCCATGTTGGGGTGAAAGCTGTATCTCATTGGGATATTTGATAGGTCAAACCTTCACAGCTAAAGCTAGATCAGTTTAAAGATCTTGTAGGTCTTTTCTTTAGTCTAGTTTTAAAGTCAAAATCAGACTAAAGAAAAGACCTACAAGATCACAGTAGGCTCAACTGTAGAAAGCCTACATCAATCGGTTCCTGGGTCACTCTGAGGGGTGAAATCTGTTTAGATCAAGAGACAGACCCAGAGATTAAGAAGATTCTAAACCTATAAGGGGCCAGTATGTTGGCTCATGCCTGTAATCCCAGCACTTTGTGAGGCCGAGGCAGGCCAATCACTTGAGGTCAGGAGTTCGAGGCCAGCCTGGCCAACATGGTGAAACCTCATCTCTACTAAAAATACAAAAACAAAAAAGAAGTAGCCAGTGTCATGGCACATACCTGTAATCTCAGCTACTCAGGAGGCTGAGGCATGAGAATTACTTGAACCTGGGAGGTGGAGGTTGCAGTGAGCCAAGATTGCGCCACTGCACTCCAGTCCCAGTGACAGAACGAGACTCTGTCTCAAAAACAAACAAACAAACAAACAACAACAAAAAACCTATAAGAGACTTTGGAGTCATTATAATTTATCTAGAGCCTTTCAGGATAGAAACAAAATGAAACCACACATTTCGATGGTATTTGAAAGGTGAATGTCTCAGGACCAGCTTTAACATACATCTATATCCTAGTGTGGTGCTAACTTCCTAGGATTCCACCTAACTAGTTTTATATAGGAGTGGACTAGTTAACATTTGAGAAAATCCTGTAACACTGATTCCTCTCAGCATTTGCTAAGGTAACCTAAACACCTGGTATAAAGTCTAGCATGAATCCAGGCCAGTTAACACCCCTGCCTTACAGGTGTGTGCCCTTATACAGAAAACCAGGGCTTTGAAGAGCTCTGTTTAACTCATAGTCAGCATGCATCCAATAAATTTTGACAACTACTGAGTGAGTAACATCTGATAGAGTCTCAACTTTAGACAAAGTTTCATAAAATGAATACAGTTTATTCATCTTGATAAGGCCCTAAAAGGAAACTGAATCCACAGAAAACTCAATTTATCTACAGTCATACTTTCCTCTATCATTTCCCTGAAGAAAATTAAATTTAATTAGACACATGTAAATATTAAATTACTGGAGTTCCAGATCTTGTGGTGGCATAATCCATACAAACAACTATGATCCTTGGCTTTCCAAATGTCCAAAGAGGTATACATGGGAGCTTACCACTTCAAAACAAGTAGCAAGCTTTAGCAAAACTTTTGCATAATTATGAAGTCGTCTGATTGGCAAGAAAAACAAAGTATTCAGTATTTCCATCAACTGAGTGTTTTCATCATTCACTTCTGATAAATCTTGCAATAGCTCTTGGTTTTTATTTAGGAAATCACTAGAGGTAGAGGAAAACAAAATTAGTTAATCCTTTTTGAATTGGTAATATGCATGATATTAAATAAAACATTTCACTAGAAAGTACCTTTCAGAATGCACATTTTTTAGCTGCTATGAAAGTAGAAATACAATGAAATAAGCCAGATATAATTAAAAGAATTTCCCTATCTATATGATTTTTTAAGTATAAAAAGTAGCAAATGGTAGCAATACAAATGGTTAATCACAGGCTTGTGCCTATGTTCCAGGAAATGAATCATGCATCCCACAATTTAAGGTGAATAATCAGAGACCAGCTGACACCATTACCTGTTAATTTCAAAGCCAAAAGTCACAGCAATAAATAGCAAGACTAATTGCTCTAGGCAGCTGTGCTAAATAGAAACACTGGAAGAAAAGCGAAGCTCCTTGCTCCAACAGAATTAGTGTGGATATTAAAACACTTCTAATTTCTTCTTTTTTCCTTCAATTATGAGTTTATTATAGGAAAGTAATAAAAAGCTGAAAGAACTAGTATTACAGTTAACAAGAAACAATAAAGATTATATGTGACGATTTCAATGCCGAGATCTTCAAAAGCATTTCAAACTGAAGCCAAAAATTAGTTTTTAATATTCAGTTTTTTATAAATTCATCGTTAAAATTTTATTCCAAATTTTAATGCTGATCAATAACCCATTAAGGCTTAGCTCACCAAACCAAAATACTTAATGGTAAAGCAGTAAGAGTTGGTGAGCTGGGTGCAGTGGTTCACACCTGTAATCCCAGCAATTTGGGATGCCAAGGTGGGTGGATAGCTTGAGCCCAGGAGTTTGAGACCAGCCTGAGCAACATAACGAACCCCTGTCTCTACAAAAAATACAAAAATTAGCTAGACATGGAAGTGTACACCCGTAGTCCCAGCTACTCAGGCAGCTGAGGCAGGAGGATCATTTGAGCACAGGAAGTTGAGGCTGTAGTGAGCCGTGGTTGTGCCACTGCACACCAGCCTGGGTGACCAGCTTGTCTCAACAACAACAAAAAAGATCTTAGATAGAGTGCCCAGATTTTATTTATGTTTGGCTTGTGCTAATGTTCTTACTTTGTTCTCCATGTTCTACTGCAGAGACCAGCTGAGGACTTATTTAATTCTATACAAGTGTTCTGCTTTGACCTGCTCCTGAGAGACGGAGGTAAGATATAGTGAACACAAACTCCCTTGGACCATATTTCTCCTCAATACCTAGTACCCAGTCTACAGTAGACCAGAAATGTTCCAACTCTTGTGAACTCCATTACTTTCCAGGACTCACTCATGTCCTTACCTACAGTCTTCCCCGAAAGAGGACAAGCTACACTCCTAAGAAACCTGAACCAGAAATCATCTCTGATCAGCTTATCTTTTCTAGGGAGTTTTTAATCTAATAGTGGCAATATTACTTTTTCCTTATATGGCAAGGTCTATACTTTTTACCCAGATTTTTAAAATAAAAATATTAAAGGTAGAAACAACCTATAAGTGTCCATCAGCAGATGAACTGATTGATAAAATGTAGTAGTGTGTACATATAAGAGAATATTATTCAGCCATAAAACAGAATGAAATTTTGACGTATGCTACAACATGAATGAACCTTAAAAATACTATGCTTAAAGAAATAAGCCAGACACAGAAGGGCAAATAAATACATGATTCGACTTATATAAGGTACCTAGACTAGGCAAACTCATACAGAGAGGAAGTAGAATAGAAGTTACCAGAGCCAGGTAGACAGGGGGAGACAGTATGGGAGGAGTTATTATTTAACATGCACTCAGTTTTTCTTGGGGATAATGAAAAAATAGTGATGGTTATACAATACTGTGAATGTATTTGATGCCCCTCAATAGTACACATATTAGTGTACAATTAAGATTAAAATAAATATGACATTACATATATTTTATCACAGTTAAGGAAAAAAACTTGCATAATAATCAAACCACCAGGCAAGCCTGATGTGAGCAGCTGAGTGATAAATCAGATGAATGATAAGTGCTTGCACATCATCATCTAAGATCCACTAACAGCCATGTGGGCACCCTAGCTGTGCTCTAGACATTCTCAAACTCTCCTCTGAAAATGAAATCTTTAAGGTAATTTTAACTATTGACTTTGTAAATAGAAATGGGAAAAAGTTGTCAGTGCTGCCTTTAACTATGTAAAACCCAGGCTCTGGGCATGGTGCTGTGCAAAAGGCAAGAGGCTTTCAACTTACATCATCTCATTTTCCTGTTCTAATAAGGTCAGTTCTTCGGTACTGTGAATCTGACTCAGAAATACTAGAGGAAGGTCAACAACAGCAGAATAAGGAACCAGGGTCAGTAATTGCTGGAGCCCTTCAGGAAGCCCAGAAGCTTTCCATTTAAATTGTCACAAGTCTTCATCTATCTTTTGCATCTTCCTGTAATTAAACTTGTTTTTCTTTAAGCTTTACTATTTGAAAAATAACTATTGCATTTTCTCTCTGCTCCATTTAATTACAGGTTTGGGTACAACCCCATTTTCTCCTATTTTCTTTGGCTAAGATTCAGCATTTCACCAACATTATAGGTTAACTAAGCTATTTTAGTCATTATAATAATAAGATTTAAAATAATAAATATAAAATCAGCAATTACAAATCTAAACTTGTCAAAACCAGAAGTTCTCAAATGTAAACAACAACAATAACAACAAACAATAAGTCCATCCATTTGCTCCTTATAAGAAATATACCAAAACAATGTAGACAGGCTGAAAGTAAAAGAATGGAAAATGGTGATGTATTAAGATCAAGAATTTTAAAGTTACTACACAAGGTTAAAGACATATTCTTGAACCTGTCATTTTAAAAAATAAAGGCCAAACTCCTATATTTTGGAAATCAACAAGCGTGTGAGTCCAAGGATTCATAATGGAAGTTAGAAAAATACATCCAAAAATATTTAGAACTGAATGACTATAAAAACAAAACGTATCAAGACTTGTAAGATTCAGCTAAAGCAACAATTAGAGGGAAATTTGTAGCCTTAGATGGCTACATTAGAAAAATTTTAAATTTGAAAAATGAATGAACCAAGTGCTAAACTCGAAGTTGTAAGAAGTTAACAGGTGAACAAAAAGAAAGAAGGAAATAAAAAACAGAAATTAATGAAATTTTTAAAAGGGAAAGAAATGATTCCCTAATTTTTGAAAAAATTAATTAAAAAAGTAGTAAATTGCTGACAAGACTGATAAAGATAAAAAAAATAAAAGGCCCAAAAATCATAAGAATGAAAAATAGGGGGTACAACTACAGTTATTCTGGTGTAATCATCTTAAGACTATGGTAGGAACATTATGCCAATAAACTTTAAAACACAGGTGCAATGAACAATTTTCCAGAGAAATATAAATAACAAAAGCCATAAAAAGAAATAAAGACGTGAAAATACCTATTCATTAAATCAGTAAAAACTTCCTACAGCAAATGTCCCCATGAAGCCCAGATTATTTTTACAGATGAATTTTACTAAACCGTCAAAGTACAAATAATTCCTACTTCATATAAACTACGAACTTCCAGGAAACAGAAAAGGAGAAAAAGCTCCTCCATATCTGTGAGTTCCAAATCTGTGGATTCAACAACCTCAGACCAAAAATATTTCATAAAAAAATTATGTCTCTACCACTTTTTTGTCATTAATTCCTAAACAATACCATATAACAACAATTTATATAGCATTTATATTTTATTAGATGTTATAAGTAATCTAGGGATGATTTAACATATACGAAAGGATGTGCACAGGTTATATGCAAATACTAAGCCATTTTATATCAGGGACTCGAACATCCTTGAATTTTGGTTTCCTTTGGGAGGTCCTGGACTCAATCCCACATGGGTACTAAGAGACAACTGTATAAGCAAATTTAATTCAGCAATGTATTAAAAAATTAATACATAGATTACTGAATTTTGGAATTTGGAAACGCAAAGATATTTAATATTATAAAAATCGCTTCCTCTACAACTTTTAGAAATAGGGGCTTTTTAACCCTATAAATTGTATCTACCAAAAACCTAAAGTAATCATTTTTAATAGTGAAATATTAAAAGTATTCCCATTAAAACTAGAAATGAGATGAGATGGTTAGCATTCCTTCTATCAGGATAAAAGATCAAAGCAAACACGGGGCTGGGCGTGGTGGCTCACACCTGTAAGCCCGGTACTTTTGGAGGCCAAGATGGGTGAATCACTTGAGGTCAGGAGTTCGAGACCAGTTTGGCCAACATGGTGAAACTCCGTCTCTACTAAAAATACAAAAATTAGTTGGGTGTGGTAGTGCACACCTGTAGTCCCAGCTACTCGGGAGGCGGAGGCAGGAGAATTGCTTGAACCCAGGAGGCAGATGTTGCAGTGAGCCAAGACTGTGCCACTGCACTCCAGCCTGGATGACAGAGCGAGACCCTGTCTCAAAAAAAAAAAAAAAAAAAAAAAAGCAAACATGGTAAAACATTAACATCTGCTAAATCTGGGTGGTGAGTACATATTTAAAGTATTTTCTATTAAAATACAGAATTTTTGGCCTGGCACAGTGGTGCATGCCTGTAATCCCAGCACTTTGGGAGGCCGAGACAGGAGAACCACTTGAGCCCAGGAGTTCCTAACCAGCCTGGGTAACACAGTGAGACCCTATCTCTTCTATTTTAAAAAGAAAAAAAAAGTTAAATACAGATTTTTTTAAAACCTTGGCTTTGTTGCTGGGTCAACACTTGTTGAGAAACTATCCGTTTGGGATTATTGCCTTGTGTAAGGAGCTTTTAAATTATTTACCCAGAAGCTAAATGCAAATACTTTCTACCTGCGCAAACACTTTTTTCTGTGTATCACCACATACATTATTTGTTCCTCTCCAGTGAAAGAGAACATTACCATTTTTCAGATGAGAAAACACTAGGCCTACTGAAGTAAAGAGAGTTGTCCAAAGTCTCAGGGATAGCACGGAAGGACCCAGAACCTGAGCCTATTCATTCAGTGCTTTTTCAATGTCATACTATTTACAATGATAACCAGCGGTTAATAGTACCTGTCCTTTGTAAGACTTACTCAAAGTTTATATTTTGATTTGTTTGGTAAAATGATGAAGTCAAAGCTTTCCCTGGGCACTTGAAAACACAGAGCACTAAAAAACATGATCTTTGGTTGAGAGAACAACTGGAAGGTGTGGGTTTGCTTACATGGCAGGCTTAGCAAGAAGCTGGAATCCTCCCATAACCAGGAAATTTGTAATAGATGTGCAATACCTTGAGCAGAAAAGAAAACACATGTATGTTAGCTGAAATGTAAATTAGTTCTTCAGTTTCCAAACACATACCTGGAATAGATAATTCTTGATTATTTCACCAACGAATTTCAGAAGTTTTGTGATGTTAACATTTGTGAAGGGCAGGTTGTGTAATAATTACAATAATGGAGGTAAACGGAGGGGTAGGGGAATTCCAGCTTAGTAAAGATGGTAATATAAGGCTGGTCACATTTGCTCACACCTGTAATCCCAGCACTTTGGGAGGCTAAGGCGGGAGGATCGCTTGAGCCTAGGAGTTTGAGATCAGCCTGGGCAGCATGGGGAAACCTGACTCTACAAAAAAATAGAAAAATTAGTTAGGCATGGTGGCACATGCCTGCAGTCTCAACTACTTGAGATGCTGAGGTGGGAGGATCCATTGAGCCTGGGAGGTTCAGGCTGCAGTGAGCTGTGATTCCAACATTGCACAGCCTGGGCGACAGGGTAAGACTGTCTCCAAAAAAAAAAAAAAAAAAAAAAAAAGATGGTAATAGAAAAGGAAATTTTAAAAACACCTAAAGCTATGCAGAAAATACAGTAATTTACTTGGTATCTACCAAGCAATATCTATTATGTGGTAACTTAATTAACATACTTGAGAAAACATAATTAAAATAGTTGAATTTTGAATGAAAATTTTCTCTAATCTTCACTTCAGGTTTCCCAATTAAGAAATGACAGTGAAGGCCGGGGGCGGTGGCTCACTCCTATAATCTCAGCACTGTGGGAGGCCGAGGCAGGTGAATTACCTGAGGTCGGGAGTTTGAGACCAGCCTGGCCAACATGGTGAAACCCTGTCTCTACTAAAACTACAAAAAGTAGCTGGGCGTGGTGGCGGGCACCTGTAATCCCTGCTACTTGGGAGGCTGAGGCAGGAGAATCACTTGAACCTGGGAGGCGGAGGTTGTGGTGAGCCAAGACCGTGCCATTGCACTCCAGCCTGGGCAACAAGAGTAAAACTCCAGCTCAAAAAAAAAAAAAAAAAGAAAAAAGAAAGAAAGAAATGACAGTGAAGGTAAGAAAATATGTTAAAAGTGGTTGAGTCAGTGTTAGAGAATGTTGATTAAATATTGATATACTGCTAAAGAACAAGTCTAGTTATACTGCTTTGAGCCTTGTACATTTCCTGTACACACCTGGGCTGGCAAAGGGAATCAACTGACTTTGAGGAAGAAGGGAAACTCCTACTAAAATTAGCCCACAGTACCGTACAATTAAATATGGTTATAATGGTTAATTTTATGTGATGTGTATTTTATCACAATTAAAAATAATTTTGGCCAGGCACAGTGGCTCACACTTGCAATCCTAGCACTTTGGGAGGCTGAGGCAGGAGGATAACTTACACCCAGGAGTTTGAGACCAGCTTGGGCAACATAGTGAGACCCCTGTCTCTACAAAAAATAAAAAAATTTAGCTGGACGTGCTGGCATGCACCTGTAGTCCCAGCTGCTTGGGAGGCTGAGGTGGGAGAAACACTTGAGCCTGGGAGGTCAAGGCTGCAGTGAGCTGTAATGGTGCCACTGCACTCCAGGCTTCAATAACTTTAAAATTATTATAAAAATAATTTTAAAGATTCATACGTAAACCCAAATATTTTACTTGCCCCATCTATAGGAATAAAACGTTATGTTAAAAAAAAGCCCAAAATATCTAAACAAAAGCATTTTTAAGCATAAGGCCTCAAGTACCAGAGAAGAAAAAGAAGTGAAGTAGAAGTATTATGAGATGAATTCCAGTCAAAAAATGAAAATTATACCAGTAAAAGTTGGAATCACAAAAACAACAAAATCTAGTTTTAAAAAAGAAAACTAGTAGTAAGTTCTATTATTTTTATTTTTCATTTCTGAAAGATGATGAGTTAAAAGACTCAAACCAGGATATTTCCTCTTAGAAAACAGCTTCAAATATTTTCAATTTTGCTTAGAATTAAAATAGCATCCAACTATCTGCACATATTACATAGGTTGGAAAGGAAATACACTAAGAAGATAAACAGTGGTTAGTTCTGGTGGTAGGATTATGGGTGATACTTGATTGTCTTTATTTGCGCAGTTTTCAGTAATAGACACATGTTATTTATGTTATAAATAATCAAAACACCAACAAAACATGAACTCTGTGAGGGCTGGTGCTTTTCGCAGGCCCCATGCTGTGCTGCTGTGGGCTTGGAGCTCCCCGCAAATGCCTGGCACTGAGTGGACACTCAGTGTTTGCTGGATGGTTGAGGTGTGAATGAATAGAGAACAAAACCTATACATACTTCAGATCAAAGCATAACCTAACATACTTTAAAATAACACTTAAATTACGCCTCACATCATCATATCAAAATACAAGAAAAGGTAAGTTACATTTTAAGTTACATTTTCAAGTACACTTGGGATATTTTACTTGAAAAACATGCAAAGAACCTTGAATAACTATTCTAGGTTTTATTAAGAAAAAACATCTTCGAGTTAAAAATAGTTGGGTCTTTTAAAACTTCCATTTACACAAAAGTAAAAAGCAGACATCAGAACAGCTCCATACTTACAGTCAGCAGTTGGTCTTAAAATAATTTGTTTAGTTACTAATTGCTTCAAGTTTTAGTACAATTTAGTTAAGTAAACAAAATTGTTACCTAAAGAACCACTTATAATAGTACATTTTATGTAAATTATGCTATTATTCTGCTAGAATATAGAAGAAAACATGATAATTCATTTTTTAAACCTTTTTTTTCACTTAGAGAAGACTAAATTTTAGCACTCCAGAACTATAGTTGGCTTAAGATTAAAATAACTGCTTTGCAATTTCTATTACCTTATATCACTCTCCCTAATCTAGTCTCTTCTGATTAAGGAGCTGTTCTCCTTGGTAGAATAACCCTGCAGAGATTGAACATGACACGGGACTGGATACTTGCTCTGTATAACTATCCAAGAAGAGACTTGCATGCTTCAGGATGACCAAACTCCTGGCTTCCTTTACCCCATGAAGGAAGCTGCTCAGTGAGGCTCCATGCTGACCAATGAGGTAACACAGCTTGCTGAATCGGCTAGCCACCTCCTGCAACAGCTGGACTGTAGTTGTAGTGCCCAAATTTTCTATAACAAAATAATGATGATGATGACAACAACATAAACTGAAAACCGATCACTTTATTATGATCATATGATTATGATTATGAATTCCTCTAAGACTACTTAACCTGTTGCCATGTGCTCTCAACTAAGGAACCCAAATGATTACAGTATTAAAGCAACTCAAAGATCACAGTATCCAGTACTTTGAGGAACTTGTTAAAAACACATTCACAGGAACCTTATAGATTCCAGGATGACTTTTTCTGTTAAAAAGACTCTCCAGGTGACTTTAAAGATGAGCCAAATTTGAGAACCATTGAGCTAATGCAACTCTCTGGTCATTTTGAAGGTAAGTAATCTGAAGCCAAGAAAAGGGAAGTCAATTATCTAATTTACGTCACTGATTAATGACAGTCAGGAATTAAACTCACTTGGGGAGTTATATCTTTGTTAAGATTTTCAGCTTTTTTGTTCTGACTTCTGCTCCACTTGCCTCTTTGACAAGCCCAACTGATCAGTGCAGAAAAGGCAATCCAAACATTGGACTGCCGAGGATGCTCTGAATTTCAGAGAGGGCACCAGGATATTATTTGCTTTTTGCCTGTCTAAAAGTCCTCATTTCTAGGACTTCTTTCCAAGCAATTAGGAAACTAGACTGGGAAGACCAACAAAGAAATCAGCAACCAGGACAGGAGAGAGGCAGATTTAACTTTCCTTTCAGAGCAAACCAGGAAGCTTCCAGCTTAGATTGCTTCCTTTCCCTTGGCAAAGTCCTGGAGTGTTCAACCTACCTAGAGGAGGGGAATTTATAGAACAGAGACTCCACAACACTTAGAAGGTAATAAAAACAAAAACACAAATGCAGACAGTCCTCAGCTTACAAAGGGATTATATTCACAAAGACTGTAAATTAGTTGTTTGAAAAGATGTTTTTCCACTAGAAACAATGGGCAGGCCGGGCACGGTGGCTCACACCTGTAATCCCAGCACTTTGGGAGGCCAAGGCAGGCAGATCACTTGAGGCCAGGAGTTCAAGACCAGCCTGGGAAACAGGGCAAAACCCCGTCTCTACTAAAAATACAAAAATTAGCAAGTGTGGTGGTGCACACCTGTAGTCCCAGCTACTCAGGTGGCTGAGGCACAAGAATCGCTTGAACCCAAGAGGTGAAGGTTGCAGTGAGCTGAGATTGTGCCACTGCACTCCAGCCTGGGTGACAGAGCAAGACTCTTCTCAAAAAAAAAAAAAAAGAAAGAAAGAAAAGAAAAGAAACAATGGGCTGACCTGCACAAGAAAGACAATGTCCTCAACGTGGCAGAAGGGATGTACTAGAGTATTAGCCTGTATTCTGGATCAACACAGGGGGCAAGGAGTGCAGGAGAGAGAAAGAATAAGAAAACTTCCTCTCTGTTTTCTGACTGTAGGGCCAAGCCCAGAAAAAAAATTTGAAATAGGAAAAGTTTATTTGCAACAGTTCCCTCAAGTTCCATTCTGCATTCCTTTCTATTCTCCCAGAAACCCCAGGTACCCAGTATATCTGGACAGTGGCATCCCATCTAGTACTACTGTAACCCATTCCCTCTGTATTACCCCCTCACTTCCAACCTCTTTGTAGCTGGGCATAGCTAAGAAAAAGAATCAGATTTAATCAACTCATGCTGAGGGATAAGATCTTTCTTTTCCCCCCCGAGATGGAGTGTTGCTCTGTCATCCAGGCTGGACTGCAGTGGTACGATCTAGGCTCACTGCAACCTCCACCCTCTGGGTTCAAGCAATTCTCCTACCTCAGCCTCCTGAGTAGCTGGGATTACAGGCGCCTGCCACTGTGCCTGGCTAATTTTTGACTTTTTAGTAGAGATGGGGTTTCACCATGTTGGCCAGGCTGGTCTCAAACTCCTGACCTTGTGATCTGCCGTCCTCAGCCTCCCAGAGTCCTGGGATTACAGGTGTGAGCCACCATGCCCAGCTGGATAAGATCTTTAACACTCTTATAGTTATCCACAATTTTAAGAGACTACTTGTAAATCCAAATAAATCTCTACTTGATATAATTCTAAGAACTATAATGAGGAAAACGAAAAATTCAGATAGTATACTGGAAGATCTCTTAGGACCAGGAGGGGCATAAGTGTTGTTTGGAAGTCTAACTTTATGTAGGGTCAACTTTCCCAAAGTTGTTTTTGCTCCTCTGCCATCAATATCCTAAAAGTTCCATTTTCTACTTCTGCAAGCCGCGGGAGCTCTGGGAGTGGCAGGACAGGGCAGGGGCAGTGAGGCTATCGACAAATTGGAAACAGTTTATAAATTGTTGACTACCTGTGTACACACACACACACAAAGACAGGGGATAGAAAGAAGTAAACCATAAACTAACAGGTTTTCAAGAAGAGATAAAGACCTGATGATTTAGTGGTGGGAGAGAGGGGGTTGCAACTTACCTAAACTGAGAAGAGGCCTGAGAATCTGAGATTTGATATCACTTAGTTTTGAATAGAATCGTCTTTCTGTAGTAGCTAACTCGTGGAGACTGGCAATATACCCCATAATGTTTTTATCCACCAAGGCTAGATAGCTATCTTTTCCTGCTGTCACTCTGCTTATATATCCAAGCTGAAACAAGAAAATAAAAGGATTAAATATAACATATAATTATGTTAGTAATTTGGTATACTGAAGCTGACTTATATCAGCTGAAAAGAGCTAACTTAAATATTCAGAAAATTTGCAAGCAAGTAATTAAACCATTGGCAGCTTGAAAATTGGCCACACTGAAAATGTGCAAGCACTACAGACTAGGGTTTTTTTTGGCGGGGTGGGGGATGGGGGGTTGCTTCTTTCTTTTTTAGAGCTGGTTCATCAGTACATCATTGTTATATATGCATATCTGAATCTATACATAACTATATACACCTACTTTCAATCATCTCCAAGATACCTTTCATTTCACATTACAAGTGTTTGGAAACAGACACCCTGGATATATAAAGATCCAAATGATAGGGATACATGTCTCAGGACCCCTTTCCGAGTAAAATAAGATTAATGAGATCAGGGAGGATCTCTATGCTATATATTAAAATATCTAGGATTCAAGAATTAACCTGCCTTTTGTACAATGAAATGAGATTTTCTTAAAAAGGGACTTTTTGTCATTTACCCAAGATACCACTGTATAAAAAACATTCCATGTCTTTATTCACATATCCCATTAAATCAGGCAGGCAAGTTATAGACCCAATGCACTATTAACATCCCATGGTAACCAAAGACACACACGAGAGCTCTTCATTCCTTTCATCGGCCCATTTGATCCTTTATCTAGACTGTGAAATCATTCATGGGGAATGTAACGCCAGGACCGGCAACTACAGACACATCTTGGCCAATGTTGCCTTTAATTTTTAAATATTTTTTTGTTTTGGTAGAGACGGAGTCTTGCTATGTTCCCCAGGCTGGTCTTGAACTCCTGGCCTCAAGTGATCCTGTAGTCTCAGCCCCCCAAAGTTTTGCAATTATAGGGATGAGCCATTGTACTCAGTCCCAGTGTTACCTTTAGCAAGAAAGATCTTGTTCTCACGCATTCGTAACTTACTAGCTAGAAAAACAAACACAAAGACCAAAAAAAGAAAATAAAATAAAAAAGTCAATATGCTATTTTACTCAATAAAAATAAGAAACCCTAGAATATACTAGTTTTGGGGGTTAATTTCCCTGCAACATGTCACTTTATGGGGAAAAGGAAAGTTAGAAATAAGCCAATGGTTTCAGTTTACAAAAAAGAAGAAAGGAAAACAGAGTAGGAAAGCAGATCAAATGAAAAGGGGATAAACAGTAGGTAAACAGTAGGAAATAAAATTAAGGCCAAGCAAGGTGGCTCAGGCCTGTAATCCCAGCACTTCAGGAGGCTGAGGCAGGCAGATCACTTGAGGTCAGGAGTTCAAGACCAGCCTGGGCAACATGGTGAAACACTGTCTCTACTAAAAATACAAAAATTAGCTGGGCGTGGTGGTGGGCACCTGTAATCTCAGCTACTTGGGAGGCTGAGGCAGGAGAATTACTTGAACCCAGGAGGCGGAGGTTGCAATGGGCCAAGACTGCATCACTGCACTCCAGCCTGGGCAACAGAGAAAGACTCGGTCTCAAAAAATTAATTAATTAATTAAATTAGAAGCAGAGAAGTGAAGCAGGTGAAAACAGAACACTGTTGGTTGTCTGTCGGGTCTCTCACGGTCTGCCATGAGCCTATCTCAGGCTCTTGCACTGTTACTTCCCACTTATAGTTAGAAATTCAACTACTCTATTTCTGTTCTGATTCACCTCGAGGGTTCTATGGCTGCAGTCAGGAAACTTCACAGTAAAATGTACTTTCCAATATTCCTACATGAGGGTGTTAATTCAACAAATGTTTATAAAGTATGTACTATGAGGCTACAGCAGTGAATGAGATAGCCTAAAATCCCTATCCTTCTGAATCTTACATTACAGTAAGGAGGACAGACAATAGATAAAATAATTAATTATATAGTGTGTTCGATGGTGATAGGCCCTATGGAGAGAATAAGGAGAGAAAAGATAAGGAATGAAGGGGGATTGAAAGGAGTTTGCAATTTTAAATAAGGTAGTTAGAGATGCTTACTAATAATTACATAATAAATTTGCATACATACAAATAAAAACAAAAAAGACTTCTCATGTGTTACTGAATGTGGGCCTTAGGATCCAATTCCTGTTCACCTTACTACAGGAGAGAAGTACTGGAGTCTTAGAACCACTGTGATTCTCTGGAAGGTTGTCACCTTCTGTAGGGTCCTGTCGGCCACTGTAATATAACCCAGGCTGGAAGTCTTCTGTATCCACTAAAAACAGGGAATAATCCTGGCCTGCGGCTACGCTCCAGACTCCATTTTCACTGCTTATCTGCAACGACAGAAAGATAGCGTCTGTCCAAGATAAAGGCAATCAGAGAGAACTTCAGATCCACAGAAACTGAAACGTTAGGTTGCTTAAATAAGCATGGTGCAAAGTCAGTCATATCTGAGAGCAAACTCACCCAGCAATTTGCCCAATCAAATGCAGAGCAGCAGGTGCAGGAATAAGACGGAATCCCTTGTTCAGCTTTTAAATTTAGAACTGTTTTTATAAAAATCTGAAAAATTGGAATTTAAAAAGGAAAAACCACACATCTAATTTTTTATTGTTACTTTTAGAAGTCTGCACAGACTGTATTAAAATGAAGAGACCCAGAAACTTCCAGAGCCCTACTGTAGAAGTGACAATTAGGACATACCTTTGTCCTTCCACATTTGGCTGTGTGCACAAAAATCGAGGTAAAAGAAAATCTAATAAGGCTAAATTATATTCTGGCCAACTACACTCTTGGGAGAAAATTCAGTTTTCCCACTTGGAACTCTACTGATCCTATGTGACTTTACTGTGCCTACTCCCAGGATGTTAAAACAGGTAGAGCCCCTGACAAGCCCATCTACAGGGATACCTTAGACCAGTGGTTCTGAGTGGTCTTTGCAGCAGCAGCAGCAGCCATCACCTGGGAACATGTTAGAAACACAAATTCCCAGGCCCCAGAGCTCCTGGGGGAAGGGGAACGGGGAATAGAGTCCAGCACTCTGTTTTTTTGTTTTTGTTTTTTTGAAATGGAGTCTCGCTCTTTTGCCCAGGCTGGAGTACAGTGGCGTGATCTCAGCTCACTGCAAGCTCTGCTTCCTGGGTTCATGCCATTCTCCTGCCTCAGCCTCCCGAGTAGCTGGGACTACAGGCGCCCACCACCACGCCTGGCTAATATTTGTATTTTTAGTAGAGACGGGGTTTCACCGTGTTAGCCAGGATGGTCTCGATCTCCTGACCTCCTGATCCACCTGCCTCGGCCTCCCAAGGTGCTGGGATTACAGGCGTGAGCCACCGCAACCAGCCCAGCACTCTGTTTTAACAAGCACTCCACAGGTGATTCTGACGTATGCAAAAGTTTGAGAACCACTGCCTTTAAATCAATAATTTTTAAACCTTGGGATTCCACAAAGTGATTCAGTAGCCACCATGCAAAGGCAGGTGCCAGGGCTCCAGGCCCCCACTCCATCCTTAACCAAAGTAGTTCCTCCTTTGTGGGCTTTATGTATGGGATTCCTCATAAGATTTCATTTGGAGAAAGTGCGTTACTGCAAAAACTATTGCCCCTAACCTCTGGATCCAGCTTCAGCTCCTAGACTGACAGATAAAACAACACACACACACACACACACACACACACACACACAAACCCACACAAATACACTCTCTAATCTGTTAGATCCTTTGTGTTTAGATAGTTTCAGCACTGACTCCCGGAATGATGAACAAATAACCCTTAATCTATTTGATCCTTAGTATCTAGCTAGGCTCTAAATCACAGGTGATTTTGTGTGCGTGTGCGTGTGCGTGTATGTGTCTACTACTAATTTTATAGCAGTCTTCTTCTGGCATGACATTATGCTCTCAAATTCAGGCTATCCAAATAACGGACTTCCCATTCATTTTGCAAAGGATGCATTACAATTTTTGCAGGAGGAGAGAGTCTTCTTCCTAGCCTCAAAACTAATTCAAATCTCACTCTGCCTTCACTTTTAACTCTCACAGATTAATCAGGATGACTTCAAAAGTTTTTCTCAGCGTTCCTCAAATAAAGAAACCAAGCTCATAATGGTGTTGAAGAGTTATGAAACTAAAATCTTGTAACAAACTATTCTCTTGTCTGACTCTAAAATGTTAAAAAGGAGTTTGATTTTCAGGTCTCCATGCTACATTACAAAGCTTTCCTTAGTATGAATAAGCGCATACTTTAATGAAATAAACAAAAAACAAGGAACAATGATTTGCAATATTTTTCTGACAATGTATCAGAAACTGAATAGCTTACTACTAAGATGTTTTATACTGAAAACACTTCAGACTGGAGCTAGAAGTAATAATTGTTCCCTAATGTTTTATTAAGCCTTTTCATCCCAGTAAAATTAAGTTCACCAAAAGGAAAGCCAGCATGTAAAAGTCTTAAATAGTGACAGACGCACAGTGCACACTGCCTGTATGAATTATTGGAATATTTTTTAACTGTCACTTACATTCAAAGCATATTCCTGAAATTGATGTAATTGCCCTTCTTTAATCTCCATTACTCCAGAGGGAGCATGTCTTGGGATAGGGGAGATATCAGGATCCAACTACATATCTATGACCTCCATATTCCACTCTGTCACGTGGTGGGCATCTCTACCAAAAAGCCCTAAAACTCTTGTTTAAGGAACCAATACAACCGATGAGAATTTGGTATTTCCTCAGTGCGATGAGGCGGAAAACAAGGTGGAGAAACACATTACAGAACTGCATCAAAGAGACTAGAAGCTACCAGTCTCTCAATAGCATTACATAAACTAAAACCAATCCATCTAACAGTTAAAAAAAAAATCACCTCTACTTTTAGCTTTGCTACAGAAAGTGAAAAGGCTTACCAAAAAAGGTTTTACTACTCTGCATGTTATTTTAAAATTCCCACACAAAATTACACCACCAAATAATGTTATGTAAAAGTCAAACAATGGAGAATTCAGAATAGACATTATCTGGTAACACTGAGAAAACAGTAGAGTCCTAGAAACATGTTTTAAAAGAAAGCACTTTTTCATTTTTTACTTAAAAAGCAAAGGAACTATGAATATTTAATGAACAGTTGAAGCTAAGAAATATAAACACATAAAAAACGGACATTTAGCTTGAAAACACGTGGCTTCCTGTTTTTAAAAATTTTCTTAAGAAAACCAAAACAAATTTAGGTTGTACATATGAAATTCCCCTGATTTTTTAAAGTAAGAAATAGAGAAATATTAGGTGTTACATTTAAGAATTGTGGAATAAGCTGCTATCAAGTTCACAAAAGTACCTTTGCAAGACGAGGAATTGTTGTTGGAAAATCGGAATGCCCAAGTTGACCAAAAGTATTGCTACCCCATGAGTAAACCTATCAAAAAAACACAGAAAAGTAGCTAAGAGTTGTGAATCTGATTTTGCACATCAACTCTGAACCTTTATAATAATTAACATATATATACAAACACCAACAATTATACATAAATTACTTATGTTAGTCTTTTACTCTTTAACAGATATTAAGGAAATTCATTTTTAAACAAGACCAGAGATAATGGGCAAATAGAGTCTTGCTACATAAGAAGACACAGAGTCCAAAAATTAGCCAGGCGTGGTGGTGCACGCCTGTAATCCCAGCTACTTGGGAGGCTGAGGCAGGAGAATTGCTTGAACCAGGCAGGCAGAGGTTGCAGTGAGCCAAGATTGCGCCACTGCATGATTGCATTCCAGCCTAGGCAACATGAGCAAAACTCGGTCTCCAAAAAAAAAAAAAGACACAGAGTTGAAGAGTCAACAATAACAATAACTAACACTTTTCAGTGCTTACTAACTGCCAGACATTGTTCTTAACACTTTCTGTATGTTAATCGATGATTCATTCTCACAGCAATCCTAACAAAAATAAATAAATAAATAATAAGGAAACCCAGAGAGGTTAATTAATTTACACGTGGTCACAAATTCATATGTAAAAGGTGGGATTTAATCCCAGGAATTATCATATACTGCCTCTTTTAGAGACAGCAATAAAAACATTAAGTGATACAGAGGAAAAGTAATCATGATTTCCTACCCTGTAGATAAAAGTACTATGGAATGAACAGAAAACCTTTCATACATGAAGAGTTACTGTAAGAGAAACACAAGTACCTGCACATCACTGCAGACAAAAGAAATAAGATGACAATGACTATGTTTAGTTAAAATGCTTGTTTATTCTGATTATGAAAGTAATTCATGGTCATTGTACAAGACTGTGACAGTACAAAAATAAAAATAGAAATAAAGTGAAAATCACTGATCAACCACTTGGTGGCACCTACTCTTCTGTACATCAATAAGTATAGATCTGCAACATCATTTTTAATAACTATCTAGAACTCTACTGTGCATATACTTTAACAAATTACCTACTGAATTAAGTTCTTTTCAATTCCTTTTTTTTTTTTTGGAAACAGAGTCTCATTCTTGTCACCCAGGCTGGAGTGCAATGGCGCGATCTCAGCTCACTGCAACCTCCACCTCCCAGATTCAAGCAATTCTCCTACCTCAGTATTCCAAGTAGCTAGGATTACAGGTGCTTGTCATCATGCCCAGCTAACTTTTGTATTTTTAGTAGAGATGGGGGGGGGTCTCACTATGTTGGCCAGGCTGATCTTGAACTCCTGACCTCAGGTGATCTGCCCACTTCAATCTCCCAAAGTGCTGGGATTACAGGTGTAAACCACCACACCCAGCCTCCAATTCTTTAATATTAAAAAGGATAGGAAAAATCCTTGAATACATATATTTTTGCTTAGGATAAATTCCTACGCAAAGACTATGCCATTCTGATTTTTGATACATACTGACAAACTGTCTTCCAGCAAGGTCCAATTTACATTCCTGCCTGCGCTGCATGCACACTTTCTCCCACATCCTAATCAACGCTCAGCATTAAAGGCAATCCTTAGGTTTGCATATGTTAATCTCATAGGTGAGAAAAACAATGTACTGTTGTTTTTTACTTTAAACGTATTTGCTAATTGACCATCTTTTCATTTATTGCTGGCCATTTCTACTTCTTTCATGACTAAAATATAAATATCCTTTTGACAATTTTTATCCTTTGACAATTGTTCCTTTATATATAAGTGTAGCAACACTTTATTACATATGTTGCAGATATTTTTACCCAGTTTGTTATGTATTTTCATTTTGTTTACACTGTTTTCATTGCTGTTCAGGACTGCTGAATCATCATGTTGACAAACATATCTTACTTTCTAATTTCCAGTTTTGATGTTACGTCTTTTTCTATGCCTAAAAGAGTCATCTTAATTTGTTCACACACACACACACACACACACACACACACTCACAGTTCTAGTTTTTAATGACATCATTAATACACCTAGAATTGGAATATGTATAGTCATCTTAGTTTTCTCCTACAGATATGAAGTCAGTAAACATTTACTACATTTACCGGATACTCGAGTCTTGTTTTCCCAACTGAATTGAATCCCCCACTTTTATATCTTAAATTCTCATATCTACTTGAGATTATTTCTAGCCTATAGGCATATTTCTGTTGCATTGATCTGTTTAATTTTAAAATATATAAGGGTAAATCTCTCTTCCTTTTTACCTGGCTCATCTATGTTTATTCTTCTAAAGTAATTTTGGGATTATTTTATCAAATTGTAAATATTATACTGGAATATTTTGGGGACTGTACTGAATTTTCACTGTGCTGATTAAGGATTCAAGAGAAAAATGACATTTTTACAACTGATGCATCTCATCCAAAAATAAAATCTCTCCCTTTACTACTGCTTTTATGACTCTTCAAAAGAGTTCTAAAGTTTGCATCATATGGGTTATACGCATTTTCTACTGATTCCTACTTCCTTAATACTTTTGGTGTAGTTGTGAGCAGAATTTCCTCGAGTATGTTTTGTTTCATTGTATGTATACAATAGAGCCAGTAATTTTTATTTTGTAACTGACCTCCTTCCTAATCTCTCATTTTTAAGTTTTTTGAATGAATCATGTTAAAAACAGTAAATTCTCCTTTTTCTTTCCTAATATTGACATTTATACGGGTTATATTAGTTTTTTGGCTAGCCTAGTATGTGAAATTTGCAATCAAATCAAATATTAAAAGGTTTAGAATTATTTATTGGCTTCTTAAAACGATAAAAGAATTGGTGAAGAACCATTATCGAAATATGAACATATTTAATAATAACATTGCAGATGAGCAGTCTGAGTTTAAAAAAAAAGAGTAACTTAAAACAACTTATTTTGTGTTTATGTATATGGGTATGGTTTTTAGTAATGCTAGAAGTCACTTTCAGGTCCCACAGTTTTAAAGAAAAATGCCTTTGTTTTCTTAGAGTTTTACTATATGCTTTCTTTGTCAAGTAACAAATAAAAATTCACCAATACCCCGGAAAATCTGGGGTTCTCTTTTTAGATGAGAACACATTATAGAAAGCTCCTAAATCAGGGAGACCAGTGTTTAAATCCAAGCTCTACTGTTACATACGGTTACTTTAGACAAGTTACATAATTTCTCTTACTCCACTTCCCTCATCTGTAAAGTGGAAATAATACCATGCAAAATATTGGAAACCTAAATTGAGATACGGTATCACTGCCTGACATATAGCAGATACTCAACAAATGAGGGTCCAATAACGTCACGTTGACCTTCCATAAAAATAAGGTAAGTATTTAATAGTTTGCCTCCTACCTGGGATTTTGCAGTAAGTGCAAGAGAATGGTAACCACCTGCCTCCAGATGGATTACTTCTTTGCCATCCAGGCATTTTACGCACAACGGTTGAAGCCTTAAGGAGAAACACATAGGCACACAAAGTCAAAGTATTCTCAAGCAAGAATCGTAGCCTTTCTCAAATTATAAACTACATTCATGTAAAAATAATTTTTTTTTTTTTTTTGAGATGGAGTCTTGCTCTGTTGCCCAGGCTGGAGCGCAGTGACGTGATCTCTGCTCACTGCAAGCTCTGCCTCCCAGGTTCAGGCCATTCTCCTGCCTCAGTCGCCCAGGTGCCCACCATCATGCCCGGCTAATTTTCTTTTTGTATTTTTAGTAGAGACGGGGTTTCACCACGTTAGCCAGGATGGTCTTGATCTCCTGACCTCGTGATCTGCCTGCCTCAGCCTCCCAAAGTGTTGGGATTACAGGTGTGAGCCACCGTGCCCAGCCAAGAATAAATATTTCTAAAGAAAACATTAAAATAAACATAAGGGATATATGTTCAATCTACTCCTAAGTATCATAAATAATTTTTGGAAGGTTTTAATCTTTGTCTATCAATCACTAACTAATCCCCACAATTTAGAATCTGTTAAGAATCATAAAACTACAAATGATTCTTTATAGCAGAAAGTATACTTAGGATATAATAAAAAATAACCATAGAAGGAAGGTAATTTTTAAATTAATTCCAGTTGCCTTCACTCTACTATGAATAGAGGCATTTATATTAACTCACTACTTTAGATAATCATTCCAATTACTCACTTAAAAACTTCTCAATATCTAATTTGTTAATATCTAACAGTTTCTAATAAACAAAATGCCAGTTTTACTCTAATATACATGAATAGACATAGTCTGATGTTTCAATTATAGTTATTTTGGCAGTGGCAGAGAGACGTCTTTCAGGTTAAAAAACAAACAAAAACCTGTTGGCTCTTTTCTTTCCCTATGTGACAGGTGGTGACCTTTTTATCAATTAAAAATCTGAGCCATTCCTGTCTTCCAGTGAAATATAACTTACCCTAACATCCCTTTCTGTACTCCAAGATGAACACACATCGAAGAAGATGTGGAAAAGTGCAGCATGGATACTTAAGTCTTTTACTGCTTTTTTTTTTTTTTGAGATAAGAATTTCGTTCTTTTACCCAGGCTGGAGTGAAGTGGTGCAATCTCAGCTTACTGCAACCTCTGCTCTTCCCAGATTCAAGCGATTCTCCTGCCTCAGCCTCCTGAGTAGCTGGGATTATAGGCGCCCGCCACCACACCCAGCTAATTTTTGTATTTTTAGTAGAGACAGTGTTTTGCCATGTTGGCCAGCCTGGTCTCGAGCTCCTGACCTCAGGTGATACACCTGCCACAGTCTTCCAAAGCACTAAGCACTAGGATTAAAGGTGTGAGCCACCGCGCCCGCCAAGTCCTTTACTGTTAAGAACAAATTCAAGACTAAAGTGACAACTTTTTATCAGAGTTAATAGTATATAATAATCTGAAGCTAGAAGAGCCCAGATTTCCTCTATGAGGAAAGTGAGATTTAGAGATGTTCCCAGGAGAGAGGTTATTTGTTTAAGCCAACTCCTATCAGTAAAAGGTGGTAGTGCTTACCTAGGCAGAACATCGCCGTGCCCCAGCTGCCCTTCTTTCCCTTTCCCCCAGGTCCACACTTCTGTTCTCAGAGAAGGCAGGAGCGCATCTGCCTCTCCACTGTATGTGGGGGTCAGAACCACTGTCCTCGTTTTCACCCGTGCAGCCTTTCTTAAGAGCCTGGGGGAAACTGAAAACCAACCAGACATGGGGTGAAGGAGTGGGAGTCCAGAGGGTAAGAAAACATATCATTTGGACAAACTTAACATTTTCAAAAACATACACCACTCACGGTATTTTTGAAGCATATTCTAGAGGTTCTCTGTAGAAAAGGGGATCTATTAGTCAAATGAAATTGGTAAATACTCACTGCTACAATCTATCCTCCCACTACCTCCTCTGCAGAGATTCACACACACATTAGCACACACTGAAGGTGGTGACAAATCCTGTAAATAAAAGCCCTGTTTAAATATGTTTAACCCAGCTGGACTTCCAAACATTTAGCCACAGAATCCTTTTCTAACATCTAGTGGCATCCTATAGAACTTGTATTCTAAAGAATATGCTGAACAAATACTATACTAAGGCTGACAAATATTTTTTCCATTTGAAAACAAAAATTAAACAGCCAGGCAAAGTGGCTGCGGTCCTAGCTACTCGGGAGGCTGAGCTGGGAGGATTCCTTGAGCACAGGAGTTTGAGGTTATAGTGTGTTATGACTGCACCTGTGAAAACACACTGCACTCCAGCCTGGGCAACATAGTGAGACATTATCTTTTTTTTTTTTTTTTTTTTTGAGACAGTTTCACTCTTGTCATCCAGGCTGGATTGCAGTGGCAAGATCTTGGCTCACTGGAATCTCTGCTTCCTGGGTTCAAGCGATTCTCTTACCTCAGCCTCCTGAGTAGCTGGGATTACAGGCACGCACCACCACACCCAGCTAATTTTTGTACTTTTAGTAGAGACAGGGTTTCGCCATATTGGCTAGGCTATTCTCAAACTCCTGACCTCAAGTGATCCTCCTGCCTCGGCCTCCCAAAGTGCTGGGATTACAGGTGTGAGCCACTGTGCCCGGCCCCCATCTCTTAAAACACAAAAAGCCTTTCTAAGTAAAGGTCTAAGTTCAAATATATTACAAATAATTGTAATAAAGAATTCATTTTAGCTATAAAATGGAAACATTTCTAAGGCAGGAAAAAGATTATGAAAGGGTAATACTAAAAAGGTTTTGTATTTGCCTATTTCAAATTATTTTATAGAGATGTTAAAAAATGTTTTAAAAGAACACGGCCATCTTTTATTATGTTCAAAATTACATCAAACACACACAACACTATGTGAATAGTGTTTGATGCCTGGATAAGTTTTGAAGAAAATCATCAAATGTCATTCAATAGAGGCTTAGTCATTAAGTCATTAACTTCTGGGCTACAAGAAAAGTGATCATCACTGCCTAACATCAATATCTTTTCTGGTGAATGTATCGTTTCTATGCATACAGAGACTTAAATAAACCTACTTGAAGATTCCTCAAGGATGCACTCCAGATAATTCTTAGAGAGGGGAAAAGAGTACATGTAAAATTTTTCTAAAGATACTTTAGGTTACTAAGTAAAATTTAACCTTAGGATGTAAGTCTATTAATGGGAATCATGATGTAATGACATGAAAAAAATATTCCACATCTGTAGTTCAAAGAGATTGCAAATATATTTATATACTTAAAATGGCAAAGGACACTTAAGAATAAGAAAAATTTGGGGCAAGATTCTCCTTCAGACTTAATAGAGATCATAGGCCTTCTTATACATCATATATATATAATATATATATATTCAAATTAATCAGGACTTAAGTTTTATTTGTGTAGAGGAAAATCTGGTGGTAATTAGAATTAGGAGGCAGAATAAGAGTGGCACAAAGTGTTCAGTAAGTAGACCAAGGGGAGAAATAGGCGCAGAGTAAAAAAAGGTAAGTTTTAGTACAGTCTAGATTTCCTAACTTTTGAGCTTTGCACAAAATCATGTAAACCAGGAGCTGGTCAATTATAGCCCATGGGCCAAACAGGGCCTACCATCTGGTTTTGTAAATAAAGTTTTGTTCGGATATAGCTTCACTCATTCATTACATGTTGACTCTGGCTGCTTTTACATAATCACAGCGTAGCTGAGTAGTTGTCACAGAGACAGGATGGCCTACAAACCTTAAAATATTTCTCTTTGGCTCTTTACAGAAAAAGTCTGCCAACTCCTGGTCTCATCAAATGCTTCTCAAACTTTAGTGTGCATACTAATCACCTGGGGGATCTTGCTCTAATGCATGTTTTGATTCAGTAAGTTGAGAGTGGAACCTGAGCGTCTGCATTTCTAACAAGTTCCCAGGTGCTGCTGATGCTGCTGGTCTGTAGGCCACTCTCGAGAAGCTCAAGTCCAGATGGCTGAGACTGCTGAACTGACTGAGAAAAGGAGAAGAGCCAACTGTGTAATATTCTAAAAAGTTTATTGCCTATGGTCTCAGAAAATGAAGTTTTCTCTTCTTGAAGCTTAAGAGTTCTCTCCTCTTTCAAGTCAAGTACAGTAATTCCTCACTTATCTAACGGTCACATCTGCAACCTCATCAGTGTGGAGTATAGGTTCCAATTAGGAAATAAGAAGGGTATTGTAACACTTCAGAACAATAAAATAAGATTCAAAATAAGGTTCATAAGCAGGAGCAAACACCAAGAAAAAGTTACGTTCTAACTTTTTAGTGATATCTAAAGCAGATAAACATGCAACTTTCTTTTAAAACCACCATTAAATAAATTTTGACATTTGAATATGTCAGCTTCATAATTAGGAAAGTTTTTATCAATAATACAGCACGTGATGTCAGGAGCATCCTGGATTCCCCAAAAGTCAGTTCATAAAACCTGGTTATTTCCTTACCTTGTGACAACAATCCAGGGAGGGAGAGTCTTCGACTGCCTCCCTCTGTTTCTTCTTCTCTGATATCCACAAGACTTGAACTTTTCTTTCCTTGCATCGATTCCTGTTTAACCTGTTCTTCCCTGCTATCTTTCAAACCTTCCGGGCCAATGGCACTACTGCCTGCCTGAGCTCCAGTTTCACAAGGGGCTGTACTATAAAAGTTCATAACTTTCTTCAGTGACAAGGCACCAGCTTCATAAGTAGCAGCCACTCTCACACCAACAGCAGATGCACAAGAGACCACCAGGCTGTTTAGGGCTGAGGTGCTTGTGGTAGGTGGGCTGTGGAGATTAGGAATTGCTTCTTCTATAAGAGGCTAAAATATACACACATAAAAAATTACATAAAAATATAATCCCTTATACAATAAGCAATCAATAAAAAGAACGGTTAATATCCATCGCTGTTTGCTTTAAGAATCTAAAATGACAGGAGAAGTTCTCTTCACCTTCAACTAAAGGTATTCTCTTCTTGATCATGGAGTTAACACATTAAAAGGAAATGAGTACTCAAAATACAGTTCCTTTTCCAAAGTACTTCCTTTTGTCTGGATATTGTATTTTTCTACGGTATTTAAAAATAAGCCTCAGCTGCCTTTATAAAATTAAATATAGTAAAAAGGTACAGGGAAGAAAAAGCATGGAAAACACTGCCTTTAATACCATGTGCACTGTGACAGCCCTGGATGGAAGGTTGAAAAAATGCAAATTTCATTATTGATCACTTTCAGGAAAATTTATACAGACTACCACCTAGAAGTGGCAGGAAAAAAATTAGGTTTTATGGAAAAAAAGCTTTCCCTGAAATGCTTTATAAATTGAAATTTAGATATAGCATATAGAGATGGAAAAATCAGTTATACCTATAACCTATCATCTCCCAAATTATGCTAAGCTTGAGTGCCTTTACTGGCTCATCAATGAGTTATTTTCTATGACCCTGGGGCTAGACAAGCTGTAGGATTACCTTTGCTCTTGCTACCACAGACGGCAAATGTGGTAGGTTAATAATTAAACATTTGGAACCAATGTTCTTAGTGTGATTCTAGAAATGTACTAGAAAGTCAAACTAAAGTTTTCTGATATCTGAATGAATAAATCAGTAGAAATTTACTCTAAGCTGTCAAACATCAATGTTCCCCAAAAAGGAAGGTCATTAAATGTACCTACCAAACACATAAAAAAGCTTTCATCTCATCAGCATAGATCATATTGAAAAATATGCTTCTTATTGTACCCAAAGATCTCAAAGGGAATATACACATTCCTTCATTTGTCCTAAATTAAAATACAAATATTGCGTGCGTGTGTGTGTGTGTGTGTGTGTGTGTATTTTAACACTGGTTTCTGACTTCTTATAGGAAAGAATTCCTGGTACCTAGCAAAGTGCCTGACATGTAAGTACTCACCACATTTTGTTGAATTAAATGCTAAATTCAAAAGAGCTATTTACATGCAAATGAGTAGTCTGTAAATAGTCCATAAAATAAACAAATATACTTAATAAAACAAAAAATAAATACAAAGTCTATGACTTCTTTGGTGATACAGCTCCCACGATAGCTTGTTCAAAATAATTAGTGTCACTATCTCCACTTTTTGTTCACAAAGACTCCTTACAGAAGCAGTGATGGTATTTAGAGGTAACTATTTTAGGGGGTTCTTGACCGCTAGGTAGAGCAAAGTCACAAAACTCTACCTTATATAAACCTTGAACTACTGTTCTAACTGGCTCCTTCTACTTAATTATATTTAAAAATATAGTAAGTAAATAAGCCCTCCCCTACAAAAAACATAATTAGCAATTTTGATGAAATATATAATTTTAGGAATTCCAGTCAACCAATAATACTTTGGTTTATTTCCCAAGTGAGAGAGTCTCAGTTATATCTCACCAGAAGAGAAAAAACTTGCTGTAGAACACATAAATTCCTTGTGAATTAGCTGTACGATTGAGACGTTATTTACAGAGAATAAATTCAATGTAATAGAAACACACATTTATTTAATTTAAATAAATTAAATTTAATTCAATAGAAACACACACATTGTTACTAGCATAAGTAACAAAAACTTCCAATGTTTAACAAAGTAAGTTAAAGGTAATAAGCATGTACAGTCTAAGAATTTTCTACATGCATTATTAAATTACTACTTTTGCTTTGTTCAGACTTTATAATACCTTTCTCCAAACACCTTATCCTTGATTTTTAAAAAACTCAAATACCCACAAGTTTCAGTAAATGGATTGTGAAATAAAGACTACTTCTAAAAATACCTTCATGTTCGCATTCTGACACAGTAAAAAATAAGAATTGAGAAGCAAGAGGCTATGTGGTTTCAAAAACCTAAAAAGAAACACTGCAGGACAGATCTTTTATGATTATGATCTTTTGTTTTCTTAGAGTTTTGGTAAAGCAAAATCAAAAGGCCACGCTGAGTGAAACACAGAAATAATCCTTTTTTTTTTTTTTTGAGATGGAGTCTCGCTCTGTTGCCCAGGCTGGAGTGCAGGGGCGCAATCTTGGCTCACTGCAACGTCCGCCTCCCAGGTTCATGCCATTCTCCTGCCTCAGCCTCCTGAGGACTACAGGTGCCTGCCGCCCTGCCTGGCTAATTTTTTGTATTTTTAGTAGAGACGGGGTTTCACCATGTTAGCCAGGATGGTCTCGATCTCCTGACCTCGCGATCTGCCCTCCTTGGTCTCCCAAAGTGCTGGGATTACAGGCCAGAAATAATCCTTTTAAAACAATTTATTTTAAGTGGGAACTCAAGCTTTACCATGTGCTACTGATAAACAGCTTTTGTTCACTCTACCATAAATCTTCAAAATGAAAATAGTTTTAATAAGATACATAAAATAGGCTGGGCATGATGGTTCCGCCTGTAATCTCAACACTTTGGGAGGTTGAGGTGGGAGGATTGCTTGAGCTCAGGAGTTTGAGATGAGCCTGGGCAACAAAGGTCAACCTCCTCTCTACTGAAAAATAAAATAAAATCAGCAGGTGTGGTGGCACGTGTGTAGTCCCAGCTACTTGGAAGGCTGAACTGGGAGGATCGCTTGAGCCTGGGAGATCACGTGCAGTGAGCCACGATCGCACTACTGCACTCCAGCCTGGGTGACAGAGCAAGACCCCATCTCAAAAACAAACGAACAAAAAGATAAAATATTAGCCAGCTCTTCAAATAAAGCCTAGTAAGGACAACAGCTATAACTGAAAAAAACTGAAACATGTAATTGCCTGTAAGTTTTAAATCTGCCTACAACTGAAGGATCTGCCACAAAGCAACCTTCCCTGTTAAAGAAGGAAAGAACTTTTCTCTACAGAATTCTGAACAGTGTTACAAACACAAGAAGAATGTTTGTGAATGTATAGTTATATTAAACTATTCAGGGCCGACCAACATTCAGTACCTTAGCCATAGAAAAAAAGTACTAGCAAGAAAAACAAAATGAAATGTTCCTACTTACAAAACAAGCCCAACACGACACTTTTCAATATCACAAAGGCCTAGAACTTAAACATAAAGAGTCATTTTGGATTAATCCAGGTTCTTTCCTTTATCTAGGCTTGCCTGACAAAACAAAATTATAGTCAAACTCAAAAAATAAAAAATGCTACCAAGCCTCACTCATTTTAAAGTTTCTAAAGAAAAGCTCACACAGTTCAACTCTAGAAACACTTTTATTTTATAAAATTTAGCAGGTACCTGAGATGGCACTGGCTTTTCACCGTGCTCTGAGTCCTCTCTTACTGAATGATCTGACAGTTTCCGCAGGTATTCACTGACTGCTTGGGTGTCAGGGTATGATGGCACGTTTCTGGCAGAAGAAATTTCAGTTGTTCCCATGACGTTTTGTTGAGAGGATACGGCATCGCTGCTTGTGGTCTGAGCACTGACTGCATTCAGTTCAGTAGCAACAGACTGATCACTGGCTACAAGAGTGTTCTCAAATACTTCTTCCTGCCTGTCAAGGGTTTCAGTGGAGGGGCTGAGAGCAGTGCTGGGATGGTTTTCTGCCTGAGATTCTGTCAGTGTCACACCTAATGGGCAACAATGACTGTCTGATATAATCACATGGTCTTCTTTGTCAGTCATAGTAATCAAGAGCTGGCTGCACTGGTTGCATCGTTCTGGGACTGGCTTCAGATCTTGGGAAGGGAGGCATTGTACAAGGGCTAAGCTGTGGAAAGCACCACAGGCAACTTGAAGCACCACTCGCCCAGCAAGATGTTCTACCTTTTGCGGCTTTGTCACTGGGAAGGCAGTGGTAATGAGACCCAACTGACAACCGGTACCCCATGCCCAAATCTCTCTGCTTATTGACAATGCCAGAGTGTGTTCCTCGCCACATGCCAACTGTAAAATCCTGACTGCTAACAAAGGGCTGGCCTCAGAATCAGCAATGCTGACAGGGTTCGGTTCCGGCACATACGGCTGGTTGGCTACTGCACACTGGCCAGCAGAATTCTCTCCCCACATGTATGCGACACCATTGTCTGTCACTGCTCCACTATGGAAGCTTCCTGTTGCCACAGTAACAACATATTGCCCAACCAGGGCATTTTCTAGAATGGGGCTACTTGGACAAATCTCTGCTGGTCCACTTCTCCAGGGAAGGGTCCCGAAGCTGTAGACCTCACCATCTGAAGTTTCAAAAAAAAGGAAAAAGAAAAAAAAAAAGGGTTAGTGAATTAACTAAAAATTTTAACAGTAAACTTTTAGTGCCCTCTAGATTTAACCAAATTGGACTTTCTTTTTAAATTTTCCAAAGCAGTTGTAGAAATCTGGTTCAAGCACACAGTATTTCACATTAATTCATCTTTTTTAAAATGACTCATTTTAATATTCTGCACTATGGTGAGAATTTCTACAAATTGTAGGAGGCTACTGCTTTCCTTCAGCCTCATCCTACAAACTCCTCACATCAATCCACTACTAATGGCCACCATCACAGGCTATTACAGAAGCAGATTCCAAGGGTTCAAAGGCAAAATAAACAATGATGTTAAAATAAAATAAGCAAAAACTAAGACAAAACAGACACATTCACTAATATCTACAAGTCATTACTAGTAAACAAGTTGGAACAGCAGAAAATTATGCAATGGCTTAAAAGTATTAGAGATTCATTTTGGCCAAAACTAAGAAATTAATTTTATGCCTCTAGGCTGTACAGAAAGCACCAGTTCTTAACAAGACATGGTTGTCTTCACATTGTATGGCACGTTATGTACAGTTTTGAGATGTTACATAAATATACAGGTTGAGTATCATTTATCCAAAACGCTTGGGAGCAGAGGGATTTTGGATTTCAGGTCCAGGTTTTGGAATATTTGCCTTATACTTACTGACTGAGCATCCCAAATCTGAAATGTTCCAATGAGCATTTCCTTTGAGCATCATCACATCAGCGCTCAGAAAGTTCTGGATTTTGGATCATCTTAGATGTCAGATTTTTAAATGTGGGATGCTTACCCTGGAGTTTTTGTACTAGATACTAGCTAGTCTTTCTGAGGTGAGATTTGTTTAAAAAGCAAATCAGCTTCTTCTCCAAAAAAACATCAAATGGCAGATGATGCCAGTGCAGCGGGACGGCCTGGAGGCCTCAGGGAACCTGGGATGGGGAACCACAGCGACTTCCTTGGAGGCTTGGGCAGCAGCATCTGGGGCCAGGGTCAGGGCCACAGTGCTCAAAGAGGCAAGGCCGAGGATAAGGAGTGGACACCCATCACTAAGCTGTGCTGCCTGGTCAAGGACATGAAGATCAAGTCCCTGGTGGAAATCTATCTCTTCTCCCTGCCCATCAAGGAGTCTGAGATCATTGACTTTTTCCTGGGGACCTCTCTCAAGGATGAGGTTTTGAAGGTTACGCCAGTGCAGAAGCAGACATGCACCAGCCAACACACCAGGTTCCAGGTGTTTGTTGCCACTGGGGACTACAATGGCCACTTGCTCCAAGGAGGTGGCCACTGCCATCCAAGGGACTATCATCCTGGCCAAGCTCTCCACTGTCCCTGTGCACAGATGCTACTGGGGGAACACGATCAGCAAGCACCATGTGGTCCCTTACAAGGTGACAGGCTGCTGTGGTTCTGTGCTGGTGCGCCTTCCTCCCTGCACCCAGAGGCACTGGCATCCTCTTAGCCCTGGTGCCCAAGAAGCTGCTGATGATGGCCAGTATCAATGACTGCTACTCCTCAGCCAGGGGCTGCACTGCCACCCTGGCCAACTTCACCAAGCCCACCTATGATGCCATCTCCAAGACCTACAGCTAACTGGCCCCCAACCTCTGGAAGGAGACTGTATTCACCAAGTCTCCCTCTCAGGAATTCACTGGCCACCTTGTCAAGACCCACACCAGAGTCTCTGGGCAGAGGACCCAGGCTCCAGGTGTGGCTACAACACAGGGTTTTTATACAAGAAAAATAAAGTGAATTAAGCCTAAAAAATATTTAAAATAAAAAGCAAATCATCACAACAGAACAAAGCAAAAAAGCAAATGAACCTGTCAGCAGAATAACCAGCTAGCTTTAGAATTAATGAAGACACCAGTGAGTTGGGTATATAAATAACTTATGTATATCCAGGTATGCTACCAAGTCTTAATTTTACTGTAGTATTGTGGGAATTTGGGAGCAGGTGCACATAATCTACGCTGGCTAAAAATTCAGTGAAACAAAGACTTGGCTATGGGTTTTGAAAAATACTGAACCAAGCCCACTATCCTTTCTTTTCCATATGACCAGAGACTTATTTTTTTTTTTAATTAATGAAGAAATAAGCATTATTTTTTTCTCATAAGGCAGCAATTGAGTTGATGATGAAAACATGCAAACTTTATCTTTGACCTATTATACATGGTCACGTATACACTCAAATTAACTCATCACATCTATATAAGTAAGGACTCAATAGTGGCTACAGGGAAGATATGTGCATTTATTAGGAAACGTAGAGTCTGGATCAAGATGAGAAAATAAGCTCACTGGTTAAGTTCTTTTAAACTTTGTTTCCTAATACAACAATATACTTGAAAAAGCTCACCAAGTCTTTCAATTAACATTATTCCACTAGAAAGAGCAATACTGCAAACAAATGGATATTCAGATTCCCCTCCTTAAAAAAACAAAAATCAAAAACTGGAGCATATAAAAAATAGTGAAACAGGCCAGGCGCGGTGGCTCATGCCTGTAATCCCAGCACTTTGGGAGGCCGAGGCAGGCGAATCACAAGGTCAGGCGTTTCAGACCAGCCTGGTCAATATGGTGAAACCCCGTCTCTACTAAAAATACAAAAAAAAAATTAGCCGGGCGTGCTGGCGCTCGCCTGTAGCCCTAGCTGCTCAGGAGGCTGAGGCAGAAGAATCGTTTAAACCTGGGAGGCAGAGGTTGCAGTCAGCCGAGACTGTGCCACCGCACTCCAGCCTGGGTAACAGAGCAAGACTCCGTCTCAAAAAAAAAAAAAAAAAAAAAAAAAAAGTGAATCAATGAAGTATCTTCATTGAATTATGAGCTAATGGTCATATTTAACAGAGATGAAGAAGCTTGAAAATTTCTAGCACTTAACCATTTCCTCAGCTGAAAAAGATAGCACTGGAGATCTGTATGCAATTTCAAACACACACTTGTATTAGATGTTTTTTTTGGTAACTGTGACACTTAATACTAGGACACTGCTTAAACATAAACAATGATAGGCTATGTAAATATTTTTGAAAAGTTTTCCTTCAGTTGTCCTAGCCTTGAAGGTATGATTCTAAAGATACCATGTTTATAGTTGAATAACTTTTTTATTTTGAGACAGGATCTTACTTTGTCACCTAGGCTAGAGTGCAGTGGCATAATCACAGTTCACTGCATGCAGCTTTGGTCTCCCAGACTCAAGCTATCCTCCTGCCTCAGACTCTGAAGTATCTGGAACTACAGGTGTGTGCCTCCATGCCTGGCTTATTTTTAAAATATTTCCTGTAGAGACACGGTCTCCCTATGTTGCCCAGGCTGATCTTGAACCCCTGGGCTCAAGGGATCCTTCTGCCTTGGCCTCCCAAAGTGTCGGGATTACAGGTGTGGGCAATTGTGCCCAGCCGGTTTCACTATCTTAATGAAAATATTCCAAATATATTATTGAAAACAATAGAATTCCACTTATATTTGCTTGAGAACTACATATTTTAAATTTCACAGGACAGGTATTGAATCTAGTTCACATTTTTAAAGTAAGATTGTTTTTAAAGTCCTGAATCATATAATAACATTATAATAAAACTGATATAAGACAGACTAAAAAGAAATCCATGTTTATCCCATACAACCACCAGGACCAGACTTAATCCTTGTTTCCTAGAATTTGTCTTCCTTTAGTTCCTAGAAAGAAAATACCAAATCATTATTTAATATCTCAATAAATGCTTGCACAGCAGAAATGTATAAATTAGTGAAGTAGATGGCAATCGGTGCCCAAATCAAATCTGCCAAGATTGAGTTGATAAAGCGCCATTAAGATTAAAGGTAACTCTAAAATTATAGTACGTTTCTGTAATAGACTCATAGATTTTATAATATGTCTTGTGAATTGCTATTTATGTCTGGAAAAAAAAATTATACTGCGAAAGTTCAGCCAAGTGGCTTTAAAAGCCGGCTTTGAAATCAGACTGAGTTCCAGTCCTGACTCTGACACTTCAATAGCTGTGTGTGCTTGGGAAAATGTAATCTCCCTGACTTTCAGTTTCCTTATCTGTGAATAATAATAGAAGCTACCTCACAAGGTAGTAGTGCAGATTCAGTGAGATAACACATGGAAAGGGCTTAGTATAGTATCTGGCACACAACTGCTTAACAAACATTAGCTATTATTAGCATTATTATTCTGATAGACTTAATGAACAAAAGTTATAGCAAAGGAGTCTCTGAATAGGTGACCTTTTAAAAGTTAATTTTTCATTTATTTATTACTATAAAATTTTAAAACTATAGTTCTCCCATTTATTCTAGTTAACGGTATATTTTAAATTTAAAAACTAATCTGATTTCTGATAAGGGAGTAAGGATATATCTTGAAAACAGAAACAGTTCATTAAGAAACCCTAGGCCAGGCGCGGTGGTTCATCCCTGTAATTCCAGAACTTTTGGAGGTCGAGGCAGGTGGAATCACCTGAGGTCAGGAGTTCAAGACCAGCCTGGCCAACATGGTGAAACCCCATCGCCACTAAAAATACAAAAAAAAAAAAATTAGTCAGGTGTGGTGGCGGGCGCCTGCAGTCCCAGCTACTTGGGAGGCTGAGGCAGGAGAATGGCGTGAACCTGGAAGGCAGAGCTTGCAGTGAGCCAAGATTGTGCCACTGCACTCCAGCCTGGGTGACAGAACGAGACTCCATCTCAAAAAAAAAAAAAAAAAAAAATTAGCTAGGTGTGGTGGTGGGCCTGTGTAACCCCAGCTACTTGGGAGGCTGAGGCAGGAGAATTGCTTGAACCTCGGAGGCAGAGGTTGCGGTGAGCCGAGATCGCGCCATTGTACTCCAGCCTGGGCGACAAGAGCAAAACTCCGTCTCAAAAAAATAAAAAAAAGAAACCCTAGTATCCAATTATTCCCATACCTGACTTTCCACATTCAGACATTTGTTAGCATTGCAGTTCGTATTTGTTAAGCCATTCTCTTCATTACCTTCAGTCAGAAGAACTCCATGTTTCACTCCGAGGGCTGCCTGCAAAACAGTCTTTCCTCCCCAGCCTGGCAATCTCTCTGGTGTTATGGGAAAGGATCCTGCCTGCCAGATATGGACCAGGCCTCTTTCTTTGGATCCTTCTGCCTCTGTTGAGCTACAAACATCAAGAAACATAGCTTAATTGTTTCTACAATTCAGAACGGTATCCTTTGTTCTTAATACTTTTATGATTGTACCTTCTACTAGCACATGGATGACTGGGTCAGATAGCTGAATTAGCACCTATTTTATGCTTTGGTTATGCTCATAGGAGCCAAAGTAAAACAACTATTTATGTAAAAGACTAAAGGATGTGGGACATGGTCACTCACAGCTGTAATCCAGCACTTTGGGAGGCCAAGGCAGGCAGATCACAAGGTCAGGAGCTCAAGACCAGCCTGGCTACTATGGTGAAACCCCATCTCTAGTAAAAATAAAATTAAAAAAATTAGCCGGGCATGGTGGCATGTGCCTATAGTCCCAGCTACTCAAGAGGCTAAGGCAGGAGAAGCGCTTGAACCCGGGAGGCGGAGGCTGCAGTGAGCCAAGATCGTGCCACTGCACTCCAGCCTGGATGACAGAGCGAGACTCCGTCCCAAAAAAAAAAAAAAAAAAAAAAAAAGACTGAAGGACACTCTAAACCCACAAATTACTTTTCTCCATCTAAGAAGCAAACAAAACTTGGGCTATTTTTAGAAGTTTTAGCATTTGGTAGCATAAAATTCCAAGATTCTAACTTCTCAATATATTCACTCCTTGTTTAGATATTAAAGCTACAACATGCCCAAGTTGAAGTCTTATCATAAATTTTTATAGTAAGTAAAAAGTACTTGATGAGAACAATATGAGATACAGGAATTCATTTCACTTTATGTTGAGTTTAAGTGTAGAATTGCTATTTAAACTTTTAGGAATCAAGTTTGTAATAGATATCAGTAAAATCCGTCATGCTTTGTTCAAGTTCTAGCTAAAGAATCCTACACATCTGATGATTTTGGTTTAAAGAATACAAAACACACAGCTGCACAGTAATGACCATATCCTAACTGCCCTCTTCTAAGAAAAGGCCGTGTTAAGATATGTGCCACCACTGGTAATACATTTTTTCAGTTTCTTTTTTCTAGAACACTGATGCCAAAATTTTAATGAGGCACAGACACTCTTTTGAATAGCTAGGAATTTCTCTACGTTTGCTATATAATATTCCCTTAAATGATAACTGGACATAACCATGGTTCTATAGGAGGAACACTACACATTTAACCCTCCTTTTAGATGTCTTCCATAACTAGTTCTTTAAGGATGGAAGATGATTAAGATTAGCAAGGCTACTTCTAAAAACCTGAAATTATTTGTGAGGGAAAAATGGCTACAAGCACTTTAAAATGATTAAATGAAGACATTTAGTGCTTCTTACAAAGCTTACAACTAACTAGCCTTCTTTAAAATTTGTTTTACCTTTTACCAATCAACTAACTACAAATGTCACTATTCCCACGTAACAACCATCAACAAGAAAATTAAAACGAAGAGAAGCTACACATATGTGAAGCTGTTTGCTATGTTTTCCTAGGAGGATAAGAGAAAAGGAAGAAATGGTTTTACCTTCTCTTCTTTGAGTCCATCGGTCAGTGGGAACACTCCATCACCAAATCATTCCTTCTTTACAGAAAGTCTATCAAGACCTAAACAGTACAATACAAGTAAGGAAAAGAGCAGTAAAAGAATATTTTACCCCTTCAGACATTTAAAAAAAAAGAAAAAAAGAAAAAAAAACCAGCCCTCTAACAAGTGCACATTCACTAGGAAATAAATATGCAGTAAAACTATTTAAACTATTTCATATCTTGCCTGCCAAAGTCAAACATAGGCTGAGCCTGCCCACTAAGCTTATAAAAATGCCCGTTGACTGTCAAATGTAATGTCAAAGGAAAAGACTACCCACAATTAAGCTGTACTCTTTCAGGCAATAGATTTTGTTTTTTATTATAAAGAAAAAAGTTCAATCTGAAAATCAATACGTTAAGTACAAAAAGTACATACACATTAAGGTTACTTTTTAAACGCTGTATCTGGAAAGCATGAAGACTTAAATACCAATTAACTCAGATTTTCTAAAATCTCTTCAGTAATGTATCTGATTCAAGTAGTTTTAATTTATACTTTTCAGTAATGCACAAAAAATTATGTCATTAAAATAGGAAGTTTTCCACTTATTGGAAGGAGGAACATTTTCCCCAAATCACCTTCAATTCAGACCAACATGCCTCGTAACTCAAACGGTTGAAAGAAAGAAGTCTGAACTTTAAATCAGCTGTTTTAAAATCCACCTTTAATAGAAAATAGCTACATGAAAATTATGGTTATAAATATCATAACCCATCAGTTTAGAAACTCAATATTTAATAAAATAAGAGATAGAAAAATAAACAGAAATGCTGAGTATATTTCAACTCAAAAAACCACATTTGTAAGGGTAACAAAACACATGAAAACAAAAGCACTTAGGTCTTATTTGTGTAAACCATAAAAATATTGGGGCCAAATTTGTGGTTTTTCTGCAAAAGGATATGGAATGGTCACTGTGTTCTGGAAACAGCCCATACTGGCAGGAGTGATCTACGGTCCATCTGTTTCCTCCAGGTTGCCTGTGAATTCTTACCATTTCCCATCTGTACATCTGAAGAAAATTACTTTCTACCTAATGCTTATTTTAGAAAGATTATGAATCATTCAAAGTTGGAAGACGGATACTATGTTAACAAGAGATATATCTGAATAAATTTAATAAATGCTATTCATTTAATAAATACAATTAAGTGCTACTATGCTTTGTCCATTATAGTTATTAGCCTTTTGTAAAATGCACAGTTCATGGTGTACAGAGAAATTCTGCCACCAGATCTAATCTGTGCTTATCTATCACAGATCATGGAGTTACTATGCCCTTGATTAAATTTCAACAATATGTAGCGGAAGCCAGAGAATTATTCTACGAGGATGTGGAAGCACACAAACACACCTTACTTCACACAACTGGCACATTATATGTAAACGGAATTTTGTCCTACTGACTAACAATCAAAAATGTCGAGAATTTTTTGATAAAATGAATCAAGTCAACCTTTATTCTCTCTTAGTGCCAGATTTTTTAGTACAGTTTTCTTAAAGTTGGTTATACCTTACTCAATATTATTTATCACCACCACTCATTTTTTTAACCTAAATGGAATTAAAACACTACAAACTGTTTTTACAACTTTCTTTTCTTACTTACATATAGGGCAGGCCAAATAATGGTCTCCAAAGGTGTCCAGGTCCTAATGCCCAGAACTTGTGACTCTGTTAGCTTGCATGATACTAATCAACTCTCCTTCAGATAGAAAGATTGTCCTGGTTATCCAGGTGGACCCAATGTAACCATAAACATCCTTAAAACTGCAAAAGGGAGGCAGGAGGAGAATCAAAGAGACATGATGATGGAGGTAGGGTCAGAGGTGATGCTACACTGCTGACTGAACATGGGAGAAGGCAGCCATGAGCCAAGGAATGCGGTGACAGGTAGCAGCTGAAAAGGCAAGGAAAATGATTCTTTCCTAGAGTGTCCAGAAAAAAGCAGCCATGCAGACACTTTGACTTTAGGCTACAAGACCTGTGTCAGACTTTCAGCCTACAGAACTTGAAGGTAATATATTTGTGTTATTTTAAGCCACTAAGTTCGCAACAATTTGTTGCAGCTGCAGTAGAAAACTAATATACTATTTCATAGACATCTTTTTATATCAGTATTTACAGATCTCTCTCTCTCTCTTTTTTTTTTTTTTTTTTAAGACGGAGTTTTGCTCTTGTCGCCCAGGCTGGAGTGCAATGGCGCGATCTCAGCTCACTGCAACCTCCACCTCCCAGGTTCAAGCAATTCTCCTGCCACAGCCTCCCGAGTAGCTGGGATTACAGGCACCTGCCATTACACCTGGCTAATTTTTATATTTTTAGTAGAGACAGAATTTCACCATGTTGGCCAGGCTGGTCTCGAACTCCTGACCTCAGGTGATCCACCTGCCTCGGCCTCCCAAAGTGCTGGGATTACAGGCATGAGCCACCTTAAGCCACCATGCCCAGCCCCTATCTCATTTTGTTTTAATGGTGTTCAATATGTTTGACATCTTCCAACAAGATATGTCTGCCTGAAACTCAAACAGGGCAATGAAGAAAAGAAAACTGATTGCTGAGGAAACATAACTAAAAAGGAATATTGCAACTAAATGTAGGGAGCTTATGTTATTAAAGTTTTATCCTCACATACTTAAGTAAGGGTGGTATTTACCAACTCTATTTAATCTAACATTCTTTCTCAATTATGTACCCATCCAGGAAAAGAAAGTAAATGAAAAACTTTTGTCTTTCTAATATTTTTATGATTGTCTCTCCAGGAAATTTATTAAGACTCACCTCAACCAGTCAAATAGCATTCAAATTTCTGTATGTTGTTTCATTGCTTTAACATTTTAAGTTTTTATAAAATTGCCTAATCATAAGACTTCCTCTGGGGATATTTCTTCCACAGGAGTTTTAAGGTCTTCACATTCTTTAAGAGGGGCAAGATCCTTATACTCTGCTGCTTTTCTTCTGTTACAGTAACTTTCCTGCATAGACGTGTTAACCAGCTCTGATAAAGAAGCCATGTGATGCTGCATAAACAGCATTTACTGTGGGACCCTCTCTTACCTTGCATGGCTTCCCTACAGATAAATGGCATCTCCATAAAATGAGCAAACCAGACATCAGTCTTCTGAGCCACAGGACACAGCTAGATCCACTTTAAAGTATACCACTCTATCCTTCAAATTATCATCTCCTTCACAGTGATATGTAAAGTAATTAAACCCCAGGTGGCCCTTTAAACAAAGAGCAAACCTGGCTTCTTAATAAACTGATGCCACTTTTAGACTCCACTGGATACACACCCTTCTGTTACATCTAACAGAGAAATAAGTTGTCTTGTATAAGCCAAGGATATCATTTTAACACCATGTCCTGGAAGTGCCCTTAACAACAACAACAAAAATCTAGTCTAGATGTCCCAACTATTGTTAGAAAGATGAGCTACAACCATCTACAGGTCTACAATACCTTAACCAGAAATCTATAGCTCTGAAAATTAAGTTTTTTCAATAATGCCTTTGGTGGCAAAACCTAATCTGACCTGAACTAACACGAGGTTATTTATCACTTGTATCCCTTTAGTGTGAATATTCATACATTGTGTTGTAGAAATATCAATATGAATATAATAAGGCAGAACTACAGATCCTATAGGAAGTGTTATATAATATATGGCTTATGCATCTTATTCTAAAGAACAAAACATAAATCTGAATTCCAAAATGCATCTTGCCCCAAGGGTTTTGAATAAAGGACCAGGAATCTATATTCAAAAACAACTACTATCATTTTTTAGTAGAAGTCTCAAAACTTTTAACTATTTTATACTTAACTTGGTTTCTTTTATGTACTTTGAACATTTATTAACTATTTTAAACTTAACTTGGTTTCTTTTATGTACTTTGAACATTTATTTCATTTTAGAGAGTACACTGGAGAGTTGCATTGCTTCCAGTGGGACAGTCCACGGATGCTTTCATGCTTTTTCTGTTTTTTTTTTTCCTTCATTTTTGAGACAGTCTTGCACTGTCACCCAGGCTGGAGTGCAATGGTGCGATCTCGGCTCACTGCAACCTTCGCCTCCGGGGTTCACATGATTCTCCTGCCTCAGTCTCCCGAGTAGCTGGTGGTGCACACCACCACACTTGGATAATTTTTTGTATTTTTAGTAGAGACGGCGTTTCACTATGTTGCCCAGATGGTCTTGAACTCCTGACCTTGTGATCTGCCCACCTTAGCCTCCCAAAGTGGTGGGATTACAGGTGTGAGCCAATGCGACTGGCCAATGATCTATTTTAATGACGATGATTTACATTTGTTTCAAAAGTTTTAAGCCAATTTTATGGTGAACACTCATGGAGCACCAAAATGATTTTTTGCAAGGAATATCCAGCCTGCAAATACTCAGTCGACTCATCTTTTCAATGGAGGAAGGAAGCCTGGATTCTTAAGTTTCATACAATGCTGCTAATTTGGTAAAGAAGAGGTGAATAAATGAGAGATGCTCTGGAGGCAGAGCAACTAGTACTCGGTGATTAGACAAAGGTGGGGGATCAAGGAGAAGGAGGTATCAGAAATGTTCCCTGGTTCTGCCTCAAACAGCTGTGTGTTGGTGGCTCCATTTCCTGAAATGGGCAAGAGTGAGGGAGATGGGATTCTGAAGCCAAGATAAGATTCTGGTAGGATAAAATTTATTTTTAAGTTCAAGATGTCTGTGAGAAACCCAAGAGTACATATCAAGTAAGCAGTTAGAATATATGAGCATGGAATTCAAGAGAAAAATCTCAGCTGCTGCTAAACTTGGGAGGGTGTATGGATAATGTTTAAAAACAAGACAATGGATAATGCCATTGAGGTATATGGAAAGACAAAGGAAAGCATAGGGTTAAGCTTTAAGGAGCTCCTGCGCCTGGAAGTTGGATAGGATGAGGACTGGACAAAGAGGACTGAGATTGAGAAGTGGTCTGCTATGGGCACATGAAAACAAAGGAAAGCACTTCAGGGAGGATGTCAATTAGGTCAAGGCAGCTGGGGTCTTGTAAGAGAACTAAAGTGTCCATTGGATTTGCCAACACAGGTAACTGCTAAGCATGGCCACAACCTCAGTGGTTTGTTTGGGCACTGAAAACCAGATTGAAGTAAGCTGAATATAAATGGGAGTTGACAATGTGGAAATATCTTTATTTTCAATGGGTGATCCTTTTGAAAAATGTTGAAATGGCAAACAAAGAAATGGAGTGGTAGTTGGAGGGGAATGTGAAAATGAAGGGTTTTCTTTTGCTGGAGGTTGGGGGGACAAGAGGAAGCTGAACATGTCTGCACGATAAAGACTGTGATCCTAGATAGAAGGATGATGAGGACAGTGGGCAGAGCCAAAGTCCTAGACAATGTGAAGGAGGATGCCATCCAGAATACATGCGGAGGGATGTTTGTTTGTTTGTTTGTTTGTTTTCCATAAGAAGAAAGGTCTATGTTTTTGAAAGAAGTGAGATCACAGGTACTGATATAAGCAGAATTATAAATTTTGTGGTGGGAGGATAAGGGTTCCATATGATGGTACCTGTAAGTGACGAGGACTTCACAGTATGCATGTTGTATAGTCTAATCTCCCTCCTGGCTCTACTCATTCTGTTTCTTTATTTTATCCCACCCTGCTATACATTTTTGTAAGCTGCTTTAAATCCTTTTGGGAACAAGGCAGGATATAAATAAAAATTTTAAATGTGGTACAAAAATGTGTTGAGTCTATTATCCCAAATGCAAAGAGAAAGTTAAATCATGCAGGATCCTACATATTCATCTCTACTAAACTATCTTCTGGATAAAGTCTTTTTGGCTTAAATTGGTGAAAGGTAAATTTGTGAGTCATAAGTATAAGTATAATAACTTTCAAATGCTTAAATTTCAACCACTGAAACCACATGCATTTTTTTTCATCTACTATGTTCCAGGTACTATGCTAGTCTAAAATTTCCATGAGAGCAGAGTGACAAATATCGTATTCTCTAGTACATCCCAGCAGCTTAGTTCTGATGTATAACAGGTACTCAATAAATATCTGTAAATACATGAGTTTCTGCCCTTAAGAAATTTCCATACTAATATGTTCTCTTTCTCACTAGAATAATGGCTCTCTATAGAGTTACACAGTACCTTAAGGCATAAGAAAGCTAATTTACACTAGCAAAGCTGGGCCTTCCTAGTCTTATTCTCCTGTCTCAAATACTGGTTTAAAATAGTAAAACAACAGTAATAATTGTAATTATAAGAGTAATGTCAATCAGTGATTAGAATGACAAGACATTCAGATAGAAAGGCAATAAAAATAATAGGGGAGTAAACTGTATCATAATGCCCTGAAGGGAATATAGACATAGAGTGATAGGTGACTTGGATACAAAATTACCATAGATTTCATGTAGCCATTAACACTTCCTTTTAAAAGTCTGAGTTGGGTACATTTTATTACAATGTAGTAGAGTGACAAGAGATTTGGATACAAAATTACCATCAATTTGGTATAGCCATTAACACCTCTTTTTTAAAATCTGAGTTGGTTACATATTATTACAATGTAGTAAACCACAGTTTATACTTTGAATCCAGTAAACAATAACAGAGTCTGGTATTTTACACATGGTAAATGCTTAATAAATAATTTGCTTTTAGAGGCTAGGTCAACATTTACACATGGATTATGGTAACCTTTGACTCAAACACCTGACTTACAAATAATCTATACACCAACAACAACTGCTACTTCCTGGATACCCTGCCACTGAAGCCTTCACCAACCACTGTGGAAGGTTGAGGAAAACTTTCCTTGCACTGAAGCCTTGGCCAACCAACCACCAAGAAGGCCACTTGGAACCCCACACCTCTCAGCCTTAACTGCTGCACAGAAAGCATTGCCTGATACCAGTATGGGAGCCAATGAGCCTTTAAATCTTGACTCAGAGTGAGGGAATTCAGTAAATTAAGGCATTGGATATATTCAGTAGACTGGCCTAGAAAGCTACTTATTAGTTATAATTTTGTTACTAATAGGATATGCACTAAGTCACTGATTCAAAATATATTTTAAGCTCCTGGAGGTCAGAGACTACGACTTATTCATTGGTATACTCTTGTACCCATAATAATCATTCTGAACAAGCTGGTTACATTTAAGCGAGTGCTTGAGTGAAAGATACAGCCCCTGATTTTCAGTTCCAATCCACAGACTTCCACGCTATAGATTTCTAGTGCCTGTAATAAAATTCAGTATCAGATACAAAAGAAAAAACTGTCTTCTCCTAATAGAAACTCTCATATATAATTTGCTAAAGGTATATCCTAACAATGAAGTTACTTTTATCTCATGTCACTTTAAAAAGGGTTAAACAACTCAGAGAAGTGTTCCTTTCTCCCTTTCTCCTTATACACAGACAGCTTTTGGTGCAATGAGAAACAGGAAGACTTTACAGTCCTTTTTTAATGCCTTGCTAATTTCATGCTGAAACTTACTGAAACTACACTCTCTTGGTTATGAGGATCCTCTAAACGGGAAATTATCCATGGTGGAGGGGTTGAAAGTGTGTAAACATGGTACAGTAAGTTCCCAGCAATGCCCACTTAGCTCTTTTTTGTACCCACTCTATATTATTAAACACATTTTTCAGGATTATTAAATAATAATCCCACGATGCATTGTGATGAATATTATAATACTAACAACTGAATTTCAAATTCCCAGGTACTGCCACTATTTGTGCCTGTTATTACATGGTACAGTGAATGTCCTGGTAAGTCCTGATACAAACTACTTATTCTCTTAATATTTGCAACTACTCTCTTATTAAAATGGCCACAATTTTTTAAAGGCAATATTAGATTTACAGTTCAAAGTATGATGACTTCTTTTACTAACTGATAACACTTAGTGCTTAGGATCATTCAGGGGCCACATAACCAAACAGGAAATATACACACTAAAAAATATCACTCTGGTGATACAAGTTTCACTTACTTCAATAGTGCTAGTAGCAGGTATTCTTTATTAGAAATGAAAATATTGTTTAACTCACAAGTTTAGATACTGAGGTTACATTAGGGGTCAGCTACTAAATGTTTTATTCATTAGTCAACAATTTAACACACTGTCATCAGGTTACTTAGTAATATCTACAGAGATAATTATTTTCTTTGAGCAATAACTAGGATACTTGCACTCAAGGTATAAACTCAAGGTAACTACATTGTAGTAAAATGTAACCAAGCTAAGCTTTGTAAAGTGTTAATGCTAATACTACACAAATCTGTAGTAATTTTGTATCTGAGTCACTCTATGTCCAAATTCCTTTCAGGGCCTTATTATACAACTTGCTCCCCTATACTTCCAGAGTTCATGATTGGTATATGCCTACATTTCCCAGGCATCTCTAGAATGTTAATTCCCCTGCAGGCTTCATGTCCTGAAGAAAGCATTTTCCCAGGAGCACAAACAGCAAAGCAAAATTGACCAAATAATTGGTCTGTCTCCTCTCCTTAGAAAGGCTTTACACAGTGGAGCTGCACTGGCACATTCCTTTCTTATTGCAGGGAGAGAAGAGTTATTTTTCCACAGTCTCCTAATTTGAAGGTACAAAGTAAAATAAAGCAAGCATATTGGGAAACAGCCCTGATTATAAATAAAAATGTTAAAGTGCTAGTTTCACAAACTATCTTAACTATACATAAAACTGTAAAAATAAATAACAAATATAGGTACTCATCATCCAGTTTTAACACATATTAATATATTTTCATATTGGCTTCTGCTCTTTCTTTAAAATACAAGAAAAAATAAGTAACAGAGGTGAAGAAGCTCCACTCAGAATTAGTTACTATTTCTAAAGTTAATGTATCCCATTCTCACATTTTTATATTTACTTTTATGTACTTTCATTAGATATACACATATCAATAAATAATGCATGCTATTATGTTGCTTTTAAAGTGTACATAAATGCGTCTTACTGTATAAATCCTTTAGCATTTTGCTTTTTTCACCTAGTATTACATACTTGAGATGTATATATGTTGGTAAGTATAGATCTAGCTCATTCATTTTTATGAGAAGATAGTATTGAATTGCATGAATAAACCAGTTTATCCATTTCCCTACTAATCTTTACAGTTGGATTGCTCTACTTTATTGCTCTTTTAAAGAGCTGCTATAATCATCCTTGTTATATGTTTGCTTAGGCAATTGCCCCAAGTTACTTAAGATCCTGGCTCGACAAAAATTTAGGCTGTGGAAGAAAAAAAAAATCCTGGAGTGAATATTAGCCCACCCGAATGCTATTATTGGGTCTAAACCACTCCCTTCCTAACAGGGAGGCCATGTGAACTGAAGAACTGTGTGATGACTCAAAAGAAAAATATTTAAAATGTGATAATTCAGGGAAACATGAGATGATCAATTTGTGGAATTAATGAGACAAAAGCTGATCTTCTCTCTGGACATAATTCATTAGCAGTTAAGCGAACCTCTGCCAACAAACCCCAGTCTTTTTCTCATAGGTGTTGAGAACACCGTAAATTTTCTTCAAATTTAAAAGAAATACATGATAGCTCCAAAAACTACTATCTCACCAATTTAAATATTTTTCCCTCTACCCACCTGGATCAATCAGTTCAGCTACATGCAGGCAAACATCAAGACACAAGCTATAAGCTAAAGAAAGCACCATCACATATACAGAGGAATAAGAGATAGGGAAAGGAAAATTAAATGCAATACTAAAAAGAAGCCAGAAATTGTTGCTATTTTATTGGTGATTACCTAACATTTTCTTAAGGACTGACACCCTACAAAACAGAGTACTTTCTTATTACTGATAACAAAATTGTTTGGGCATCAATGAAGGGTTAAGTGACAAAAATCTGTTAAAATTCTATCAGGAAAATTCATATCCCGAATACACTTGAAATACGTGGTAGATTTAATTCCACCAAGTTATAAAAAGAGCTAAATGATTTAAAAGTCACAAATCCTCACAGCATGCCTCTGAGTGAGAAAGGTACCTCACGCACCCAAAGCAGGCCTTCTTTTACACAAGCTTAAAAATCACCACTCTGCCTTTCTTCCTAGTTTTTCAACTCATACTTTACCTAGTCTCACATTAATACATAATTGTAGATTTTTACAAGTCAGTCACATTTTTGAGATTATCATTAGAATGGACCCAGCAGCTACTGCTTTAAACCCACATTTTTCATGAAAAGGTAGGAGATACCACCTAATTACAAAAACACTACATCAAGACTCATTGAAGTTCTTAGCATACCCTTTGTCTTTAACAGTCAAAGTGCCCAAAGTAAATGTTTCAAATGACAGCCCAAATTCTGAAAAACTGAAATTTGGAGAGAAGGGATTCCTGTTTATATTGTATACATTTAAAAAATAAATGGCTCACATAATGCCACTCAAGTTTTGTTCTTTTTCCCAGACTTACCTGTTTGGTATTTCCTTTTTCTGGATCATTTTCAAATTTTAACACTGTTAAACAGTTTTGACGTTTTCTTGCTATAATTATGAATTTTAAATCTGCCAATACTGGTCATAGTTTAGAAGCTAATAAACTCGAACCAAGTATGGATTCTGTCAGTATCATTTTCACATTAAAATGTCCTTATGGAATACCAAAATTACTACGGAACAACTTGAAATCATATTTTATAGCTACTTCCTTAAAATATTCAGTTCCCTTCCCCATCACTTAGGAAAAGAGTCAGTTTGGATCATGATGTAGTGGGAGGAATTAATTATAAAAATAGCTAATATGTATTGAATACTTACCATAAAACAGGCACCGTAATAAATATGATACATGAACCATTACATGTAAAGGTACTGTCATCAGGAAAACATTGTTATCCCCAATTTAGAGACAAGAGAACTGAGGCAGAGAGATTAAATAACTTGCCCAAAGTCAAAGATGTTAATGGATGTGACTCTGGGCATGTTCTGACGCAAAGCCTAGAATCTTAACCACTATGTTTATGTTATTAAGGTTAAAACACTGCAGTTTACTGCAAAAACAAATTTTTCACTGCTTTAAATTATTCATTAACTCAAAGGTCAAGCGGTCACTCCAAATCATATGATAAATGGGGGGAAAATGTGGGACTAATAGGTTTGCTGAAGTTTCGTACCTGCTCAGAATAAACATATCACACCATTTTATTCCGTACAGCCAAATATAAGGGTAACTGAGTAAAGATCTTTATTTGGGTACAGCAGTCAGTTCCTTCTCCATCCTAAACCAGAAAGAAAGCACTGTACTCGGATATGCCACTTCAACAAGAGTGTTTTTCCTCTTCCACCATCAAAGCCCTAAGCAGTAGTACGATTCTACTCGTCTACTGTTGCCTGTCTTCAAAGCAGTCCTGTTACCCGAGGACCAACACCAGCGTCAAGGGCCCGTGTTATTTTCCTGGCTTCGCTTCTCAAAATAACTTATCTTCTCCTCTTGATAAATCACTTGATACGCTCAAAGACTTGCCTAAACTACTAATTCTTATTATCAAAGCCATGTTCTTTCTCCATAACCGCCTTTTCAAGCAACCCTTGGTCCACTCTTCAACGCGATTTGCACCTTGTGGCAAGGCCGCCAGGGACAATCAGCTGGGTTCCCGGCCACGGACCGCAGTTTATCAGCTCAGCGACTAGTGTGGGCATTCAACAAATTCTCATGAATGAATAGCTGGAAGGCAGCGTGGGTGGAGGCGGGAAGAGGGGGGCTGAAGGAATTTCACGCGGCTGAGACCACTGCAGCGGAGCCCAGTCTGGGGAGGGAGAGACCGTGGCAAGTGGGAGAATCTGGGGCCGAGGCAGGGGCCGCCTCGGGTGCTGCTGGACCGGCAGGCACAGTCGATCGCACGCAGAGCCGGGAAGAAGCGGGCGCCGTCTCCGCAGGCCCCCGCAGCGCGCTCTCGGGCCTCGACCACAGCTTCTGCCTAGCTCCCTGTCCCCGGTCTTCTGCATACAAGGGGTCGCAGCCGATAAGCCCTCCTTAGCCAATAGCCAACCCGGGACCCGCGCTCGCTCACCTGAAGCTCCACCGGCAGCACTGTGCTCTGCATCCGGCGCGATCCTGGCAACCCCGTGGGTCCGCGGGATCAGCTGATTCATGGAGGGCGGGGCCTCCGGACAGGGCGGGACTGCAGGGCGACTAGCGAAGGTAAACGCGGGCGCGGAGGGGCTCTTGGAATCCGAGCTCCTGGGAATTGCTCTTGGGAGACTGTCGACGGCGTCTGTTGGGGGACAAAATTACTGAGAATGCGTTAGGCACTGCAGGCTACGTACTTGGGAGCACAGCCCCTCCCTTAGGTTAGGGCGGAGCTATCAGTCCTGGGATGTGCTTTGACGATGACGTAGAATAGAGTCGTCCAAGCCTAGCTACCCGAGCGCTTCCATGGTAACAGGCGGTGGTGAGAGTGGTTGGGAGCAGCAGTCGTTTGTTACCACCTCAAACTGCAAGGGCCGGAAGTATGCAAGTAAAAAGGCTGAAATATTTTCAAACTGCCTTTATGGACTGTACCCTAACGGTGGTCGCTGTTCCCGCCCCCGCGAATGACGTCATCGCCTCGCGGCCGCGTTGTGCCATTGTATCCGCAATGTGTAAACTTACTGGTTAGTTGCAACCCCAAAAGATGGGGTGGGATAGGAGAAAATGAATTGCCTCTCCAATGATTCCCGTAGGACTCCCCAATATGCAATCAGTAAAATCAGTTTTCTTGTCCCGCGCAGTTTCATAACAGTTTGTCGCAACCACAGTCCCACCCCACCTAGCCTGCACTCCCAAGTCCTCCCATGATTTTATGATTTTCCAGAGCCACCACTCACGTCGCACAGTGGGTGCAAACCTTCTGCTGCTAAGCATTGTGCCATCGCTAGACCTGCAAACCTGCAGATATTTAGACCATCAACGACAGATGTGTAGTCAGGTTCTGAAACTCCTGTATCATACTCACCAACACCCTCAACTCAATTTCCTCCCTGATCCTTCGCCCACCTGCAAAACTGTTAGTCTGCAACAGTTCACCCAACCTTGCTCACTCCTGGATCGGTGCAGAAAATCACACAACCCTGAGAATTGGCACCACTGCGAACCAAAAGTGTCCAACTTCAGTCGGGACTTCCACATACGACTACGCAATATTGCTGAGCCTAAAACAGTCACGTTTACACATTGCTACTCATATTATCTCGTATTCCCCTCCCCTACTGTTCCCAGCCCTCACACTCTTCTAACCTCTTATTGAACTCTACTCACCCGCTTTGGTAAAAATAAAAATAAAAAACTTTGTTTCTTACATCTCTGAGGAAAGTGATTTTTTTTTTCTGATGGTGAAATTCACCATCAGAGGTGAATTTCCTTAAATCCCAAATTCCACCAGCCACTACCACAAAACCTCCCTGCAACCAGTTTTGTTTTGATTTGTTTAGATGGAGTCTCTCGATCTGTCGCCCAGACTGGAGTGCAGTGGCGCGATCTCGGCTCACTGCAACCTCTGCCTCCCAGGTTCAAGCGATTCTCCTGCCTCAGCCTCCCGAGTGGCTGGGATTACAGGTGCCCGCCATTACGTCCGGCTAATTTTTGTGTTTGTAGTAGAGATGGGGTTTCACCATGTTGGCCAGGCTGGTCTGGAACTCCTGATCTCAAGTGATCCACCCGCCTCGGCCTCTCAAGGTGCTGGGATTACAGGCGCGAGCCACCGAGCCCGGCTCCTTTCCACGGAGTCCTTTTCTTCTCCCTGTTTCTTCTTAGAAGAGGTGTTCTGTCCTCTCAAGGTTAATGTCTCCACCTGAACTCAGTATCCTTCCAATCTACCCAAAGGAAAGACTTTATTCTGTTGATGAAAAAAGACAAACTTTGTAAAATATTTGAAGAGGTTAAATATACTCTGATCAAAACATGAGTAACCATGGCCTGGGACACAGCCTCAAGAAGTCCTGAGAACATGTGCCCAAGGTGGTTGGGTTACAGCTTAGTTTTATACATTTTAGAGAGACAGAAGTTATAGGCAAAGACATAGATCAATGCATGTAAAAGGCGGGGGCGGTGCACACAGATCATAGGTGGATTCAGAGACTTTATGATTGGTTGAAAAAGCTAAGCTTTTCCTAAAGAGTTGAAGTTAGCAGAAAGAAATGTTTGAGTTAAAATGAGGGGGATTGTGGAAGCCAAGGTTCTTGTTATGTAGATGAAGCTTCCAGGTAGCATATGTTATAGGACCTTAAAATGTGTCAGACTCTTGGTTAAATCTCTCCTGGATCAGGAAAAGACCTGAAAAAGGAAAGGGATTCTGTACAAAATGCAGATTCCCCCCAAAAGAGAAAGCTTTGCAGGGTCATTTCAAAATATGTCAAAGAAATATATTTTGGGGTAAAATATTTTTATTTTCTTCAGGGTCCGCTGTCTTGTGATGCTATACCATAGTCAGATTGGAGTTGGATAATCTTATTGCTACAGGAGTCTGTTTTGTCAGTCTTACGATCTCTATTTTCATTTCATGAAAATGGTTTAGGCCAGTTTAATGCTGGTCTAAACTCCAAAGGGAGGGAGTATAATGAGGTATGTCCAATCTGCCTTCCCATCATGGCCTTAACTAGTTTTTGAGGTTTTCTTTAGGATCCCCTTGGCCACAGAGGGTGGAGGGAGATCTATTCAGTTGGTTGGGGAGCTGAGAATTTCATTTTTTATTTACATTTCCATTACTTATCCCTTCTCCTTCATGTATTTTCAACCTCTGCCTCTCCTCTTACTCCTATATACTTACAGTGTGTAAACCTGCTACCTATCTCATCTTTAATTTTTTTACTTTCTGCCTTCTTTCCTTTGCAACTTAATTTTCTACTTCTACTTTCTGACTTCCCAGTCTTCCTCACCCTTTCCTTAAGTCTACTGAAATCAACAGTCATCTTCTCATTTTGTAATCTAATGGTGCTATCATAGAATGGAAGCATTCTATGCAACAATCTAAAATAAAGAAGATCATCTCTATATACTGATATGGAATGATCTGGAAATTAGGAGTTAAGAGAAAAAAACTAGATGCTAAGTCCTATGCATAGTAGTCTACCAATTGTGTATTATGTATGTCTTTTCAGGAGAGAGATAGGTAGGCTGGAAGATAGTGTAAACTGAAGAATCACCTTTCTAAATTTGAGATATACAAATTTAGAAAGGAGATTTCTTTTCTTTTTTTTCTGAGACAGAGTCTTGCTCTATTACCCAGGCTGGAGTGCAGTGGCTCAATCTCGGCTCACTACTACCTCTGCCTCCCAGGTTCAAGTGATTCTTCTGCCTCAGCCTCCCGATTAGCTGGGATTACAGGCACATGCCATCACACCCAACTAATGTTTGTATTTTCGGTAGAGATGGGGTTTCACCGTGTTAGCCAGGCTGGTCTCAAACTCCCGACCTCGTGATCTGCCCACCTCGGCCTCCCAAAGTGCTCAGATTACTGGCATTAGCCACTGTACCCGGCTGAGACTTCTTTTCTTATAAAGAGTTAAAATCTGCAAGGTGGCCATACTGACAGGCTTGGAAGTATAGCCTACAGTAGAAACCATTAGCAGGCACTTTGGAGGAGGAAGGATTGAGGCAGGAGCTTTATGCTGAATGGGTTGGCTAAACATACACATTCAACAGATTGAATATTCACTCTGGGGGGTCCTGACACATGTCTACTGAATAGCATGCATGTCACATGCATCCCATGTTCACTTTGGGGTAGAGACTTAACATTAATTGCATTACGTAATTATAATATTTTGATATAGAAGGCAATTATAATTATGTAATGCATTTAATGTTGAAGGTGAAGCAGGAATACAAAGGCACTCAAGTGGTCAGCCACTGTCAACTAGCCAGAACCAGTCCATGGTCGGTGGTCTCTTATCAGGAGAAAGTTACTGAAATCAGTCTCTTGTCCAATCAAAGCTGTGGTTATGGCTTGTGGGACAGAGGCTCAGGTAGTCAGCATCTGGTGGTAAATGAGCCGCAATTGTTTTAATATTGCTTATCTCAATGCCAGCACTTGTTTAACTGCTAGAGAAAAAAGAAAAAAAGAAAAAGAAACCTTAGGCAGTTAGAACATAGCTCATTCATTCATTCATTCATCTT